AGAAATCAACAACACAAATGATACCCTTGCAACCTTGAGCGTTTTGGAGATTATGTATGAGGTTGGCCATTGATTACCCGTTCTCTCTCTCTCTCTCTCTCTCTCTCTGGGTGACCACGAGAACATACACAGCCTACAAAACTGCCTGTTTTGAAAGCTCTAACTCTTCATCTTAGCTTCTGTAATGCTCCATTTCATGCTATATAATGATTGTGGCTTACTACAAGCTTAACTCAGCATTCTGATATCCAGAATAACTGAAATACATTAAATATATGGAGACGAAAAAGAGAAGCTCCACAGCTTTGTTCTAGGACTAATGTTTAGGACAAATTGTTGAAGTGTAGTTGCCCTTGATTTGCATATGATTATTTCTAATTGACAGATATCTATCTGAAGTTCTCTCATCTTTTCTTTTAGAGTCAATAGAGAATTCCCAAATTTTCTGGTATTGTTTTCCTTTAATCATCTCTTTTCCTTGATTAAATACCTTATATTGAAATGTTCTTGTTATATGTGCTCAATTGATAAAGTTGTCCGAGGTCGAGCATGGTAGAGAGTTTTTGTCAACAAGCACCCTTCTGCAACTGCTTAGTTCTATAATCAGGTGCTTAGTTGAGAGAATATTTTCTTAGTATCAGTTTCATGTTGCATCCTTTAACTGTTTAGGAGATCGACACACAACATAATATCGTCTTATGAATTTTGTAGCAATAAATCAATGGAATCAGTTTTAAGATCAAGAGCGATAATGATCAGTGGAAGACTTCTGTCCAAGGGGAATTACATGTTTGCTGATGAACTTAGTAAGTTTTACATTCAACTTCTGCTGTTCCAGATGCTTGTGAAATTTATAATATGAATGATTTCTACTTGCATCATTCCAGAGAATTGAGTTCCTCTTCAAAATATCATAGGACTTCTGTTTTTCCTTTCATCCTGAATATAAGATGCCCTGCAGTCCAGTGCCTTCATTATTTGTGGTGGCTCATTGGTAGCTTGTGTACCAGTTCTTCCAAGACGGACATTATGCCTACTTTTAGGGCTGCACCGTTGAGGCGTGTGCCATCCCATTTTCTGACCTAGAGAGAAGGAAGAAAAAAGTCTTCATTAGTGGGCACCCTTAATTTCTTTTTTATGTTTTGGCCAGCTTGTTTGTTTGAATTTTATCCAAACGACCCAAAGCTGCCTCTAAATTGCCAGTAGCGGTTGACTCCCATTGTCCCTATTAGGTTGGAAAAAGAACACTAGTTTTTCAGGGTATAACATTCTGGGTTGGATATATTTCATTAGGTGGAGTTGCAATATATTTTTGTTCTCCTACATGCTATTTGCTCTCTTTGGAAATTAGTCACAATAAAAAATGATTTTAAAGGGTACATTTTGAGATTTGTTACTTCTGAAAAATATATAATTGCTTTTTCTAAGATTTTAAAATGTGGTACTTGATTTTGCAGGTGTAAGAACTGTAGTATCAGCCATAGATAGGATACTTAGTTCATCAGAAACTCAAGATGCAGATGAGTGTGAATCTGCTCTTGAAGCACTGGGTCAAATAGGGTCATGTAAGTATGCCCGCAGCTGTTCTAGGCTTGGGAATTGGATTACATAACGTGAAACATTTCTACCTATCCTCATTAAGAAGTCAATATTTATAGCTGTTGTTTTGGAATGATCTTAGCAATTCAAGGGGCTCAATTTCTACTTTCAAGCTCACCACCAGCTGCAAGACATGTTATTTATGCTGCCTTTGATAGGCAAGGACGTGGTAAACAACTGGTGAGTGAATCTAGTCCTTTCACTTTATGTTTTTAAGTTCTTCCATCCCCTTATTTATATGTTCCTTATCATGTTTTATTTTGCCAATAGATTGAGTTAGGAAAGGTTCTCCTCAGTCAACTATCTTAAATCTTACAATTTTTTTAGTGGTACCTCATCTGACAACTATCTTAAATCGAATGGATCCCACAACAAGTTTATTCTTTGATTGCATCCACTGACATAGTGGGTTTGCCAATAAAATGATGAATTGGCTATAAACATTGGATATATGATGTTTCCTAATAATTGACTGAACTGTTTCTGTGATGTGTCCAAGTATTCCGTGATGATTAGAAAGATAGTATCTGTTGTACTTTACATTCTCTATTATACTTTAATTGTTCTTTGATGGCAAGGGCAGGCTGCCTCACATGCCCTTGGAAACATCTCTGGAGAAACTCGATCTGAAAACAGCATGATACTGACTAGTGATGCAGAAGAAAGCCTCAGACGCTTGATTTATGAAACTGCATCTAAGAGCGCAAAGTTGACACCATCTGTGAGCAGTTTTTTCCTCCCTTATTTTTTTACCTCCTAAACATTGTTTCATAAACCTCCAAATTTTTTGCACTTGGGTGCAGGTCATTTTCATTCCTTTGCATGAATCCAACAATTTGATTTATCAAATCAATTGGAGTTCATAACTTCATATGGATTTACATTTTTTTTATAAAGCGTCCTTGTCATTCTTCATTAAAGTCTTGAAATGTGCGGAAGTTTTACTCAGTTGTTGATGCAATTGGCAGGGTATTTTCCTATCTGTTCTCAAACAGGATTCAGAAACTCGTTTGGCGGTGAGACTACTAAAATCACAAATTGTGGATATTTTTGGTGGTGTGACAGTTGAATACTTTTATGAACATGAAAGTAATTGAACGTCTGGAGCTCAATTTAACATGATAGTTTTTCTCGCTGTTTTCTCCTGAGCTTTACATAGGTCTTGTTTTTAGTTTGTGCTATGCGGCAGGGCCCCTTAATTCTGTTATTTTTTTTTCATATGGAAATGGAAGTATGATATTTATATAGACTGAATCTTCATATTGTTGTGGTGTTTGTTGTTGTAAGTACTAATGACTCTTTGGAACACATTACTTTTTATATTTGGGTCACCTTTGGAAAGGTTCGTTGGTAACCAAAGCATAAGTATGTGGAAAAGAACAATGAGCGATGTAAATTTGAAATTGAAAGTTTTGATGATGCTTCATAGGATACATGGTGATGCTTCATGTGGCGATGTAGAAAGAACGAAAATATAAAATAAGATGATATACAAATTTATCTTATTACTACATTTTATGCTTATATTTGAAATTTAATTTATTTTGGTATTTGTGGTGGTTTTTAAATGCATTTTCAGGGTTATAGAATGCTGACTGGGTTGGTGGCTCGCCCATGGTGCCTCATGGAAATTTGCTCGAAGCAAGAGATAATAAATATAGTGACCGATGCAACCACTGAAACCACAAAACTAGGTCTCTTTCATTTTCTTTATATACTCATTCAATTTATTACCTTGCAATATTACATGAAATTGCCTTCTATTTTTCTAGCAATTAATAACAGAGATTCTTTCCTGTGTCAATGTAAAGGGACTCCTTTCCAAAATAAGTACCTTCCCCTGAAATATTATAACTACATAATACGTTACTTTCAGTGCTCAATCTAGGCGATGGCACATTTGGCAGACCCTTACCTTAATATGGTTTCCTTTGGCTTCTGGTTTTCTTTTGCACTTGGACTAAAGAACTGCGCTCATTTATTATTTTAGGTTCCGAATCTTACCTATTTCATGTAAATGAAAAATATTGTTCAGGTATGGAAGCCAGATATAATTGCTGCAAGGCAATCCAGAAGGCTTTTATCATGTCAAGTAAAGTTAGCAGCGATCCAGCTCTTGCTGGGCTTGCTGAAAAGGTTAGTTCTATTTCTGCATTACAGAACCTTCTTCACTTTTTTCAAAGAGTGGGGGAGGAGGTTTTGGGGGATCCCTGAGCACGTTTGGGAATTTTATTCAAATTGTCAGACCTAAACAATTTCATGAAAATTTTGTTTGACCATAAAATCGTAGTCGGTAGTACTCAGTTGCCTTCACATGTTTCTGTTTGACTTATTGGGTGAGAGTTGCTAACCATTGAAGAGAAATAATAGAACAGAAAAAAAATCTATGGCCAACAGAAAAATTAGGTGGTCTTCACTTTTTTCTTTTCTTTTCTCAAACAACCAATTGATTGAAAATGAGGCTCATGTTGTGTATCTTCTCTTGCCCCCTCCTTTTTGTGTGCAGTTGTATGATGCTGTTAGAAAGGGTCCCTACCTTGCTAAAAGGCTTGAAGCTCAGCCTACAGTGGTTACAGATGACAGATTCTAGACGCCGGCAGGCATCAGCAACTGTGTGCAGCCTATGAATTTACTGTTAACACATGTTGCATACAAAAGTTTGTTTAAACTGCGGAAACCTGTTAAGCTCTGAATTCTCCTGAATGTTAAGCTGTGAATTTAAAAATAATTATTACCTGTTCAGAACTGAAACATGTAAAGCTAGAGAGGAATGTGGAATTGTGGAATTCCATATTTGCCAGTTCAAAGAAAGTTGTAGAGTTTCTCAGAGTACAAATTTCCCAGTAGGTAGAGAGGAATATGGATTCGTTGACCAATTCTTTTTCCCTTTTATACAGAAAATATGAGACCCATTAGCTCTCAATCGACTGGTATATTTCTTCCCAATCGAATTCTTCTTCTCCGTAGATGAAAAACCAGAAGAAAAGAATCGCTCAGTCAAGCATCCATTAACGTTTAATCCCAAAAGGAATTAAAGAAGACTGTACTCTTCCAATTAAAACAATTCGATGTTTCTTTAAGGAAATGTTTCACTATGGGTGTGTTAATATTAGAAGGGTGAATAGAACACATGATCTCGGGTGCAGAAATAAATAATATTTTCTATTATTATTTAATCCATTTTGAGTTTCAATTTGCAAAAATATTTTTTATTAACAATATGAATAACAATAACAAATATGCCAATACAATAATATATTATTCCGCCATCAGGGAGAGAAGAGTAATTCCACCAGCAGGGAGAGAAGGGGAATTTCATATCCAGTGGATAAAATTCTGAGGAAGAGACACTCTGTATTACGATTTTTGAGGGAGAGAAAGAGAGAGACAGAGAGAGAGAGATGGCAGCTGCTGTTCATTGCCTATCTTCGTGCTTGGCCCTTCCTTCCAAACTCAGCAACCTTTCCCTCAATGGCCCTTCTACTTCTTCTGCAACTCATTCCACCTCAACCCACTTCACTTCTCTCAGTTTCTCCGCTAGCCTTTCTCACAATTTCTTCTCCAAAGGTAATCAAAACTCTCGCTTTCTTGCAATTATTGCATTCCTCTTTATCTGTCTTCTTCTTCGACATTCACACCACAAAACATGAACAATTAAGCACAATGGGGTGGAAAATTTTGCCATTTCTGGTCTAAAGTTTTGGTTTTTGCGTATCATATCACCCATTTTTGAGAAACCAGACAGAGCATAATATTAATTCAAATTTTATATCTAGTTTCTTTTCTTTTGTTTTCAGGGTGTTTTTCATTGAGCCCAGTTCAGAGGCCAACTCGTCGTTCTGTAGTCTGTGAGGTTGCCACAACGAAGAAGCCTGATTCTGCTGAAAAGAGAGCTCGGCAGGCTGAGAAAAGGCGCATTTACCACAAATCCCGGAAATCTGAAATCAAAACCCGGATGAAGAAGGTACTTTTCTTTTCGTAACTGATGGGTTTTGCTTCTTTTGGCTTACATTGTCTGCAAATTTAAGTTCATTCTGATTATTTCCGATGAATATTTGACGATGCTTTGACTAGTTACTATGAGTTATAAGTGTGATGAATTCATATAATTACTTCTGTTTTACTTATTCAGTGTTAAGAGTTTGGTGTTTACAGGAGACTGCTTTCTTAATCAATGTGTTGTGTATTTTCAGGGCACATAGTAATTTATCCACTGCTTGGTGTATAAATGTAAATAGAATTAAAGAAAAACCTCATTGTATATTTAGTTGGCTTACTTTGTAGTACACATGAGCGCACTGCGCTGGTGCTTGTGCATGCCTAATTACAAATGCCACATTGAACCTTTAATGTTCAGAGATGCTTTCTGAAGTCAGTTGGAGATTTACTTGCTACTACAACATAAAGCATATTCTGTATTTCTGCTATTTTTATGTTTTCTTGGAGTTATGGAGTTTTTAAATCTCGGCCATGTCTGTTAAGTTCTATGAGCTTTTGCTGGGTTTCAAGCATAGTAGTGATATCTCTAAAGCAAGCTGTATTTTGTTGTCAGTAATACAATGAATCTATTTATATTGGAGAAAGAAAATTACGGTTCACTCAAAGATCTTAGCACACTCCTTTCTCCTACAGAATGGCTATCCTGCATGAGTTAATAAATGGGAATAACCTATGCACTTTTCGATACTTTAATTTCCCCTGATACATGACTTAGGCCAAACATTTATTTGTGTGTATGTGTGTGGGTATGCATATGTTTTAGCACAGTAGTATTCTTAAGTATAGCTTCTATAGCCATGCCATGCCCTGGTGTACAGCTCTTGACTTGTCACCATGTTTGCTGCCTTGGTTTCTCATTTGCAAAGAGCGACCATATAAGTGTCTAATCAAGGTTAATGACCAATTTCTACATTGGTCTCATTACTTGGTTGATTAAATTATACTGGAATTAGTTAAGAGCATTTCTATGGAGAAGCGGATAGTTCATGGATTATACTGGTATATTAACAATATGCTTTTACTTCCTAATCTATATATTTTTCTTTGATATCTTTCTAAGTGATTTGAAAGGCAATTTTACCAAAGACTAAGTGTTGGATTGGAATTAAGTGTAATGGAAGTCGAGGTAATACCTTTCTCTTGATCTCTATCCTTAGGGGTCAAGATATATATAGGAATGAAGTTGTGCTGAGAGATCATTTTGCTTATTATTTGGAGCCTCATCTTTGGAAAAGAAAAAAAGAGTAATTTCAGAGAAAATTGGACATTAATTAAGGAGAAGTTGTCAGGATGATAAAAATGTTACCTGTGTGTTTATGTGCTGTAAGGATGATATAAAAAATTGTTCATATATTGTGTTAGAAGTCATGAACGTGTATAGCTTATCCAATGGCATGATGCCTGTTTGATTCAAACAGGTTCTAAAGATGATCTGTCTCTGTTACTCTGTGTGTGTGTGTGTGTGTGTGTGTGTTGTTTTCCTTCTGTTTTTTAATTTCTATTTTCTTTTGGCTCTCATGTGTTTGCATGCCCAGCTGTACAGAATTTGTATTTATTAATGTTAGAAAGGTCATGGATCTGAATACATGGTTATCAATTACTCTTAAAAGTGCAACTGAATAGGAACCTTTTTATGTCCTCGTACGAATTCATTGTATTTCCACTTTGAAAATATGTGGAGAAATGAAAAGTTAAAAGACCCCTTTAAAGTTTTTACCTGCTAGGAAAGAAATGCATTAGCATTGTAGAAATTCATGTTCATCAATTTTGGGCTGCCGATTATTGTTTCTTGGCTACCTTTTTCTAGGTTTTGGAAGCTTTAGATGTGCTCAAGAAGAAACCAGATGCTACGCCTGAAGAGGTGCTTTCAATTGAGAAGCTCATTGGAGAGGCATACTCCATCATTGACAAAGCAGTGAAAGTGGGAACCTTGCACAGGAATACTGGAGCACGCAGAAAGTCTCGACTGGCCAGAAGAAAGAAGGCTGTAGAGATCCACCACGGCTGGTACACCCCAAATCCTGAAGTTAGTGCTTGATAAAACCCCTTTGTTGGGTTATATATTCTTTTGTTTCCTAGAACTGTGTTCGTAGGTTGTAACTGTATTATTATTCCCATTAACTTTTGTGTTGAAAATGTGGTTGTGCCAAATATAGTCTATTGACTCTGAGTGAATCACAAAACTCTTGGCATGGCACCAGAGCAAAATGCTGGTTATTGAAGAGATGCGCTAGAAAAAGATGGGTTTGGAGAATGTGGTTTGTGGTAATTTTCCTAATGCGCGCTTGTTTTAACCATGTTATTTATTAGTAGAGGGCAGCCATGTTCCACTTCCTTTGTAGGGTTTAAATGAGACACTCATGTTGATTTCGTATAGCGAGTGAATGAAGGAGAGATATTTGATGTTGGGTTTTAGGATAAAGCATTCTAGTGTACACAATTTTGGTTTTTTTGGTGCAAAAAGATTTGAACTGTTTGATTTATTCTCATTTCTCACCCATTCCATATCCATTTATAACTCATTTGGGTATGATGTCCTCACAAAAAGTGACAATGGATATTCCCAAGTAAATACAGGACCTGTTTAAACTTGGAAAAGGCAGTTTGCTGTTTGTAGTATAATGTTATGGTATTTAGTGGAAAGTGAAGAAAGTTTTACATGAGAGAGAGCCCAGTTTTGAACTGAACCATTAGAAGGATGAGTTGCCCAAATATCCAAAAAAGAGCAAGCATATTGACAGGAAGTTTCATTTCATTAGAGATGAAATTCAAAAGGGTGTGATTGAGTTGATCTACTGTAAAGGAGAATAGCAAATTGCCGACATATTCACTAAGGCTCTGCACAGAGACAGATTCTGCTACTTGAGAAGTCTACTTGGTGTGAAATCAGCTAGCACTTTAGAAGGGAGTGTTGAAATGTAAATTGACTAGCTAATTTCTTGTTAGTTAGTAATTTACTTAGTGTGCTTTTACTCTTTAGCTTCATTAAGCATTATGTTAGTTAAGTGACTTGAGCTCATATGCCAAGTGTAAGGTGTAAAACAATCAGTTAGTTTCCAACGGCTCTTAGGCCTTGTACTGCCATGTGTCACATTCACAATGGTAATGATTGGCTGATGTAAATGAAAGAATTAGAATGAATACAAAAAGGGCGTGATCTCTGCAATGGTTTTGTAGATCACACTAGAGAGCTTTTCCAAAATTCTGTTTCTTCTAGCTACCTCTCTCACTCTCTCTAAATCTTGAGCTCCCTTGATACACATTCAAATATCATCACTACAAAAAATCACTTCAATCCGATATTATTTGACCATTCAATTGAGTTATTGAAATTTTAGCACTTTCTTGAAGCACCGTGTTCATTGATTTTGTATGACACAATTGGATGTCGAAATGGTTTCCGATTTGTCTAATTTTTTGTAAGAATGATCTATGAATGAAGACCTAAAAAATAGATGATTTGGATCATTGGAAAACAAATTGTATGGTACCCTAAAAGGCGTCCCTCAATAGAAGGGGACTGATATACAGAGAGCTTCTATTGAGAGATCCCTCAAATAAACTTATTTGAGGGATCCCTCAATGGAAGCTCTCTGTATATATATAAAGCAAAATGCAGAGAATGGTGAAACATTCAAAATACAAAAAAATGCCCTTGGTTAATTCAAACATTAAGAATTGAAATTATTCATTAAATGAGGATAATATGATAAATTCACATTTCACATTTTTTCATATTAAAAAATAAAAATAAAAACAAAATCAAATAATATGTCCTACTTTTATGTAACATAACTACCCATATTATCTTTTTTTTAATTCAATAAAATAAAATATAAAATAAAACCAATTAGCGCATGCGTGAGCATGTGCCAAGGGGCTAGTATATATATAAGTCCAAGCTATGGAAGCATTTTCATTTATTGTTTCCATAGTTTTCTAGCAAATCGATTGTTTCCACGGGTTTTTGTTTTGTGAACTTACATGAAATTTCTAGGTCGAAATTTTTTTAATATATATATATATATACTATTATGGGTTGTTAACATACCATAGTAAGAAAGTATGTTCCGCCTAGGACCAATATTTCACGTGGGAAACCCCTAGATAGTAGTGTGAGTGAGTAAATCCCCCACTCTTTTCCTACCTTTGACCTAAATATGAATATGATTCAAGTCGTCAGTATCCACAATTAATGGTAGCAAATAACTGGTTTAATTTTTCTTAAAAAAATATTTGAATACAATTAGAATAGGTTTAGGATCATGGCAGAAAGAATTTCACAAGGATTTTAATCATGGTTGCTCAGCGCTCAAATATGTCTGCGGCAACTATGGCTTTGATGAGGTTGAAAATCAAGGGAACGTCTCTAAATATATTTCAATCTGGATTTCAACCATTTACAGCCTTGACGGCATCTTGATGGCTCAACAACATTTACTTATAATTGTTTTACAGTACAGATATAGAACTAGATTTTCTCCTTACAACTGTGCCGGGATCAGGACTGTGCCACGTACCAAAAAAACCTTCTTAGACCAGAACTGTGCCGGCGGCTGGTAAAGATCACCAAGTTGTCACATCTCGGCCACAGTAGCAGCAGCACGACAGACAGTGGCAGCAGCAGCACGAAAGACAGTAGAAGCAGCAGCACGATGAGCAACAGTAGCAGCACCTCGTATTGCGACTTCTTTAGAACCATGGTGATTATCTAACAAGTACCAACCGTCAGTGAGTAGTTTCTAATTAAACACAGTAAGATTAACTAACGATACTCATTTATTCACAATAAAAATACCAAGAATAAGAGGAAGCTGAAAAAAAGAAAACAAATAAACAAATAATACATCTGCAGATGATGCATCAAAACTCCTATCAAGAGACATTGCCTCCGCCAGCAATACTGTCTGTGTGAGTAGCTTGAAGCTTTGATTGGTATATTATATATAGAAAAGGTTTAATTTGTTTATTTTGTTGGAAACTTCAAACTAATTAACCTCCCTCTAGAAAAGGTTATTTAAACCAAGTCAATAGTCGACACTAGGTGTCTGGCAAATTTTGGCAACATGGACTAAATTTTCTATGCGGAAATTTATCTGTGTTTGCAACTTCAGACGTGGTAAAGCAACCTGTGAATGCTAAAGAGTGCCACCAACAATGCATATAGAAACTCATTTGCATTGTTAAGAAGGACAACAATTTCAAGTTTTCAACATATAACGAAAATGAGAATGTACTTGGATAACTGTATCCCTTGTTCCAAAAGAGGGCATTTTGCAGTTCAAGTAAACCTAAAACTTACAGAAAGCTTTTACCTTGCTCCCTTTTTGCTCAAACATCTGTACTCAAATCTCCTGTCAAACTGTCACTTCCCTTTGCTAGCTTTTCTGCTTGTCCACCATCCGCTTTCCACTTGATGTTCATAGAATTCACCAATATTTCTGTCCTTGGCTCTGGTATCATTCCCTTTGACGTCATTTCACGAAAATATCGCAAAAATCTTTTATCCTTCCCTTGTCATGGAACCCATGAATCATAATGGTATAAGATCGCTGGTCAGGTCCCAACCCATTTCTCTCCATCTCTTCCCACGTATATCTTAGTCTTTCCTCACAATCCCACTCCATATACAACTTCAACAGCAAATTGTATGTGTCACTAGTCATCTTGCATCTACTTTTCTCCATCCTCTCCAGTAGACCAGGAACTTCCTCTGGCTTCTTCAAGGACTTGAGTAAGCAATTGAAAGTTACTTCATTGGGCAAGCAACTTCCACCCTTCTGCTCCATTTCATCCAAAAGTTCATAAACTTTCTCCATGCGCCGTATTTTGCATAGGTGCTTGATCAGTGAATTATATGTCGCTGCATTCGGGAGACATCCTCGGACATTCATTTCCTGAAAGACTTCCAAAGCTTGAGGAATTCTCTTCTTGAAACAAAGCGCATCGATCATGCAGCTGCATGTCACCACATTTGGGTTGCAACCCTGATCCCACATAGCTCGAAATAACTTGAGTGCTGTTCCTAATTTCCCCTTCTTGGTCAGAGAATTTATAAAAATCGCATATGTAAACTGATCCGGCTTGCATTTAGATGCAATTATATCTTTCCAAAACCTTTTTGCCTCACGTACATTTGCTCGTACACACCATCCATTAAGAATGATATTCCACGTCTTTATATCTTGTTCAAACTCTTTCCCCTTCTCGTTAAACAAAGTTTCCGCAACTTCTACATGCTTATACCGGCATAGCCACATCAAAAGCTTCTGAAACGCAACCAAATCAAGCTCGAGACCAAACTCTTTCCTCTTATAAAACGTAAAAATTGCTTCCTCCACCCTATGTGCAGCCGCATATCTATTGAGCAAAATCCCATATGTTCCTTCACTGATAAGCCCCTCTCTCTTTGACATTTCGTCGAGCACTTGGGAAACCTCATCAAAAGCCCGCATTTTGCCAAGAATGTCAAGAATCTCGTTGAAACAATCGGACCCAGGCAAATACCCAGTTCCTCCTCCACCTTTACAAGCCCAAGTGAAGAATACATAAGCTGGTTTCCAATCAGACCTGTGCCTCCTGAGCACATTCAAAACCAAATCCTCTGTCAGCACAAACCCACATCGGTCAAGAGCTCGCTCAATCTCCTCAGCTGGCTTGTCCCTTCGAAACTTGAGGATGTTTTGTATGAAAATAGCCGTTTGGTCACCTTGGTCTTCCCCAAACCGAGCCTTTTCGTCAGAATTTGCAACTGAGTGTACAAAACAGGGCGTCTTATTCCTACCCAGAAAGTAAAATTGGGATATCTTACTGAAAGTTTCAGACTTTGGGTTCGTTGGGCTCTGAAATTTGTGAACTTTCGCAAGGTAAGAGAGGGGTTTTTGTGCAATTGGGTGGTGAGAATGATGGGTTCTGGGTTGGGTTTGGAATTCTAATTTGAAATTTTGTTGGATGTTCTTTTCCCGGGAAAGAGTCCGCAAGGTTTTGAATTTGAATCCCATGTTTGGTTTTTTCTTCTATTGGGCGTGCTTGGGCTGGAAGAAAATCATTTCCTAGATATGTTATATGTGTGTTTATGTATACAACACTTCCAGAAAAAATTCAAAAAATATTTATCTTCTTTTGTTATATATAAACCCATATAATGTTTTTACCCTATAAAAAACAAACCCCCATAGAATGTTGACCTTAATTTCATTCCTTTTCATCTGAACCATAAAACCTAAATTAAGAAGAAAAAAAGTGGTCCAGAACTTGCTCTTATTAATTAAAGAGAGGTCAATGGTGCATTTGAATTTCACATAATCAATACAAAGGCATGAAAATACTACACTTGTTAGGTCATCGTGACTCATTGAGTGGTGTAACACTACTTTAAGGATTAAGTCACGTTTACTATTAGACAAGCTAGGATGACTCAACGAGTATGGTATATTTATGTGTTCATACTAAATACGTTAATGTAAGGGTATGAATTATCTAAGTACATAAATTGGTATTTATAACCCTCTTTGATGAAAAAGTCTCACCAAATTTATCCCAACCAATATAACTTTTAAGGTTAAGGTTATCCTCATGTACCCCAAGTTTGGTTGTTAATCTGCTAGCTTTTTCAATTCAATAGAACCCAACCTAACAATTTACTGGGGTTATCCTATTCCCTTTAGACACACTAGGTTGATGGGTGAGCTACTACCGTTCAGATTGAAACTACAAGTAGACAAACCATCAAAAGGTTGGTTAGAATGGTTGTGTCTCTGGGTTCATTTTTAATCCAAATGAATCCCACTTACTTAAAGTTTCCTTTTTTTTCTTTGTTAGTGTCAAATCTAGTAGTTCTTTCAAAGTTCAAAACAAAGATGGCTAAGGGAAAGCAGTTTTGATTGAATAGCCAAATTACTTTATTTAAATCATAACAAATTTCCAACACAAACATCTCAAATTGGCCACAAATCAGTAGGAAAGTTGCTATATCCAAAGGATTCAACAAAAAGTGCACACTCTCATTCATTTCTTTGTCATACTTCGTGTTCATGTCCTTTTGAAAATGACTAAAAGTTGTAGCTAGCTAATGTGACTAAGTTGAGTGGTGGAATCAATTGACCGCCTTTTGCTCTTTTAACATATTCATGTTTTACTCGTACTCGTCTTACTTTGAATTCATGTCATATCATGTCATGTAATGTTATATTGTTATAAAATAATTGGGACCTAGCCTTAGTAATAACATTTTGTTTTAATTTTCTCTTTCAAAATTTAAATTATCTAATTTGCTTTCTCAAAATTTATCAAATATTCGGATAGTTTTGTTTGAAGAATTAAAAAGGAAGAAAAAAGGGAATATCAATCAACCTTTGGGATGCAAGATATACTTAAAAAAAAAAAAGAGGATTATTTTTAAATAATATTAAAAAAATAACGGTCGCACAAACACAAATGCACTACAATTTTATCTTTTTGCTTGCTGGGTATAGTGTGCTTCTTTATATTTTAAAAAACAAATCCAAGTAAAAAAATCTTTGCGCAACTTTTTGTCGAACAGTGGTGCTGTGTACAATGTGAATATCCGTTCGGTGATAATTACCACTAGACGTGTAAAACCCACGTGGCAGCATCCCAAAAAACGAAAGGCTACAGCCGTTGGATCAGATGGGACCAGTTCAAAGGCGAAGGACAGAGCATTTTCAAAGAGACTGCCCACATGAGAGAGAGAGAGAGAGAGAGAGAGAGAGAGAGAGAGAGAGAGAGAGAGCGAGCGATCTACTCACGCGGCGAAGAGGCGGACCCGTGCCGACAATTTTTATGGCAAAACCCAAAAAGTCCAACAACCCCCAAAAAGAAGCACCACACAAAGAAAGTTTCTATAAAAATGGAACTAAACGCCGCCACAAACTTTCCGTTTATCGGCCCAACACAAAAGAAGAGGCAGCAGATAACGCGACGACAGCGCCGTCATAACCGCCGTTAGGAAAAGCCGCCCTTGGATCTCCAGCGTGCCGCGTGTCCTCACCAAAAACGCGCCAGCGTGGATCGCCGCGCTATTTTTTCCTACGTGGGCCCCACGAACCGAAGCAAAAAGGAAACGAGCGGGCGGGAGAGTCAGTGAGTTGTGGGTGGGTCAAACTCCTCGTTGACCGAGCGAATATTTTCTTTTCTTTTAGCTATCGGTGTTGTTGTTGGCATATTGGGCGCACCGGCACGTGTGGCGCGTGACTTGACGCTCCACGTGGGCTCTCCTTAATCATTTCAGCATAACCCTGGGTTTAGATTTTCATTTTCAAATTTTTCTATTTTTCTATTTTCACAATTGTAAATTAACAAGTAGTGAAAATTTGTAAAGTGAGATAGTAGTCACAAATTGATATGTCAGCTTGCTTATTATGTTGGGGCTGATGTTGCTCATCAAGACAACCATTCAAAACTTTTTTTAAAACGGAAAATACTCGAGTATGTCACGTGGTGTTATTAATTCACATATTATAATATGAGTGAATAACATCTTTATATTTTACGATATAATACTAATAAATAATGTATCATAACATAAGTAGATTGTACACGATGAGATGGGGATTGTCAAGAATGTTTATATGCTTTACGATATAATACTAATAAATAATGTATCATAACATAAGTAGATTGTACAAGATGAGGTAGAGATTGTCAAGAATGTTTATATGCTCGTACATATTCATGTGGTCCAATAATATTATTACAAATCTGTTTTATTTTGACCAAATTTATTGACGATGCAACCAAACGAATTGCTCAATCTTTCTTGTTGAATGAATGCTCTCCGATTGGGACTCATGCCCAAATGATTCTATATCATTGATCAAATTTGGCCTATTTCCCTTTTCGTACACACTCAAAAGATAGATATATATTTCATTGAACAATTTCTTCAAGAAAATTCGTGAGCTAACAAGGAAACAAACCCATTTCAAGAATAATGCGATCTTAAATGCCATGGAAATTTTGTCCACTATAGTTTCAATGAGTTAGATGACAGATCATATTCAACCAACCCTACAAAAGCAGTGCACAAATTTGACATAATGATATATTGTTACTCTACTAACTAGAAAAAAATAAAATAATATAATATTAGCCTACCATGGAATGAATTGAACCATTAATGTTAGCCTACCATGGTCCTAATAACCTATGTTCCGCTCTCTCACACAGCTTGAGCTAACTTAAGACAAACAATAACTAACTTGCCACGAAGTCAATATAACTACATTGTCATAATCTAACATGGTGAAGTGAAGGTGTAGACATCAATTATCATAAATTAGTGAGTGAATACGTCAAAGTAGACCGTTATGCTAAAGATGCAGATATAAGATGGGCCCGTGAAGTATCGCAAAATCTTTTGCCCGACAAACCGAACTTTGTTACGACAGGACACGACACCAACACAAGCAACCAATACTGATCGCATTTTGATTCCTGACACTACTGATCAATCACGTTAATAGGAAACAAGTTAGCCGAAAAAACACTAGAAAAGCTAAATTATGTCCTATCATGGGGCAAAGGTATGCAATAAAATTGGTAACATGAAATGCGAGATGAAATTGCAATTTCAAGCTCATTATGAGATCAAATTATGAAGATAGAAGTTAAACAAGTTGTCTCCAATCCAAATCGTTAGAACTGATCTGATCGATCTCAAAAAAAAAAAAAAAAATGGATAGGAAATTCAAGCATATTGAAGATATATATCAACAATAACTAAAATGGAAAGAAATTTCTTCCTAAATTATACTTACCAAACAAAGAGAAGAACAACGTCCTTGTGTAGACAAAGATATGTACCACACCAAACATTAAATTTTTAGAGGTAGGGGGTGGTTAAAAATATGAAAAAGAAAAAGGAAGGGACAATAAATACGTGTCATGAGGTGAGAGGCAGTCAGAAGTAACCGAGGTGGTTCGTGCAAGAGAAGCCACATTAGGCTAACATTGTGCACTTGAACATAACACACAAGCGCCCAAAAAGGAGCGTAGCTTTAACACTCTCTCTCCCCTCCCTATAAAACCACACCTTCACTCCCTCTCTCTCCCAACAAGCCTTCTTCCTCTCTCTCTCTCTCTCTCTCTCTCTCTCTAAGTCTCACATCAATCTCTCCAAGCACAAAAACCATGGCTCCGACGTCGCCCAAGTCTCCAACCAAATCCGGCTCCGAAACCCCGAGCCCAAACTCCAAAGAGATCCGGTACCGCGGTGTCCGCAAGAGGCCCTGGGGCCGCTACGCCGCCGAGATCAGAGATCCCGGGAAGAAGACGCGCGTCTGGCTCGGGACCTTTGACACTGCCGAGGAGGCAGCGCGTGCGTATGACAAGGCGGCGCGTGAGTTCCGCGGGGCCAAGGCGAAGACCAACTTCCCCACCCCCGCTGAGCTCCAGCTCGAGGCCGCCGCCAACATCAACAGCCACAACAACAACAACGCGACGAAGGCTGCCGCGGCAAACAACAGCCCCAGCCAGAGCAGCACCGTGGAGTCCTCGTCCCCGCCTCCGCCTCCGCTGGACCTCGCTCTAGCGCCCCATTTCGCTGCCGCCGGCGGATACTTCACCGCCGCGAGTGGCTTCCGCGCGGTCCCCGTGGCGCGTCCTGTGCTCTTCTTCGACGCCTTCGCACGTGCGGAGAACGCGGCCGCCCTCCAGCGCGCCCGCGAAATGTGCAGGTTCGAGCGTGCGGTTGCGGCTCCCTCCTCCGGCGGGGCCCACAGCGACTCGTCCTCGTCCTCGGTGGTGGATTTCGATCGCAGCCTTCCCAACGGACGGCTCGATCTCGACCTCAACCTCCCTCCCCCATCGGAAGTCGCCTGAGGCCGCCCCGCCAACCAAGATCGCGTCTTTTTTTTATCCGGTCTAAATTTGTTCTTTCTTTTTTAGCTTAAAAAAAACCCTCCTAGGCTGTTTAGAGAGCGAGAAAGCAAGAAGCTCGAAGCTGACATGTATTTTGAATTAGCCCTACATGCAGTTGTTAACTGCTCTACATGTTGTATATACCGAAAGAGAAACAACCCAAGCCTTTTCCTTTTTCCATCTGTGAGAGAGATCTTAGTTTTCTCTCTGTGTTATCTAGTAGCAGTACATGTTATCAAATCTGCAAATGAAATGAACCATTTCATTCTGTATCACTCGGTTGTTTACTGTTTGTTTGCCCAGAAACCGCAAGAAAATGAAGAAGGAAAAAAAAAGGGATCGATCGAAGCAACGAATTTTACCAAACCCAACTTTTCTTTTTCTTTTTCTTTTTCTTTTTTAATTTTATTAAATCGTGAATTTTACCCAAGATTTGTTTGTGGATAATATGTGACGACGACCCAACAGACATGTCGCCGGCATTGTTTCCCGATTGATGAGCCTTGTCCTGAGGTGTGGTTCTGAATTCGTGTGACACCTCTAACGTGCGCAGCCGACTGGTTTCTTTTCATCAGTTCCAGGCGGGCGCACGTTAGAGAAAAATCCCCTTTGCTTGCGTCAGTCACTGGGTGGGCCCCGCCTGCCCGAGTATGGAAGACCACACTACCCGTTTTATTTCAGCGGCAGTTTAAATAAAAAATATATAAAAATATAAACAAAGCTGTAAGACACGGAGCGGCGTTATGATTAGAAAGCATGGGGGGCGCTCTTACTCTCTCTCTCTTTGTCTATACACGGGCGTGTCTCGTGATCTGCTAACCTTTCGGGACGGATCTGGAGCGTGATCTTGATCGGACGGTCCGAATTTGGGGGACGAGGGGTGGGTCCGTGAGGACACGTTTAGGGTAGCGCCTCTTGGTTTATTAAATTTTCCTTTGGTTTTTATTAGAGACGGCACCGACGGCGAAACCGCTGCGTATTTTAAGAGGACCGAATCAGAAGCCGGTGGGTCTACTGGTGGGCCCCAGCGGACCGTGTTGACGAGGTACATGTCGGGATTCGGGTTGTCGTCACGTGCACCCTACTCTCACTCACCGTCCAGTAATTACTAATTCTGTTTCACATTTTGAGTGTTATCACTTGCGCCCTTCATTTTTCTTCCCATATAAGTTTGGCCCCATCATTCTCAAATATTTTCCGTTCAAGAAGTAACAATCATTTTCTTTTAGGTATTCTATTGTCTTAGTATCCATGGTAACATCATGAGTTGAGTTGTGTACGGAACATCATACATATAAAGCAACAATAAATGGACTCAAAATATTATTATAAAGCAACAATAAATGGACTCAAAATAGAAAATCATGTTACTAGGTTGCGATTTCTTGTCTATTTAACAAAAGTTGGATTGAGATAGTCTCTTTTTTTGGATTTTCACAAACAAAAACTCTTAACTTGTAATTTGTTTTGTCTTCAATCAAACTCCCATGCTAATGTATTTTTTTGCACAAACTCTTATATTTGATCTTTAGAGATTGGTGAGTCGACAACAAACGACAATATTTTTTGTGATAGGAAGATGATATTAAAATGTTATTATTTCTTTTGTATGTTTAACAAAATTCGGATTTAATGCATTTTTATTTTGTTCTAATTGTCATAATTGAGCATAATTTTGTAACTGACTGTATCTACGGTCATACTCCAGTTCATTTTAATGATGTGTCTTATGCACACATTTTTATCTTCAAGTTCTAATGATTGACGAGTCGACAACAATGGACAACAAATTATCTTATAGAGAATCACATAAAAGGTTATGATTTCTTCTTGTCGATTTTAACAAAATTTGGATTCAGCGCAGTTCTTTCTTTGTCTGGTTCGTCATAACTGAATATTATGACTTGTAACTGACGTTTCGGTTGAACTCTAGCTCATCATGCTGAGATGTCTTATGTACGAACACTTGTCTTTGAGCTTTAACAGGTAGCAAGCCAACAAGAAAGGCAATATATCCTCTGACATAAAATCATATTATCGAGACTCGTTTTCTTGTTCTTCATTCAACAAAAGGTGGATTTAGTGTATCCGTGACGTTTCTATCTTTGTATTGTCCATCATAACTGAAAACCCTAACTCTTAACTGACTATACCTTTTACCAAATTCCAGGTCATCATGTTGTGCGGACTTAGCTCTCGAGGTTGGTGAACCGATAAATAGGACAATGGTAAAAATTTATATTAAGAAGTCATGATCTTTTCTTTCCTTTCAAAAGGGTCTAGTTTAGTGTAGTTATGACAATTTTTTTAAATATGATCTAGGATTTAGGGATTTCTTTATCTGGTTTAGGGTTTACATTTGAGATATGGAGATTGGGGAATTGATAATAAATGAAAGTAAAACTATAGATATTAACATGTTATGATCTCTTCTCGTCCTTTAAAGAATAGTTCAATTAACTATGTGTACAACATATCAATCTTCGTTTGTTTTATTGTAAAGAGACATAAATGAATACATAATTTCTAATTGAATCTAACATTTATCAAACCCTGGCTCATCATATGCATCTTCTATGCTAACATGCATATATAGCTTTGGAAGTTGGTGAATTGAAAACATGAGACAATATATTCTATCATAAAAAGTTTCTTTCTTCTTGTATGTTGCACAAAAGGGAGATCAAGTGAATTTTGTGAATTTTCCATCTTTGTTTTGCCTGACAAATGTCTGTGCCTTCAAATTGATTGGAACAAAGAGTCACAGAGCAAATAATTTTCTCAGGTTAGTTTCACTTTGGTACAAGATTGCTATGTTTTAGTAGAGTGGATTGATTGAATAGCTGAGTAAAAACGATTAGAATAATGTTACTCTTACCACATTTGTATACCAAATATGTATACTATCTTATGTGGCAACTGAGGTGGACAACCACATCAATTAAAATTATTTAATATTTTCTTTTATTTTATGATTTATTCAAGTAATTGTTTTTCTAATTGTCTTAATTAAAATACACTTCATTGATTTAATTGATGTGACATATAATATGAACATGTCACATCATATGGTATAGAAATGTGAAATAAAAATGTGGTAATTGCAGCATTACTCGAAGGATTATAACTAAGGATTTCACTGGTGGTATGCTAAATCTTCTTTTCAATTTTCTTTCCAAAAGTTTTCCACAAGTTCGGCAGCAATTGAAATTGCAGCCCCCCCTTACCCTCTCAAATAGTTAATTAGTATAGTAATCCGCCGGCTGAAAGCCGCCGTCTTAAGTCCTAGATATTATATTTGTTTAAAAAACTTTGATTCGTATCTTAGGTGTTTTAAAAACAAATCACAATTGTCATTAAAATGAGAAAAATATTATAAAAAGGTGGGCAACAGTGCAAGAACGGAAAACTCTTGGGGGGGGGGGGTGACGTTGAAAGTAGAGACTAAAAGTGGTGACCAATTATAATTTCCACCCTCTCTACCATAATTATTATAAATGTTTTTAATGATTAATAAATGTTTTAGGAAGCAAATTAGAGGGGTCCACGTGTGAAACAGTGTCTTAGGTGGAGGCGCGGCGGCCGCTTTGCGTCTGGCCCACACATCGATCGTGTCGTCTGGAAGCCACGAACAAGTCCGCAAGATTTCGCTTCCCATGCAGTTGTGCATGACGCTGACACGTAGCGAATGACGCACCGCCACGGAGGGCGTCTTCACGTGGGCGCCAAGTACGGACGCTAGCAGCACTGCGACGGGTGTGGTGGTGACGTGTCCGAAAGTGACATCAGCATCTCGAGCCGGGCGCGTCGTCGGCGGGAGTTGCGTGGTGAGGGGAACCCGGTGGTGGGGGCCGCGGATGATGTAACGGAGAGAGGTAGGTCATGCAAGGAGAGTGGGCGGATGCGCGCCACGTGGTGGGTAGTCAAGAGAAACGGTTCTGCGCTAACCGCCGAAATTTAATTAATGAAATATAAAAATATTATCAGGACCCAAAAGAAAAAAAGAAAGAAATATAAAAATATTGAGAGAGATGGATGGGATGGTTTTGGGTTTGGGGCGGCAGGGTGGTCCTTTGTTGGGCTGTCAGGTGAAGCAGTACGGATATTGGGCTGTGCTTGGCTGTTGGGTGGGGAAATTTAAATAAAAAATAAAAACGAGTTTCTGAAAAGTGCTGCTTGGACCACTACGCTTCTGCTCTCCCAACCTCGGAATATTCTTTAATATTTTTGTATTTCATTTAAGTGGATTTAATTTTAGGGAGTATCTAATGGCATTGCAGAGAAAATCTGTAACCAAACAGAATATTGTGGGAAGAAATTAATATGGGGAGCAATTTTGCTTTCTCATTGAACCGATGAATTGCCAATCACTTATATGTGAGAGGGGAAGTATTATTGTTTTAGTCAAGCACTACAGCCCCAACAAGGGAGAAAATTTATAGCGTAGCTTTAGCCCATTTTGATCATCAAAACTCCCCACCTAAATCACTTGACTATTTCGCCTTGTATTTAGGTCATGTTTGGTGAGTGAGATTTGATTGGATTTATGAGGTAGAATTATAACGCAGTGGCGGAGCCAGGAATCGAAATACAAGGAGTCTTAGTGTAAAAGTCCTAAAAAAAATTTTAGGATAGAATCAACATATATATATATTTTACATATGCAAAAAAATGAAAATAAAAACTCACATTGTTACTAGAAATTAATGCGATAAACATCTTTAAGAATCTCATACTTCACTTACGCACTAAACACATAAACTTGAGACATCGTTTTATTCGAGATCACATAGAAAAGGGAGGGAGGAGAGAGGAGAGAGGAGATTATGTAGTTACCCTAAATTCCTTAATTAAATTGCTGCCTAAGTTTTAATTTTTTTAAAAAAAATTAGAATGGCATGCACAAGTTGAGGCACAAGAGTGGCAGAAGTTGCAGCTTCAAATGGATATTGAAAATGTAAACTTTGTTATTACTGGGGGCAAGAATGTTTTGTGATGGTCCAGAGGCCAATAGATAGCAATTTGCCATTTTGCTTTGACTTCAATTATAGTGTCTCACAGGCTGAAGAGCAAAGTCTTCTGTGTGGCCAAGAATATGTAAAATACATTTGAACTTTGGCTTAAGAACAGATTCCGTCAAGTTGTGTTGTGGAGAAGCAGTGGCTGGAGAGGATACGCTGGTCTTTTTCTTATTTTTTTCAAACCTGGCCTAAAATGATGTCGTCTTGGCAAGGTCGTTAAAAAAAAAAAAAAAAAAAAAGCGTGCACTAGCCTTCTTCTTTAGCCTGCAACCCATCGCTCTTTCAGACATTTCGTCGACCACTTGGTGTGTAGCTCTAAGAGGTTGCACCAGCAGCTCCAATGGACCTCTAAGCCTATTTCCATGGCTTCCAAGAGGTCGTGCGACCTCAATGACTCCACTGTGGCTCCGCCACTGCTCATGAGAAAGTTTGGGAAAATGAGCCAACATTCAATGCATATTTTTCATGACCCATGAACAATTTAGAATTACAATGTATTATTAAATGTGTTGATGCAAAAAAGTGATTCAGTACTTTTGGGCTCAACTTAGTGATGTTTCGGCCTTCGGAATGCTCTTGGGCCTCGATAGAGCGCGATCCTGTAAAACAAGAGTTCGCTCGGTAAGACCTAGGGCACCGGTATGATACCGGCCGAAGGCTCTCCGATGCTTAAGTAAGTACGGATTTAATAAGAGAATTGAACAGATCCTAAGGCAGTATGCCGAAAGTTCAGCTTACCTCTATTTTGGGGAATTGCGCTCCTTTTATAAACCTTGGGAGGTGTGCAAGTTGTGTATAATTTCGATATGGGATTGTGGATATTCACTGTGGATACGCCACGTGTCTAGTGGGTGATTTGGGCTTTAGTTGCGAGATCGGCAGACTTGAGTGCCGAAGGCACCTTTGCCGATGCCACATTTTACCCACGTGTCAGGCCCCTATTGGTAGTTGATTCTACTATAAACAGAAGTCCTCCAAGTTTCTGTTTGAGAAAAGATTCTCATCAGGGACTTGTTTCGGTCTTCGGCCCTTGTGAGTTGCCAATAGTAGTTGACAGCTTTGTTCTGATTACACGACACCGTTCGGCTCATTGGTAGTGCTGAGGCGATGGGGCTCCCCTTGGGAGGTATATTCTCTATGTCCCGGGCCCTTCAGGTATTCCAAAGGTCACCCATTCTTGTGGTATCGTTCGGTAATCCTGAAATTCTGAACGGCATCGCATAGCCAGTCCGGTCATGCTCCTGAGTGCCGAGGGCACCCCTGCCGATGCCACGTTATACCCATGTGTCAAGCCCCCATTGGTCGCTGATTCTGGTATAAACAAGGGTATAATTGGAAAATTCTACAAACTTTGTTTTCCATTCTTACACAAAACAAACATGGGAAAGGAAACAAAGTTAAATCTCCAGGTTACTTTCTCAACATTACCAAACTTGAGAAATGACATGGAAAGTGATTACCCCTCAAATCCGTTCCGTAAACCAAACGGAGCCTAAAAGATTATATATAATGAAATCCGTGTAGTTTTCCGGCTACGAAACATTTGACTAGAATTATGAATCCTAATCCATAGTATTCTCATCATGACTAAATTGGTGTAACTTCTAAAGATGCATAGGTGACTTAATCATGATCAATTAAAACAATCTATTGAAAATAAATGAATAAAGAACTACAAATATTGACCATAGTACAACCCAATTGTTAATGCAGTCCATGGGCCAAGTTCTGTGTTGCTAAACCAGAAGCCCAACCCATATTATTAAAATAAATAAAAATAGAAAAGTCAAAAAGCAAATAAAGAGGTGCAATATTATGTCAAACAAGGATGTTACTCAAGTTACAATATCCCTTATTATATTAGACATTTCTGACATGGTTATCCAAAATGACATCAGTTGGGATCACTGACTGATTAATTTTTGTAGTTTCTAGGAGTATTATTTTAGTGGTTTTTTATATTTTGCTAAGTTGGTAATTTATAACTATTAACTAATTAGTTTAAGGTATCTTTTCCAGTCATAGTACCATTTTTCAAAGATAGTCTCATAGTTGATTGGTTTTGTTAGATTAATATTTTAATATCTCTATTTTCAGAGGACAAATATAATAACTTTTTTTTCTTTGAAATTAACAATACAATTCTTTTTATTCTGCATATATTCATTTTTATAAAATTTATATTTTTTAGTATAAGCGATAATCTAAATGACAGGGAATGAGATTTCTCACACACATAACTAACATTCAATGAGAGTTCGAATATGAAAATCTCTGATATGTAAGTTATTCTTTTCCACTAGGCTAAACTTGTTCTAATAAAATTTATACTTTAGAGCCCCCTTAATTCCATACTCTAAAACCTCTTTTTTTTTTAAAAAAAAAAAAAAATAAAACAACAAAAGATTCGGAATAATGCGTCATCTATTAGTCCAATTATGCTAAGCATCTTTTAGCAGAAAAAAAATAAAATAAAAATAATCACAAAAAATGGGATATATACTATACTATGATACTGTATTTGCTAAGTATTTTGGGTGTTGGGAGAACTGCCATTCTATACTAGGGGACCGCACAGCACGGTGGCACTGTGTCAAATTCTCATCTCTCTCATTCTCATATATCTGACCTTGGCTTTGGCTTTTTGCATAGGTGGGTTGTAAATCTTAGAGGTCATATATATTGGTAGTGAATCTTATTACTATAAAGAAAGCTGAGGAAAAGAAGATGGGAAGGATATTTGTGGTAGAGCTGGAGGGAAGGTGTTACAAATGCAAGTTCTGCAAGACCCATTTGGCCCTCGTCTCCGACTGTGTCTCTCGGGTACTTTATCTCACTTTCTCTCTTCTTCCTTCCACTTTCTGCTCAAAGATTGTTTCTTTCACTGTAAGAACCATTACCCATCATAAACCATTGCTAAAGTTTATCTCTTTGGTCCTCTTTATAGTAATTTTATGACACATACATCTAATTTGTGTTTTTGAAGCTTTTTTTCTTATTTTTTTTCCTTTTTTCAGTGTGCTTCTCATGTTTCAGAGTGCATATGTTAACATTATTATCTTTTGTTTTTTGGTTAATTTGCTACCATAGGAGAGGGATGAAAGAAAACTATATAGCTATGCTATTTTTTGAGGCACCATGTTTTGAATTTCTTGTGTTTGATGCACAAATTGTGTAAAGTAAGAAAGAATCTGGTGCCATAGAACTACAAGGAGTTTCCACTTTCAGGACTACGCAATCTGGTCTGTTGGTCACAAGGTCGTATGATGGCCACTCATGCGTGCCATGGCGACAGTCGAATTGCTCATTTTCTTTCCTTGATACATTTTCGAGTTACTAGTTTTTCTCGTTTGTTTGTCATGCACCAGCAGCATATGTATTTGAACTATTCTGTTGGCTTTTTAAACTCTTTCAGGTCTCATTTTTTCCTTGTGATTTGTTCAGGGTTTTCATTGCCGCCGGGGAAAAGCATACCTCTTCAATAATGCGTGAGTTCTTCACCTTTTGTGGATATCTGATTTTAGAAATATGCTTTATATTTGTCAAGCGTTCAGTTTGGTTCAATTTATGGGTTTAGTATTTATCAACCTGCATTCTATGTATGTAGAACTGCTTAAATTGTTAGTTCTTCAAATTATTTTTTGTTATTATTGATTCTTAGAAGCACAGCTCTTTGAAATTGTACAAGGATTCGTAATTATAAGAGTGTGGCTTTCACTTTGGGAAGATGCAAATGAAGCTAGCTATATGATCTTTAGTTTAGGTGAACAAGAACATGCAATTTTAACCTGAAGCAGCATTCTTATACTCAGTTATTCCGTCTTTTAGTTTTTGAATAGTTTTGTACTTCCAATATTTAGAAATTAAGATTATGTTTATAATTTTCATTACGAAGTACGTTGCAGGAGAAATAGTTCACGCTGTTTTCAGCATATAGTTTGCTGATAATATCACCTAAATTTATTATGGTTGAAAGGTTTATTGACATGGGATTTCTGCTAAATATTGATATGATATTACAATTCAGGTCTCCATGAATATGCTGGCTCTTCTGTGTGGCTAGTAAAAGAAATTATGTTTGGACTTCTAAAAAGTAGTAATTCAGTAAGGTTTACTTATATGGAGAAGTTCGATATAAAAGCTTTTGGGAAATAAAAGAGTTCCCTTGAGGATTTGGCTAAGTTCATGCATGTTCTGAAATACTGCCCTGTTAAGAGGGATATACTTGAGTTTCACTAGATCTTGAGATTAGCAGTCATGTTCTTTGGGCCGCCCTTTTGATTTATTTTAATAAGAAATACTAATTATAAGAGGTGGGCTCCTTAGTGATGACTGGAATATGGGTTGTGTTCTGTTGATCGCTCTGGTGGATGGGCAGTGCTGCAGTGGTCTCTACTTGTAACATGTTGTCTGCAGAGTCATTCCTGGTAAAGTTAAGACCATCAATCCTGGGATGCTAGATGAGAACAAGGGATAAAGAAGAGTAGCATTAGACATTATTTGGAGTCCTATGCTTTTAGTTGGAGAAATTTCTGCCGACCCTCCTCCTAAATAGAAATTTCTATTATTAGGATCTGGGAGTCAATCTTATGCACGCCAATGGAGAGGGAATTGGTGCTGCTGATTGTTTAGTGAAGTTAGGGCTCTTCTAATCTTGTTCTCTCTTCATCAAGCTGTTTCACTACTTTGATTAATGAAACGGACTTATCTTCATAGGATGGCTCCACAGTGTCTTTGTCTAGGACAGTGACTCCATGTGGATAGCTAGATGTTCAACTTTTACTCTGCCATTCAACAACCTGGCTTGTAAAGGTTAAACTCACATTGGTGAAAACAGTTCAGTATTTGACTGTTACCAGAGATTTTCCTCAACTCAACATTCAGTTTGTGGGGTTGATTACATACATTGATGAAAACTCAAATGTTTCTGCTTTATATGCCTCATACTGTCTGAGTAGCACGTTTGAACCTGTTTTTTAGGTTTATAGGAATTCCTAGCCATATTAAATTATTAATGCTCCTTTGATAATGCAAGCAGTCACAATCTTTATTGTTGTTATTCATGAAGTTATTTAGTTCTCTCTTTCTGAGTTTGAATATCTTGGGTTTTTGCTTCGGTGCCATGGGTTCTGCTGCTTGAATATTCTTCATTATATCTGTTTATAAAACTGTTAGCGCATCTATCAAATCATTTTTTTTTTTTTTTTCGTTATCTGCTTAATTTTCCTATTGTGCATATGAAACTCCAGATCCCCTTATAAGCAATGACTTTCTTGTACTCTTGGCACCCCAACACAATGAAATGACTTTCTCATTTTGCAATAAAAGAGGCAAGCCAAGATCAAACAAAAATAGATTGGTAATGACTCAACAATGGACACCCCAGAGAGATTGGCTTTTCAGGAGAGGAATGAACCCCAGATTACACCCATGGGGAAGTGGCTTCATTTAGATTCAGTTTCTGGAGTTCAAGAGAATAGGAACATTGTTTCTCCCCTGCAATGTTCAACTGGAAAAACTGGAGCTAGACCATTTAGATGCTTGACAGTTGTAGTACTCTTGACACCCCAGTTGAAGGTCTTTCCTATTTAGACTAGAAGGAGCAAGCCAAGATCAACTGGGAAAGAGTTTCAGTAAATAGACATACTAAAGAAAACCAAGTCGGAAATAGGAGAAACTTCCAATTATATATTACTGCTCTATTAACCCTTCAGAAAATTGGTTTTGTATCTATAGGATTGGCTTTTGATATAATGTAAATAATTTCCCCCTTTGACGATAAGGTAAGCCATACTTTCAACTTGATAACTTAATGATCCATAGAGAATGTAGGAAGTTTTAGCTTCTCATATTTTAGGAGAGAAAGCTGTGGATTGAGATAAAAACCATGGTCTCATATTGCATCCATGATATAGGGAAAAAAAAGGTCATGCTAATGGCATTTCAATTATCCCTTTGGGAAACTTATATTGGATTGCAATCTGATAGCTACTGATATATGCCTTGGAGTTTGTATTCCAGGGTGAATACCACTATTGGAGCATTAGAGGAGAGGTTGATGCTCTCAGGTCTCCATACTGTTGCTGATATATTTTGCTGCTGTTGTGGACAAATTGTTGGCTGGAAATATGTATTCTCTCTCTCTCTCTCTCTCTCTCTCTCTCTCTCTCTCTCTAACACACACACACACACACACACACACGAGTCTTGTACTGCATAATTTTTGCGACTTCATGCCCCTTAAACCATTTTTTGATTCCATATGCAGGAATCTGCACATGAGAAGAGCCAGAAATACAAAGAGGGGAAGTTCGTCCTTGAGAGGTATAAGCCTTCCCTCCACTTTTTGGTGTAAGCATGATATGCTTAAGTTTCATCCTTATTTTGCCTTCATAATAATGCAGAGGGAGGATCGTCGATGAAGTAGATTTTTCGACAGAGTTCTTTGTTGATTCTCGTCCTAGCATGAGTAGCGATGCTGATGATGTTTAGGATCTGAATTTCGTTCCCTGAGTAGTTTGTACCAGACACTAGGCAAGGCAATACATGCAGAACAGCTGCACTGTTTATATGTACTTGTAATAGTTTTCGAATAAATGACTTAATAAAAAGGATATTTGAATGACTCATGTGAAGTGTTTGAGGTAAAAGTTATGCCTTCCTTTTCAGTTTTCAGTGATTTGCATGGAACCCCACTCCTGGACGTAATTAGCATCTTCACAATTTTGATAAAGAAGAGTCATGTTTCCAAGATATCAAGCTAAGAAAAAAGAACTCAAGTATGATCAAATCATTCAAATTACCTGGTGTGTGGGATCTGAAGGAACCAACCACATTTGTAATTGCCTATGAGGGTTTCTAGATCATGGTTAGAGGTAAATATGTAACGTATTTGTCGAACTTCAAATTTCAAAACACAACTACTTCAAATTTTTATTTATTAATACAAGCGATATTTTAGAGTACTGTATATTAATACTTCATTTTTTAAATGTACAATCTATAGTTTATTAATTAAATTAATCTAATATAAAAGAAGAGGCATCCGAACTTGAGTGCAAGAGGATAGACTTATTGCCTTAGCTAACTGGCCTAATCCCACAATTTTTTAATTTGAGTTTTTAGTTGTTTACGCGAATTTTATCGGATTTTGTTTTCCCTTTCGAGTTGTTGCTTTTGCAATCTTGTTTGATCTTCTTGTTTGGTACACCTCTTGACATTACTGAAGTTTTTTTTTATAATCAATATCGTTGTTTGATAAAATTAAAAGAAAAACAATTTTCTATAAAATAACATAAATAAAGGGAAAGGAAAATATAATGCAAAGTTTCTAGAGCGATCCCGGTCCTAAAAGAAAAAGGAATCATCGTATTTCTTATATATATATATATATATATATAAGGTGCAGCGGGAGCCAACAAAACAGGTAGAAAGAAATTAGGCCAGAGAGCCTAACAAACGAAATCCTTAGACAAACAGAGAACTAACCTCAAATCTCCAATTCCTAAACTTCTCAATCAATAAGAATAACCCTTTCTCCTTTCTCTTTTCCTTGTAATCTTAATTTGCTTTTAATAATTTTGATTGTTGCAGGTTTAACCTAATGGGCAAGTCGTCTTCTTCTCATCGAAAGAAACGCGCCAAGATTTCTTCTCAGGTCTCTCTCTCTACCTGTTGTCGTGTTTTAGGGTTCTCGTTTTTGGTTTTCATAGTCCTCTTTAAATGGGTTTTCTTTCCTTGCTTAAAAGATTAGATCTTTTTGCTGGTTAGCCTTCAAAAAACTCCGTTTGGATATTGACAAATATATATACAAGGCAGAAAAGAAAACGAAAAAAAAAGAAAAAAGGCAGCATTATAAGTTCAAGCTGCTGTGCTAATAAAATAGTTGAAAAACGAAGCGTTAACTTCATCTGGTTTATTGGTTTTCCATGCCCTTTTGCTTATATGGTCATATCAACACGATTGTATGTTATATTAGGATTTTATAGTTTGATTCATGTCAATGCCCAATGCTAATTTGTATATTTATGAACATGTATATGGCTTTCTTTAGGCAGGAACAAGGAAGAGCAGTAAGAGTAAGCCTAAAAGTAGGAAATATAGATCCAAGAAGCTTCGCCGCCGTGATGATTCTCCTTCTCATTCTGATGACGGTGATTCGAGAAGTTTAGAATCTGTTTCGTCTTTTAGTTCTGATGATGATTCTAGAAGTAGAAGGGCTCGGTCTCGCACTAGGAGGGATCTGAAAGGTAGCAAGAAAAGGGCTCGCAGACGCTCCCATAGCCATGACAGTAGCAAGGATTCTCCCCGTGGAAAGAAGAGGAAATCGGCAAAGAAGAAGAATGATTATGAGGCGAGGAAGAAATCCCGTTCGAGGAAGAAGCCTAGGAGAAATGCTAGCATTAGTTCCAGGAGTAGTGCTTCTTTTAGTTGCTCAACTTGTCCTAGTGGTGATGAGATTGAATCTAAAAGGCACAGGGGCAGACCTGGCAAACGAAACAGAGATGAAAGTGATATTAACAAGGTTGAAAGTGGGACTAAGAGGGCTAGATATAGGTCAAGGAGCTGTTCTTCTCGCAGTCAATGTAGCGAGCATGGTGGTGATAGTCAGAGTGAGGAAAAAGTGACATTTGAAAACAATTTGAGGAGGTTGAGATCAGTTATTACTGTCACAGAAGAAGACAAGCATGGCAGATGGATGGATAAGGATGGGCACAAAGAAGAGATGGCATATGATGATGATTACCCTTCTTGTAGAAGTAATGACAGTAATGATGGAGGGTGCAAGAGGGAGTTGGATAATCATTTACATGTTGTTGAGAAGAGAATAGGAGTGGAGAGTGGGAAAGAGGAAAAAGCTCTTATTTCTAATGTTCCAATCGAAGATCTCACAGATAGTGGTAACATTTCGGAAACGGATTGTGGTGGCCAAGATGATGGAATTAACTCTAGCCGTGATGGAATAGGAATTGCTGGTCCTGTTAATGAAAATACGAAAGAGGTTTCTGGGGCAATTAGTAGTCTGCCAGGTGAAGATCTGGAGTCAATTTTAAGACAAAGGGCTTTGGAAAATCTAAAAAGGTTCAAAGGAAGCCATCAAAGAATTCCAGCAGTAACTACTAGTGAGGAAAACAAGAGCAATAGTGATTTGAAACAGCCATCCACTGTAAAGGCTGATTTTGTTCAAATAGAATCCCCAAAGGAGAGTGGTGCTAGGGCGGTTGTTGCAAAGTCCTCCAAGGAGGGTGCTTCTGAAATGGTTGTTCCAAAGTCCTCCAAGGAGGATGTTGCTGAAATGGTTGATGCAACCCAATTACTAGAAAAAGCCAATGGGCCTCCGGTGAGAGATTCCATTGTTTCTTCCAAAAATCTTAAAAAGGAATTGGATAGGACTAGTGGTAGCAATGAATTGCAAGATGTTGCTTGCCCAACATATCAGGTGGCTCTTGGAAATTCCGATAAAAAGGTTGACACAACTGCAGTGCTTAATAAACCGAACTTGGCTTCACCAAAATTGAGGTGCCACTTAGCTAAAGCTCATTCCACGCGGAAACAAGCAGCTGGTTCGCAGGAACCTCCTCATGAAAGATTATTGGTGATTGAGAATAGTGTAGATAAGAGTACTTCTGAGACTGCCCAAACTGTGCCCCAAACCCAAAGTACCTATAGTAATGGTGATGATATCAATGACAATCGGGGTTGTACTGCTCCTGAACCTTCAGGAGAGAATAGGTCTGATAAACAGCAAGGTGAGGGTAAAGATGGCTCACAGTTTGAGCAGAAAACCATGTCTGTCATGCGAGGCAGTGAAATGGTACAGGTGGGTGTTTTGATCTATTACAGATTTTTATACTTCTTTTTACCTGGCAACTTAATAAAAACGCTTAGTTAGCAGCCGTGGCGCCGGGCCGGGGGGTGGGTTGTGTGGGGTGTGGTGGTTGGTGGTTAGGACAAACCTTTGAAGGTTGGTTTTCAACTGGCTGTACCCTTAGGGCAAACGATCACCACTTTAGCTTTTAATTTTAATAGTCTATTTTCAGACCTTAAAATAAAATTTGATAGTCTATTTTTTACTGTTTGCTTTAATGTTTTAATAATTTTTGCAGGTGAGTTACAAGGTTTACATCCCTAAGAAAGCTCCTGGTCTGGCGAGGAGGCAACTCAGGCGGTGATGTCTCATCATCATTCTGGTGCACAAGTTGCTCTTGACGAAAGCTCTAAACACATTTAGATGGATCTTCCATTAAGCTTCAAACAATATTCCTTTAAAAAGGGATGTGTGCTTTTGGAAAAGTGATGCTTGATTGACCTTTTGTGCAGGCATTCTCATCCTCATGAACAATAGAAATCTGTGGCTTAGTAGCTGTTTTTGGTAGTTATATCATCCGTCATGCACTTGGTCACCGGTGTTATTCAATAGTTCCTGTTGTATCATCAACGTTCTCTAAAATTTATTTTCTTTCTTTCTCTTGTTTCTAATTGTTTCCAGTTTATGTAACCTGTTCACAATATAAAATAAATAATAAATTAATAATCTGTTCAGAATAATATATTGCGTGCAATGAATTCTTTTTCTACTGTTAAATAACTTAAATCTCTTTGGTTCGCTGTCATTTGTGCTGATTCTCTCAGTATAAAGGATCCACAAAGGGCTGTGAAGGGTTTGTAGTGGTTTAAGAGCATATACCCGCATCCAAAACTAAAGTCTTGTATTTGATCCTCCCACCCCTGATTTTGTATCATATATTGAGCATTTGTGAATGGAGCTTGTTAGGTCAAGGAACATTCACTATAGTTCCCATCTAACATTATAGATTACTGCTTTACCCAATGGCAACCAGCAAAGGCACACTGAAGTTGCTTGCAAATTTGTAATCTATATCGAAATTATTTACACAATCTAAACGTTGAGCCAACTAAATATCGAGTAATGACCATGCTAGCAAGGATACTATCCAAGTGAGGAAGATAATTTTATTTTGATTTCTCTAACAAATCAACATCAGCCATCGTTCCTCTGCCAAGAGAAATCTGATTATACAGGATCATCTGACCTACTTTATCATGCACATAATATGATGGAATTGAGATGAACTTCTCTACAAGGAAACAAAATAATATATAAAAAGACAGATGAATGAGCAAGATCTGCCTGCTATTTCATTTTGAACATTGTTCAAGCAGTCAGCTCAAAACAAGTTGTCATGGGTGGCTGCTGCTTCAGAAAGACTAATCCCAAGTGCGTGTGTAGAAATTAGAAAAACTAATCTCAGTGGTGTCCACTGCTACATGAATTTTTTCATGCGATTGCAGTAGTTTTGAGTCAATCCTACAGGATAGCAATAAGCAGCTGGTGATTTTCCTCTTGAGAAAAACGCAAGTGCCCTGTTTCATGTTTTTTTTTCGGGGGTGCCAGAGCCCTGTTTCATGTTGAATGACCTAAATAATATCAGCAAATGTCCCAGTTCCGGGTTGGAATTGTTAATGCCAGCTTCCATGATGTAAAATGAGCAGACACCACCAGCTTCTCATCGAAGAGGCCCGCTAATTGACAATACTGTCCAACTTGTTCATCAAATTGCACTTCCATCAATGGTTTACAGTGGCAGAAAGATTTCTTAGCTGCCAGCAAGGTTTTGTTTCTTTGTGCCATGGACACAAGCCCAATTTTCCATCTCTGTAATTGATATGCCTTCCAAGAACTGTGAATATCGCTCTATGATAAATGGAAGCTACAGAAACATGGACATAACAAAATCAGCTCCAGGGACCTATGCCTAATCCAATATACAAAATTATTTAGAATAGTGTGAAATTCATGGTGGATTCTGTCATCTCGTATGGGGGATTGTAACATATATACAAATGGCAAGAAAACCACCATTGGCTCTGCCAAGCTAAAGATGTATAATTCAAATAGATATGCACAATTTGAAGACATACTTCAACCTTGGCATTGGCAGCTTTCCCTCTTTTATCTCATTTTGTTTTCCCTGGATACAAGCTCACAAGGATAAATTTGGAATTTTTTCTTTAAACCTACCCAGCAAAATGTAATCTATAATCCATTCCCCATCCCCCTTCTACCTCATTTTCTTTTGCAGGATAGAAGCTCAGGGAGATGAAATTGAAATTTTTGTCCTTAAAACTTTCCAAGAAAAAAAGCATCTATAATCTATCACTTATGCTGGAATAATACCTGCTCAGAGAGAATGCCAGAAAGACCAATGACTGCCCCAGGCTTTGCATAAGAGACAATATGATCTGCCAAATATAATAGGGGATTTAAGAGTATATTTGCAATGACCACGTCATACTTGTCTGTTTCTGAGATGGCTTCCACTCCAGATGAGCTCTGATCTTCCACAACTCCACATGGATCTATCAAGGGAGAGCGATTTTGGCTAGCTACCAGGTGAAATTGCATCTTTTCAGGTCCTATGTTGTTCAGAGCAGCATTCTGGCGAGCAGAGGTAATTGCTTGAGGATCTATATCAATTCCAACTGATGAGGCAGCACCAAACTGTGATTTCCGGTCAAAATGTGAACTTAACATCAAACTATGATTTGAGCATTAGTTGGCAAAACCAACATCATTTGAAAAGAATTATGATAAGGGGGCACACAGCTAATGACAACATTGGATTCACGCAAAGGTCATGTGGATGGGGTTACTCAGCAACATGCAATAGAAGAAAACAAGCATGCAAGTTGTATAAGTTTATATTCGTAAACCCAGTCATGAGAAATAAGGATACTAATTGCAGCCAAACTATAATCATTTACTTGATGTGTTTCAGAATAGAAGAGTTCTGTATTCTTAAGAGAAACATTCACGCATGTGCTAGGAAGTCTTAGAAAACTATTAAGAATCCAGTATAAAGAATCCCTACTGAAGGCAGAGATTAATCCCAATTTTCTTATGATAAAAGAATTTTACCAGCGGAACCAACTGTTAATTTCTAAGAACGGGCTTCTCACTATCTTGATTTGACATTTGAAGTTTCTATATTCAAATTGAATTACACATCAAAGAGCTTTGCCTTTGAGAAAGAAACATTTTGGAGAAAAAATAAACCCTCTAAACTAATCACTAGATCCTTCCAAGTATAGATGGCCCTGTCTAAGGTTTATACAGGAAAAGGATGGATTATTCGACACTGCAATCCTAATATAGATTTACCTGAGAATGGAAAAAGAAAGGATGCCAGTGCACTTGATTAGTTAAATACCTTAACTGCAGCAATTGCAAGAATTCCAGAACCTGTGCCATAGTCCAAGAATAGTTCTCTTCCCTTTATCAATCCATGAAGCAGCAATAGACATAACTTAGTAGTCGGATGCTCCCCAGTTCCAAATGCCAATCCAGGATTTAGAATTATATTTGTTGCTTCGGCATCCTGTAGGAATTAAGCAACGATAACTATATTTATTCCATAGGTCAACATTAATTGTAACAAGCATTCTTTGTGATTCAGATATAGAACTGTATCCTGTAGCTGGGCACAAGAAGGAACTATTTCAGCATAAAGATACAAAGTGAAAAATGTAAACAACGAATTTCTGAGTATTAAGAAGTAGAACTTTTAAGAAGCATGTGATTAGGTGCCAAACACTTTTAAAATATCAAAAAGGCACAGAGGGCCAATCACTTTTAAAATATAAAAAAGGCACAGAGGGAATTAAGATTCAACAAATGAGGGAGTTGCCTGTATATCATGAGCAACCATAGCAAACCAAAAACCTCCAGAAAAATAATTTGAAACTAGAAAAAGAATCCGATACTATCATACAGGGGGAATTCTCCATTCGGGCACAATCCAAAGTCCTTCAGTAACTTCAACAGGATGGAATGATTCCTGTAAAAAATGGAAAAGGAAATCAAAACATAATGCCTAGAAAATATGACCAAGAGTAAATCAGTACCACTGACTTAAGTACTACATGCTTAACTATCTGTATATCATTACTTCTTTTGGCCAATTATTAATATGCTGTTTAAATCAGTAATAGATCTAAAATCCAGTTCTTATTAGTGAAATTGATTTATCATTCAACAAGCTTTAGCAATAGATAATGCACCAAAGAGGCTAAAGACAAAAACACAACATTTTACAAAAACACAACATTTTATGATAAGACATAAGTGACAAGCAAATTAACCTGAGTTTTCTTTATCCAGTCGAACGGCTCACCCATCCTAACTTCATAACTAGGTATCTCTTTTAAGCTTATGGAATCAGCAGCTCGTGAAATGCATGTATTTACATCTTCGCCCACAGGAAATATGGAATCGATGCAAATCTGTGTTTAAGAAAAAGGCACATTCTCATCATTGTTCATTTACAAAATCTTCTAACACAAGACAAGTAGCAAGATGGAAAAGCTTTCAAAATATAAAGAAATAAAACAGCATTCCAAATGAAACGTAATAAATCAACAGGGACTGCACCTTGTCCTTTCCGTCATAGTTATCTTCTTCTTCGATACTAGTAGAACTTGCACCAAAGCATAAAAGAGCTTCTGAAAGCATATCCTGGCCAACAACAAGAACCAAATGGGTCAGGCACTGCATTGTCTTTAACTCAACAAAGCCTTAATAGTTAATAGACTTAACAAGTTCCTAGTACAAACTCCATGTGTCTAGTTCTTGGTATATTATAACAGTTCCACTCTAAATAGTGTTATTCTGCTACCAATACCTCATCTTTTCTGTTGATTGGCATGTACACTGTAACTTGAATGATTTCAACGAACAAAGTACATTCATTTTTTTCTTCCTAATGTAACCAGAATGACAAATAAGTTATTTCTGCCTTAAGTAACATATTCAGATGATATTAGAAGGGAAAAAAAGTTGCAAGTTAAAAATCAAAACTTTATCAGTTCCCATTCAATATATACAATAATTTCCACACAGAATCAGTTTACACTTCTTTTGCTTTCTTTTCCCTTTAAATCCCAGTGACCAAACATATTAATTGACATGAAGATGAACCCAGTTGTAATAACTGAACCAAATGTAATAAAACAGAAAAGAAAAGAAGAAGCTCACAGCTACATGTTTTTGGCAGCGAATTTGGACAGAAAGGAAAGGCGAAGCAAATGGCTCGGCCGAGGGAGTGGGAGTCTCCGGAGAAGAAGTGGAAAACTTTGCAGCGAGGGAATTGGGTTGCGAGAACTCTCTGAGTTTGCGGTTTGTGAAGAAGCGAGAGGGCGATGGGTGAGTTGAAGGGCGAGAGAAGGTGGTGAAGCAACGAGAGCTGAGAGTATAAGCAAGCTGTTTGAGCAAACCGCCTGACATTTTTCAAGTAGTGAGAGGGGGAAGGGCTTGTTTTTTAGGTGAACAGTGAACACTGCTTGGCTCCACCGTCATAAACTAGTTTTAAGTTTAACCATTTTTGTATTTCGACACCAAAAAAAAATATATAAATTTATAAATAAACTCAATCCTAGACATGTATTTATAAAAAAAACTCAAACATTATTTAAACATAGAAACACATCCAAAATCAACAATTGTATATTTTTTTGGGTGTGTTTATCAATGGATTTTGAGTGTGTGTAATAATGGGTTTTGGGTGTTGATTTTTTTTATAATTTCAGCCCCCATTTTGGGTTTTTAGTGAAGTAAAACAAAAAAAAAAAAAAAATTTTTGTATAGTTTGTGCATCTCATTATGAAAAGTTACATTTCGTGTGTTTCAGACAGAAATTTTCATTTATACACTAGAAGGCATGGTTGCTTATTTGAAAGGAGGAAGTAAGTAATTGGAGAAGTGTAGAATAAGGGAGAGAAAAATGAGTATGAGATCAACTACACTCCCTCTGATGAATTTAATTCTTAAATTTTAATGCGGACATAAATTTTGATTTCTTATGTGTTAGTACATGCATTGAAAGTTAAGAACTAAATCATTCTAATGACACATGGAAAGTTAAGAACAATGCACCCCAAAATCAGCAATTAAAAACCCTAGTTGTGAGACCCTGAAAAATTTTCAGAATATTTTTATGCGCACAGTAAAAATTGCACGGTTCATTTTAAGGTAAGTAGCGTCTTTTTTTCCAAGTAAATATTTCCATTATGTTTGAGAATAACTTAATTCCGAAAATATGAAGTTAGAATTTTGGTGTTTGACTTCATAGAAAAATAGTAGATGTCGATACGAGCTTGTGGTATTTTTTGAAAAATACATCCTAAAAATACCACAAGCTCGTATCGACGTCTACTATTTTTCTATGAAGTCAAAACACCAAAATTCTAACTTCATATCTTCGGAATTAAGTTATTCTCAAACATAATGGCAATATTTACTAGGAAAAAAAAAGTTACTTACCTCAAAATGGACCATGCAATTTTTTCTGTGCATGTAAAAATATTTTGGAATTTTTCAGGTTCTCACATCCTAAACCCCTCTTCTCCAAAAAAAAACACTCCTAATGCTGTTTTCACTTTGAGGGGGGAGGAACCCAATGTTCTTCCTTCCCTATCTCATTCTTTCTTCCTCCCTTCTCCTATCTTCCCCCATTTTCTGTGACTGAAGGTTTCCTCTTTTTGTCTTCACTTTGTTATGATTTCCCTCCACCCATCACATGTGGCTGTGTCTTGACGTAGGATCTCCACCTGCGTTTCGACGTCAGATCTCCACCACTATCCTTTTTGCAGTTTCTTTATATTTGAAATAAGTTGCAGAGACTCTTTGGGTTTTCTATGTAGTTTTCACCTTTACTTTTGTGAGAGTTTTATTTGTATTGTTATGGTTAGGTTTTTTCAAGTCTTATTTATTTATTTTATTGTTATGAGTTTGCAATTTTAGTTTGGATGCCTATGTCAAAGTTTCTTTGATCTTGCATGATCGTTAGTGGAGGCGCTCCTCCATATTGGCTTAATTTTGATGTTAGATCGATCTGTTATTGTAATGACCCTTCGTGGCTAGTAATTTTTTTGACTGAATTATGAATACAATCTCATAATTTCTCTCTCTCTCTCTCTCTCTCTCTCTCTCTCTCTCTCTCTCTCTCTCTCTCTCTTCTCTCTCTCTCTCTCTCTCTCTCTCTCTCTCTCTCTCTCTCTATATATATATATATATAAATTCACCTAATTTTAATACAAATTCTATGTAAGTATGATCCAAATTATTTCTTTCAAATATTGTACGCACACAAAATCAATCAAATTGAAAACATGATGAATTTAGTGAAAACATTGGTTATAACCAAATATTTTAAACTTACACTTCATCCATAATTGAGGACAAAATATTACTAGACAAGAAATTAGTAGGTTTTTTGGGGGTTACATTATATGTTTTTTTTTTCTGTGATGCGATACAAACTTGCATCACATTATGTGTTACACTTACATTCACACTCTTTGTATGCGCCTCTTGCACACTGCACCAAAATAAATGAGTAAATATAATTCTTGAGAAAAAAATAACAGAAAAAAAAAGAAAAGAAAAGAAAAGAAGACAAATTTATGTTTTCAAGGAAACAACAAGAAACATTCCAAAATCCAAAGCCAAACCAAAAGAAAGCGAAGAAAGAAAAAGTTGCAGGACAATGGTATTCACCTCCAATCCATTATCTCTCAGCGTCCCAGACCCTTTCTTCGAGTCATGGCTCCGCGAAAATGGCTACCCAGAAATCATTGACCAGCATACCTCTACTGCCATCACCACCTCTACAACCACAACCACAGACGCAAGCTCAATCACAAACGGCTTCTTCATCTCACTCTTCTCTCGCATATTCACCCTCCTCTCTCTCTTCACCATCAACCCCTTCTCCAAGCTCACCAATGAAGACCTTGCTGCCCAAACGCCTCCTTGGACCACTATCTTTATTGGGTCTTCTGACTCCTACTCCTTCCCCTTGTCTGTTTCTCAGGCTCGCATGAGGGTCCAAGAGAATGTCAAGCGCTATGCCAGAAATTATGCTACTTTGTTTGTGCTCTTCTTTGCTTGCTCTTTGTATGTTCTCTTTCTCTTTCTCTTTTCTCAATGGTTTGTGGTTCTTGGGTCAGTTTTGAGAATTGTTTCTGTTTATATTAAGGGATTTTAGGGGATTTCTAAGTGGTCAAAAAGAGCAAGTCTTGGGGGCAATTGGGCTCCAGATGCCATGGGATTGATGTTTTTGTTTTTGTTTTCGAGAACTGGGTTCTTTTTATATTACTGATGTGTTGTGTGGAAATTTAGGAATTCAGCTCTCAAATGATATGGCTTTCTTTATCTTTATCTTTGGCTCATGAGTGTTGGGTGAGTTTTCAGAATTGGATTTTGGTTTGTTGTTGGATAAAAGAAAAGGATAGAATAGAAAAACAACGAAATAGGGTGAAAAATAAAAACAAGCATTTTGTGGAAACGAAGGTAAATGTTCTCGGGTTTGCTGTTTTTCTTTCTGTCCTGGTTTGATATCAATACCTTGTTCTTAATTTGAAGGATTCTAGTTGGAAGTTTGGAAAGTACCTCTCCATTTTAGTTGTTGCAAGAACTTCAGCAACTGTAAGGAAGTTGAAAATTTGGACACCTTTTGTCTTATATTGCACTTTGCCTTTCACAGTGGTAAATATTGTGATTTTAAATCAGCTGGATGGTAAGCTTATTGTCTGGTAGACCTATAGTGGACTATAATCTAATAGTCAAATTTCCAAATTGTGATATCTTTTCCTTGGCCTAAATAACTTGAGTATGTATTTTTGGTCTTGCCAATGTTGAAAGGTTGGGGCTGCGATTTATAAAAATTCAAGAAATCATATGCTACATGGAATGGTTTGAGGGGTTTAGGTTGTAAGGAGGTCTTGCTGATGAATGCATTTACTCCTATCTGAATGCACTTCTCTCTAGTGAAGCAGAGATGAAAAGTAAAGCCACAACTGCACCTCCTTTCAACAATTTACCTTTATGTGAGAGGGCAGCATAGGCTAAATTGTGTCCTCTATGGTGTCTGGTCTTTTTCAGTGTCCTGTAAAATAAAAGAAACTATTTGGTCGCCCTTCCCTGTGTCGGTACTCTTTAGCATTTCCTCTTTTGGGGTGTGTGGTTTGGGTTTGATAGTTTATAATGTTTTTATTTCCTGATCTTATTTGATATTGTTTGTGTTTTTTTAAATATATTATTACAGATATCAGATGCCCCTGGCTCTTGTTGGATTGATATCTTGTTTGGTACTATGGGATGTTTTTAAGTTCTGTAGTGAAAGGTGGGGATTGGATCGATACCCAATAATTCGTGAGTGCTTAATTCGTGTTGCTCAATGTGGTGAGTAATCAACTCTGTGTTTGGGCAGTAGCAGTATTCTCTTGTACATTTTCTGTATACTTAGTATTCTCTTGTACATTAGATATCCATCTGATTCATCCTCCACCTTTATTTTGTTTGAACTATAGAAATATTTTCGGTAATTTTCTGATAGAAGTAATGGTTGAGCTTGTTTCATGTGGAGCTCAGTTTTTCTAGATAATTTATTTTTTACCCTCATAAATGGTATTTGGATCTTATCATGCTGTATTTTGCACAGAGTAACAACATAGACAATGCAAAATGGCGAAATCTCCATCCATCTTTTGTGCTGTATGTTATTTGTTGAACTTAAGCTGATGTACTTGTGAGCAACTACAATATATATCTTGGTGTTCTTTAATTTGGGGAACTCTTAAATGGAATAGGAATCACATATCATTAGTTTGGTATGAAAACTGAAAGAGGTTAATACTCTGGTTTGGATGATTAATCTGCTTGGAGTTCTAATGATCTATGAAATGTAACTGTAAGCTGGAGCTCCTGAGTGGAGATAAGCCGAACATTTTTTAGTTTTTGCTGTTCATTCTGATGCAATGTAGTCACTGGATTTTCTTTTGTAACATTGATTGGACTTCATCTTTGCAGTAGCTGCTGTTATCCTGATATGCTCGAATGTTCAAATGGCTCTCTTCTATGCTCTTGGTGTCAGTTATGCAGGTGAGTTTTGGATATACTTCGCATATTCTCTCATATTGAGAAGGCTTATGCACATTTCCCAAGTTCTTTAGGATTTCTCTCCCCCGGCCCCTACCCCCGGAAAAGAAAAATTATTATTCCAATAATGAAAACTTACTAAATAAGTTTTGTGTCGTGTATCAAAATCACAAAAATTCATTAAACAAAAGTCCTTACATTGTATGTTTTAACCCATACTCTTGAGAAGTTCTGTAGTTATCTGAACTTCATGAGAAAAGTGAGTTTAGATAAAATGCTTAAACTTCTCAAAATAAATTGTTTCCTTTTTTCTTTGAGCTAAATTTGTCTATTTATACTTTTGGCTGTCAAGAAATACATTCTATTTGTATTTCTAGACCCTTTTCCTGTGTATGGGATCTTCTAAGGATTTGAACCTATTGTAGGCATGATTCTGCATGCTGGATTTCGGAAGCTGGCTCGTGCAAAGCAAACTCCTCATGGTAGATCGAAATAGCAGGTATTTAGCAATATAAGTGAAAGTTTTGCTTAACTTTAGCTTTAGGAATTTTTGCTGCAAGAGAGCAATGGGATTTTTTTTATGCAACAGTCAACACCCCAAGGTAGTCAAATACTCATGAGCTATATCAACTTTGATCCCATCACGTCTCCAACTCCTGTGCTGAACAACCATGATGCAGGGAAAACAGAAGAAGAGGCATATAATTCCCTCATCTGTGATTTCATGGCTGACCTCCCCATCGTGTCAAAGCAGATGCCTGTTGTTTTGCCTACACGCTAAACACTCCAGGAAATGATGCAGTGATAGTTGTATGCTTATATGATAGTGTTTTCAGTACATAATGTAACTACTTTATTTTAATGATATGATGAGTTTATTGTTTTAGAAGTGCTGAATTTTTTTATTTTGCAAATTCAAATTTTCTTTTATTTATTTTTTTTCAGTTTTGACAATAAATCTGAATTTGAAGATATGTTTCTGATTTATTTATTTTTAATTTTCCAGAAGATATTGGGAACATGTCTCGTTTCGTTTGTGCCGGTTCCTTCTCAACCCCAAATCTTAATTAAATGTGATCTTATTTAATTAAAAATATAAAGAATAAATTGAAGGATAATGCTTTTATATTGTAAGGTCATTGGTGTTCGGAGGGGCCATCATAAAATGTGAAAGCCATTTTGTTTTTATGTTATTTGAAATTAAATTAAATTAAATTATTGTTTGTTTGATTAAATAATTACATACATTGATTGAAAAATTAACTTCATATGAACCCATCTGGTTTAGCACAGTTCCAGTACAGTGAGTTTCTGCATCACTAAACTGAATTATCAGAAAGGGAATTGAAGCAAAACAAACAAATAGCATTGTTGGATTTCACAAGCAAAAATATGATTATTAATAAATATAACCAATTTTGGAAAATATTACAAATGATAATCTTTAAATTAGCAAACCCTAATCGATTATACTCAATGCTGCTACTTGCAAACAAAATTGTTAAATTAAAAAATAATCATAAAAGATGAAAAAACACAATTTCTTACAATGATATGTACATCATCAAATCAGGAGATAAATGCATAAACAGGAATCACACTACAAAACAAATATCCAATCACTACTTGAACCTCTTTCAAGCCGGATTGAGATCGCGTGAAACTTGGCCTTGCCATCTGCATCACAAGCATTAAATGCAAAATACATTAGATATTTGTATTGAACAAAAATTTGGGAGAAAGCAGTTCCCTCTTCCTAAAAGAGAGGAAAAGTAATTTAACTGACAAAGATATCTCAACTAAGAGGACTTGATTTCCATATTTTTCAATTCTTACTCTTTGAGTTGTATTCATTGTCCCATCTTAATTTCTTGCCTGTATCTCTTTTAGTTCCCTGAACTGAATGCATCACTACTATCACTTTTTATATGGTTCTCTTGCCAAATAGGTTTTTTTTTTTAAATGATGAAATCTGGGAATGCCGACGAAAACTTCTTATCTAAATGATTGTTCAATCCTTTCGACAGAAATCGTATGAAGCAACTTTCAGAGTTTTAGTACCTTTTCAAGTCTTCAGAAACTAAAATCTTTTAGTTTTTGTTTATTGTTTACATTACAATCAGTTACACTCGGTATCTGACAAGATTTAAAAAAAAAACGAATGGTCAAGCTCGAAAGAGAAAGGTAAAAGACAGCACAGTATGTTTTGATAATTGTGGAAAGATTTCAAATTTTGGTATTTTTGTCATTGGAAATAGCTTGAATTGTGAATTGTGAGAAATTAGTCTGGAATACAAAAATTGCCTACCTTCTAAATCAAGATAAATTACTACGTTAAAGAAACAACTTGGCTAACCTTGAGAGCAAAAATCTTGCAAGTGGGCTTATGTTTGCGTTGGATTGAAATTCCTTGTTCTGCTGCTTTTTCTTGTCTTCTGCCTTTGTGTTCTGTGTTTCTTCAGAAGCTGTCTTGCCCTTGGTGAAAATGCGGGCAGCCAGCTCCTGCAGATCTTTCAATGAAGATTCCTTTGAACTATTTGAACTGCAAAGATTTTCTTCTATGAGTCCTATAGACTACATGCCACCATTTTAAGTGGTGAGAAAGATTAGGACCAATATGAAAAAGATAGGATGTGTGAAACCTTGCTAATCGCTGAAGCAATTTGCTGACAAAAACTTCCGAAGATCCTGGCTTCAAGCTCTCCAACTTTGCAAGCGACTTTGCAACTGCACGCACAGCAGACCCTTCTGAATCATCAGCAATTGTCTACATGTACACAAGAAAAAGAAAAGTAAATCACAGGGATTGAAACTATGCGTACAATGAATTCATTTGATATGTATGCATACATCAAGACGTAAAATACAGTAGGTTGAAACTTGAAACCATACACACCAAATCTAAATATTATTGTTTTACTGATGCTAACATAGTTAAAATAACTTGCATCTTAAATGTATGCCTAGAACAAGCAATCTATATCTTCCAAAGTACTCACACATGGACATATAATAGGTGTGCTTTTGCAGCACCAGGCTTCTAACTAAGAAAAACCCACAATTTTTGGCAACAATGAGTTCCTTAGCAAGAAAAGATAGAGAGAAAGAGAGAGAAGAAAACAACAATACTGTTTTATGTCTTCAAAAACTTGTATCTGCAGTTCTTGAAGGTTTTTATTTTATTTTTTTATAGACAATTTAGGACGAGTAGAAGAAACTCTAGAGAATCTAACAGAGTGAAATTACAATTTCAAACTAATAGGCAAAGTTACCCCTTGACACCATATGGAAGACAAGAAGTCTACAACTTATCTGGATGCTCACCTCTTTTAAGGAAGGGATAAGCAATATTGATAATGCCGCAGATTGTGCTATAACTTTTGCACTTTCTTCATCATCACTTGCTTGGGATGATCTCGGAAATACTTTTGGTGCATCAATGTATTCATTAGATTGTCTGAGGGAAAGAGAGTTCCCCCACAAATTAGAAATTTTCAATCCTATCTCACATGTGCATGCATGTGTAGGTGCAGGTGTGTAAAGATTACAAGTACTAGCAACATTTTCCCCAGTAGATATACCTGGAAGAATCAGAGCTATTCATCATCTGCCCTCTTCTATCGTGCGCATCGTAGTTGATCTTGTTAAGTGCAGACCTATCTTTAGCATTTCCTTTCCTCCCTCCTTGAATTGCAGCCTTTGCCTGCATAAACATTGTCAAGAAGCTTCGTCAGTGAAACACTCTGGGACTATTGAAGCCAAGAGAACATCAGAATTACGTTTTTATTTTTTTTCGTTTTTCTGTTCAATCTAAAATTTGACAATGACCTAAGAAATTCCGGAGAGAAACCAGGAAAATCATATTTAGATACAGAATATGAGAACAAAATATTTGGAGATGAAAACCCTAAGAGTAGATCTGATCTGGGAAAACAATGAATTCTACAATTAACTAAAATAGTATTGAAAGGAATAAAATTTTCAAATTTAGGTACAAAATGTAACTGAAGAATATTACATCTGTTTTAAATTGATCTATGGTGATACATGAACGTCAAATCAAATTTTAACAGATCAGCAGCTTTTTGCAATTACTCTGACATGAACTGAATTCTATAATACCTGAAGACATTCACTAGCACTACTGTAATCTGTGAAATTTAATTGACCAATTAGATTAACTGGTATCAATTGAAATATTACATAGAGCAAAAAGCCACCTCTGCAAGATTAATGGCACTGTCTTCAGTCGAAGCAGTTGAAGTTCTCTCTTGAATTCCCAGCCTGGATTTTGGCGTTCGAGGAGAATCAGAATCATCATGTTGACCACGAAATACAACAGTTCCGCTGGAAGAAGCATCTTCATAAGAAGCGTATGTGCTGCCAGGCTACAAAGCAAAACGAGGTAGTAAAATAAACAGGTATCTCAGTACAAAAAGTTTGAACTCCAATACATCCTATTCTTGTCCTAACTGTACAGATTATTACCAGAGAGTTTTGATCACGAAACTGAGAAGATGACTGAGATCCTTTGGGTGTTCGTATAACAACAGTTCCTGACCCACTCACAGTCAATTCTTCCTGGAAATACACCTCAAATTGCTAAACAATACACAGTAATGTAAAAATGGTGCAAACAATCGTGAACTCCAACTTGGGTCAGTAAATGAAAAATCAGTGTTTGAAAAATCGGCCTAGCCCAGTAAAAGCAGACGGAAATCAGGAGTGAAAATTAAGTAATGGCCAACTTCTAAACAAATAGTTGATATTCACACCCCTATATCATCCCACAAACCAAAACCCCAAATCCTAGAAGCATTCACAATTGCACTGGAATACAACAGTCATGGTGCACAAACTGCATCTTTGCCAGGAATGACAGAAACTAGGGACTACTAGGCATGCTTCTACAGAAAACCTTAACTAATTATACAGATAAGAGATCAGTAAAATCACAAACATTGAGGACATCGTTACCAATCTTTTCTCAACTTTGTATAGCCCATTAATTATATGGAAATTTCTACAAGGTTGTAACCGGATGCAAATTGTAACAAATGTGTGTGATAGAGAAAAGGATCGGGAGTGGGAGACTTACATCTTCAGGGTTAGACTCCTGGAGTTCATCACCATATGAATCTCTACCATCTTTCAACAAATAATCTTCGCGTGATTCATGAAGTGCATTCCCAGATGCGGAGAACCGTTGGTTACTACTCTCTCTTCCAGGGGTTTCCAGCTTTTTTTCTCTTGCCTGAGGTGGTTTAAGCGTTGCAACACTTCTAACAGTACCTGTACCCTGTGATCCAATGCTGAAATCCCATCCAGCATTTTTCACAGTCTTACCCTGGTCACTGCAAATTAAAACAAGAGTTAAACCACACAACCAGCAAAGCACCAGTGATCAGCAATTTCTAACCCACCTAGCTCGAACAGTTTCATCTCTTAAATTTCTCGTCACTTTCACGGTATCAGATATCTCCCCTCTAGCTGTAGGACCATTTTTAACGGTGTCACCATCTTCCTTTATATGGTATTTTGGACGCTCTCTGTAAGATAACAAAAAGCAGGGCATCTTAGCTAAACTGTGTAAGAATTAGCATGTATTGCCAAATCAAACCACATTGACAAATGAATGCCAGAAAATTAAACTAAACTGCAAGTTGCAGTGCAGTTATGTATGTTTAAAGTTCTCTTCTGCCTCATATCTGTGGCAGGCATAGACCAGGTGAGCGTCATTGTGCTGCAGATGCTTTCTAGAAAGAAACTTGACATCAAAAGGTGAAAGGCATAACAGCAATATTTGGCACCTTATTCTCTCCATAAGCCTTGGACTCTTTCTAGCAGTCCTGATAAAACGGTGCTTTAGTAGTTCCTTGGCACTTGCACGCTGAGATTAAAGGAAAAAAAGAACAAAAAGAAAATTATAATAATAGAAAACTTGCAGAATTCATTAATCAAGATAGTGGAAGGCCATATTGCCACCTGATTTAATTCACATCAGCATAGATTTGAAATGCAACAAACAGAAATAAAGCAATTCATGCAATACACTGACTCAGGCTAAAGTTTTACAAAAACTGATGCAAGCAATATTTTGGACTCCAAACTAATACATTACAACCAATATGACTGCCAACTCTCCTTCTCTCTCCCTCATTTTTTTCATTGTAATTTTGTGGAAAAGCAATACCTATAAGAACCACAAACACATGACAAGAATCATTTGGAGATCACATTAAACAAATAAATACTGTCCTGAACTTCAACAACCTCTCATTTCCAAATTCCAACAATGTATTATATATGTTTGTAGCTGACAACTGCCTTTAGTATCAATTTATGCAGGTCATCATGTGGCTAATGGCTATTCTACACTCAGTTTGAAAAGGGGAAAATTCCTGGATTTTCCGATACATCTTGTGGCAACCACGATGATCTATTTTCTGGGTTTGGAAAAGTGTTCCCTTTTCAAGAAAGGGAATCCTATGATATGTTGGGAATCTTTTAACTTTTTAGTTTCTAATGAATTTTCACCTTCAAATCAATTAAACGCAAAATGGCAGTATACAATGGAAAATTGAGTGGGATATTCTGATTGTATAAATACTTACCTCAGCAGGTACCTTCTTTAGACAAAGTGAAACAAATTCTTTCATTGGTCGAGAAAAATGCTCATCCAACTGCACAACAAACACAAAAACGATTCTTTTATATTGTGAGTAATATCTCCATATGGCTAAGAAGCATTTCATTTTTATAAATCATTCAAGATGAATGGATTGGTGTGACATTAGAGTATACTGAAAGAACCTGAGGTGGATTTTCTCGAGGTATAATGAAAAGAACTCTCATCGGGTGAAGATCAGCAAGTGGCGGTTCCCCTTTCGCCATCTCAATAGCAGTGATTCCCAGAGACCAGATATCTGCCTGCATATGCAAAGGGTCCAAGTGAGTGAACGGTCAAGGCTCAGTGTGAGTAAGAATGAGGTCTTCAATAGATACCTTCTCATTGTATCCTTCAGAATTCTGGATTACTTCTGGAGCCATCCAGAATGGTGTTCCTACAAATGTCTGTGATTGTTAAAAAAAAATTAGTGCATTCTAGCTAGCGTACAACATTTAAGATATTTCTTATACATAATTGGAAACTAACTGATGTAGAACAATCACTAACATTTCATATTATCAAATCATTGCGTATACACAACAAGTAAATTAGGAAACGCATGAGCTTCTACCCCACCCCACCCAAAACCAACAAAAAAAAAGAGAAAGAAAAACAACGACAAAAAGGAAATAGCAGGGAAACCCCAATTTACAATAAAGCACTCATTTACCGGAGCGAAAATGGTAAATTTACTAGACAGAAGTAAAAAAATGACATACAGTGAGCGCACAGTAACACTATTCTAAGTTCAAGTAAATAAAAACTACAAAAGTGCATACCCTAAGTAGTGATTCATCTGACCTGATCTGATCAACAATAAAGCAAATGAATTCAAGTTAAAATATGGTACCTTCCTCCTTGATATCGTCCTTGTAAGTTGTGCAGAAACACCAAAATCTGCCACCTGTTACAAGTCACAAACGTAACTTGGAAGACCAAAGGCTAATAAATTTAACACCACCCTTCAATGCATATCTTACTTCTACTTAGTTAATCCTCTATACAAATTACAGACTTTTTTATCATGAAAATATACCTTAACATCACCATTCTCTGTCAATAAAATGTTTGCCGCTGCAAAATTTATAAAGTTGTCATCAAAACAAGAGCTAGAAGAAGCAAGGTGAAACTAATAATACTTACATGAAGCTGAAAAATGAGTAGAAAAAGAAGGCAATTTCAAGCACAGAATACCAAATATTACAAATGATTCTGTCATAAGGAGATATAATTACGTAGAAATTAAGGAGAGAAAACCTTTAATATCTCTGTGAATTTTTCCTTCATTATGTAAATATTCAATTGCATGCAGCAAGTCACGAAGAATACAGGCCATGGACATTTCATCTAGCGGAGGACCTGATTGGAGCTGCATAAACACAATTGTCTGAGCATTCTGGAAGAATGCATGATAGATGCACACACACACAGAGATATGTGCATACGTGCGCGTGTGATTTTTAGCACAGTGCATCAACACCACATGTACATAAATATGACATAAAATTTACAGCATTCAATGGACAGCTAAAGTCTAGCAAGTCACTGTTAAGAAATTTCCATCTACTGACACCATAGTGTGTCAAAATTGTTAAGATGACGAAGTACATCTAGAAGGGAACCGCACTTGCATATTTATCAGATTATGATAAGTGACAAGAAATAACTTCTTGCAATTAGGAAGAGAAAATACAGCAACAGAATCTCCATCTTAAGAATAAAATATTTGAAAGTGTACTTTCCAAACCTATACTTCAAACATAAAACACAAATATACATGATACATTGGTATATTGGTATATTAGTTACAAAGATAACAGATATAAGATTTTCAAGTCAAGCTTAAGCGAATGAGCGAAGCTGGACCTAACTCTAGCTATCTCGTAATAAATATGAGCTGAACATTCTGAAGCTCAGGCTTCACTTGTTACTTCAACAAGTGTGAGATCTGCTTTTTTTTTTTTTTTTTTTTTTTTTTTGAATGCCAAGATTGAATGAGCCAAAGACGAGCTAAGCTCACTATGAATTCGAGCTGAACTGAGCTGATTTACAGACCTACAAGCAAGCTGTGATGCCATGTTAATATCTTCGTTAATGACAACTTTCCATTATAAATAAACACCAACTCCAAAGAGAATTTATTAACAACTAATTACATAGCAACCAAAATCCCATCATTTTGTAGAGGAACTATGATGCTTATAGACGGGAAACATAAAAGAGAGAGATCCACAAGCCTTTATGTGAAAACAGTTTCATTGAACACACTGACTTTGTATAAACAACAGAAGTAACATACTAGGTCAGCAACAGAGCCACCGGCCATGTACTCCATTATTATCCATAGTTTTGTCTGGTTGAGATAGGAACCATAGTACTCTGTAATATAAGGAGATCGACATTGTGACAAAACTGAAATTTCCTGGAACACATATAAGCTAAATCAGCATTCTAATCTTTGGCTAATCATAATGACAATATACTAGCTATCAAGAATATGAGGTAGTACCTTCTGAATGTCCTCAATCTCATCCTCTCTGCAGAAAACAATAAGTAAAAGAAAACTTAAGATTAGTTGCACGGCTTGATGAAAATCGAATAGATAGGAGAAGCAAACTCTATGCTCCAAGGAGATTGATTAGTAATAACCACGCAGAAAAATTATGTCTCTTATAAATAAATAAATAAACCACAAGCAAAGCAATGAAATAAACCAAGTAATTAATGAGGGCCATTAGCATGAGCACAGGCAGAATGACTTCATTTAATTAAGTTAGTAATTAAGCAGCAGCGACCATTTACAAATGTACAGTCATGCATGACAATGCAGCATTCAGAAGGTTGGTGATCTGAAAATCCAGTGTTCAGTAAAATGGTCCCAGAATGCTAATTCATTCATTCACACTACATGACCAAATGTCACATCATGGGCAACTTAATATCTAAGTAAATACACTCCCAAGTCACAACTGAGTCAGGCAGTTTCAAGTGCTCAGGCTATAACCACTTGGTCTTCATGTAACAAAAGAATTAACTTTCTTTTTTTTAAAGTTCAAATCAACATTCCTTTTTGCCTTCACTAATAATATATTTATTAACACAACGCTGGGAAGTTTTGGGTGCTTTACGTAATTTTTTAGTTTATCATATCTTCAAATTTTACCCACTAAAAGTAATGAAGGAAGAAAGAAAAGCTACTATTATGGCAATAGACTGGAATTCATCCCATGTAGTTCAAGGCAACAAACATAGAACATTGAAAAGCAGAGGACAAAACATCACATATGAATAGATTCAAATCCATATACTTACGACTCTTCCAAATCGATTACTTTTATTGCAACTTCTTTATTAAGCTCCTTATCAAACCTGCAAGTCAGAAAAGGGATCAGAGGTCACCATCTCTATATGCAATCAATCTCCGAAGTATGCTGAACCCACCCCAACCACAATGACAAAACAAATTAAAGTAAACTTTGCATACTATAAACAACTTTTCACCATATTCAATCAGGATACATATATCGAATAACCAGGGTATATATAAGACAATTATGTATATTGTGCACAACCATGTGCTAGCATCTGACAGGGCCACAGCGTGAAACAAGTAATAGCAGAAATCCAGTGTAAATTACATGTACAGATTTTGGGCATAAAACTTTTAAGTGCCTTCTGCAAGTCAGTTATAATAAGCATAAGTTGTTCAATTAGACACATGAAAACACTAAACAAGTCATCTTAAGAAGGCAAGGAGACAACAAAATGCATGGTAACTCAGAATTCCAGAAAGCATTCAGGCAAAGTTACACATTGTGCATCTTTAAACTGGAACTTACCCTTTATACACATCGCCGAAGGATCCTCTTCCAATCAGCTCCAATTGACTAAATCTTGATCCTGCAGCCTCTGCCAAACCTGCTACATCAGCCATATCCATGCTGAAGTTGCTTTCCCCTTGCCCGCTTAGCCAGTAAAACAAAGGTCACTAAACAACACTACAGTGAAGGTTCATAAACTCTAGCCAAATATCTCCAACTTCTTCCAGCACCCACTTCCAATTCACAACCCCAAATTCACCCAAAATGAATTTTTATGTATCCAAATATTGGCTTCAAATACCAAATCTGAAACTGCATTAGAAAACACTAAACTAATCAGCTCATGTAAATGAAACAAATAAACACATGAACCCAAATTTACCACAATTAAGGGACCAATTTAAAAAAAAAATTGATAACAAAAATAAATGAAAATGAAAAAGCGCAATGCAGTGCAAGGTCTTGGACTCAAAGCAAAGAATTTGAATTTGGTGTAATTTCCTAACACTTGTTAGGTAGAGTGGGATTCGCCATAGTGACATCCCAACATAATTGCACATTATAGGACACCCATAAAAAAATTCCGATACATGAAAGCGAAATAAAAACAACCTACAAGTGGCTTCAACCAGGGGTCGATGAATTTCGTCCAAATTTCAAATCTATATGTAATTTTTCACAGAAAGATTGAGATTTGAGACTTACCCTTAAGACAAAATGCGATTTTGATATGTATTGGTATGCATGAGAAGCTAATGTCTGCGGATTGGAGCCATGGATCTCTTTCCTTCCTATCTTTATCGCGCGCGCTCTCTCTCCCTCCCTCTGCACAGAGGCTTTGGGAGCTTCAAAGGAATCGAAGAGAAAGTGTGGGTTTTTTGTTTTTATTTTTTATTATCTTTTCTTAAATAATTGAGTTCTAATTTCATAGTCTTTTACCTTCTCTTCTCTGTAATTTTCATTCGTGGGTTTGAGCCGGTTCTTGGAAACAACCCGCCAACCAACACAAAGAAAGCTAGCGGCTTCGCAATATACGGACCGAGAGAATACGTATACCGTATTCTTATACACAGTACAACATTCGGTCATAACAAATATTTTCATTGAAAATTTTAATTTATTTTCATGCAAAGAAAAAAAACTTAGTTTAATTTTTTTCTTATAGTTTAGGAGCACCTGAATAGTATGTGTATCATATTGAATAATAGTACATATATACGTTAATAGTGTGCATATAGTAATTTGTTTATAAAAAAATGTTCATTTTCTGTATAATAGAGAAGTGTACATAAGATATGAGTATATGTATATTAGTAGATACATACATATATTTATTATATACATATATATGGTATTCGTTTGTGAGACGGCAAATGTTTATGTTGTTTTGTTAGATTGTGAATTTAGGCTGCATACTTAGATAAGAATGAACGTGATTAATTTTCTCAATTGGCAGTATAAAACCATAAGCATTTTATATTGGCAAGCATATGCTTAAGTTGTCATACTCTGAATTTGGACTACATATTTAGATAATAATTAACATAATTAATTGTCTAGGTTGACAATTTAAAAACATAAACATTGACATGAAGAATACTTCAGAAATGTGAATTTGTCACATGAAAAAGAGAAAATTAAGACAATTTACAATTTGTCACATTTTAACAAATTAAGAGAGTTGCCATCGTGATTTTTCAAAATCCACAATTCATCACCTATATCCGACATGGTCCAACTGTTCATCTAAAAAATGGTATGTCCATTTCACATGACCCCTTTTAAGGGGTATTTTGCACTCTTGAAGTCTCAAATCTCGAATGAAGTGATAAATTCATATTCAATTGATGTATAAGTTCAAATGAGATTTCTGAAGTTTTTTCCAAAAGGTAACAACTTTTAAACAATTAAAACAAACTCAGCCGTATAAATGAGCTTAGTTAAGTTGACTAGCGCAGATGCTTTACCCATTTTGCATCCGAGTTCGAATTTCCCAACCTCAGCCATTTGTCACCTATCTTCACACCCACACCCACCCCCATACATATGACATTTTTCTCACCCACTGCCCCTCCCAAAACCCCATTCCACCCTCAACTCACCCGCAGCCCCACGAAACCCACCCCTGTCTTGTCCCTAACCCGACCTGCCTAAGTCATTGAAACTATAGAAATACTATATATTGTCATGTTTCTTATATTCCAAGTACCTTGCATAATTGCATTGCAAAAAGAAAGATGAGGGAGGGAGGGTTAGGGATATAGGGGTGGGTTTCGTGGGAGTTGTGGTTGGGCAGGTTTGGAGATTACGGCTAGTTGTGCATGAGCTAGTGTGGGATAGGGGCGATGAGAAAAGGAAAATGCAGTGGTGAGGTCATGGAGATGATTGTGGACTGGTTGTATGAAATCGGTGTCTTACATATTCATGATCATGTACTATTCACATGATGTAGTAAATATGAGACACTCGTTTCATACAACATATGTTTGAAAAAAACTCTGATTTGTCGGCGGACTCACTCCTAAATTTCCACATCCCTATTTCCCTAGCCTAGATATATATATATATTTAATAGCTATGATCTCTATCATATCATACAACACAAAATTCTGTCTTATTTATTTAATGAACATTTGTTTGTGAGTCTTTATGAAGACACCTACTTAATTAATGTAATAAGCACTAAAACAGTGGCCTTATAACTAATTAACACGATCTAGCTAGCTCGACCAGAAAGAGACATTTATATCATAATCCCAAGCATTAATGCACAAGTTGCTCTTATCAATTGACGCATCCATTTTTCGCCCATCAAATAAGACAATTTGTCGGCATGAAAAAGTTCCACACGAAATTGCAGTTCCAGCTAAAACCCATGAAATTGTCATTAGTCTTAATTGGCATTATATATATTTTTTCTTTTACCAACGAGAGAGAGAGAGAGAGAGAGAGAAATTGCAGTTCCAGCTAAAACCCATGAAATTGTCATTAGTCTTAATTGGCATTATATATATTTTTTCTTTTACCAACGAGAGAGAGAGAGAGAGAGGAGAGAGAGAGAGAGAGAGAGAAATTGCAGTTCCAGCTAAAACCCATGAAATTGTCATTAGTCTTAATTGGCATTATATATATTTTTTCTTTTACCAACGAGAGAGAGAGACAGAGAGAGACAGAGAGAGAGAGGCGGTCTTGAGCAGATCAAGGCGCTCGCTTAGGGTCTCCAAATTGGGAGGGCTCCCAACCTCTATATATGCATACATATGTTAATTTTAAAAAATTGTACTATATTAATATTATGTTAGACCCGTCATCCAAGTATTGTGCAGCAAAAAAATAGGGAGTTTCACTAAAACATCCAAAATGATGGTTGAAATTATAAAAAAACCCAACACCCAAAACACTTTATAAACACACCCAAAACCCATCATTACACACACTCAAAACCCATTTATAAACACACACCCAAAAAATATACAATTGTTGATTTTGGGGTTGATTTTGGGTGTGTTTCTATGTTTAAATAGTGCTTGGGTTTTTTTATAAATACATGCCTAGGATTGGGTTTATTTATAAATTTGTAAAAAAAATATCCCTATTATTCACCGTAAAATTAAAACGGATAAATTCAATAAACGGACCATTATTATCTAAACTCATAGCTTAAGTCAATTAAGCTGGTTGAATGACAAATTTTAATATAAAAAAGTTAACCTAGTTGAATAAGGTAAGAAATAAAATACAAGAATGATTTATTTAAAAGTTCCTATAGCTAAGCATATATCAGTTGAGTTGAGGTTTCGACAAAAGAAAAAAAAAAACAAGCAATTGAAGAAAGATTGAATGGCTTAGCTATGTTATCCATTGAAAAAGACATGGTAGAAAAATTTGATTATGTAAAGTTAATTGATACTTTTGAGTCCAAAATTGTAAGATGAGTGATATTTAAGTGATGTTTTGATGCGTTTTATAAAATTGTTATGTGAATTACATATTGTTTGTTTATTTTTCAGGTTACAATTGTGACTTTGAGTTCATATAATTTTTTTTTAATTATCGAAAAAAATCACATAAATATATACAAATGGTAGAAATGCCCACATTTTGATGATTCGCCTTGGGCCTCCAAAACATTAGGACCGCCGCTGGAGAGAGGGAGTGTTTTGAACTGGACATAATACATTTTTAAACCCTATTTTCATCATATATTTTTGGACCAAATTGAGGGCGACATATAATTCTTTTGCTTATGGTTTTGGGTTTCCTCTCGTTTTGTTTGGTGCTGATGAGGACCCATGTCCTTACAATTAGTATGTACTCAGTACATGTATACTGTGCCTCCTGCAGCCTGCTAGCTAGTCGACGATGAAAGATCACCACCTTCTGCTGTTTATAGCTAACTAGGAGATCATCATACGTATAAGCTTTTGAGGTAAGAAACCTAACAACAGGCAAAACATGCACACCTATCTTAGGCTTGAAATGTACTGATCGTAGACCGGAGGAGGGACTTATTTTGGTCCCACAATATACACTGCTATATATTTATATATAGTATTAATTTTTTGGGGTCAAAGTTTGAAATGGGGAGAGGGGAGGTGTTATTGAGGTTCGAACGTGAAATTAGTCATAGATTCGTTTAACGAATAATTTTTCAACTATGAAGACAACCCTTATGTAGGGCTGGCCATGGGCTTGGGAAATTAAAGTTCAGCGCCGACCCTCCAAAAAGATAATAGGCTCATTATTAATCACATGTTGTCAACTATAAAATAGTTTGTATTTGTTATTTTAGTTCAATTAAGCTATTTTTTTCTTGTTAAACTATGATTACATACAAAGAGAAATTAAGTGTTTTATTTTAATTTATGGCCCCGAACCACTCAAAAGTCAGGATTAACCTTGACCTTATGGGACGAAATTGAAAAATGAGTGTGCCAAAACTCAACTCCTCATTAAAGTTGGGCAGTTGACTAGTGGATGTTAAAGTAGTAGTTTCTCATGTAGCACGAAACGCCATAATATTTTTCTTTGTTTTTTGGTATTAATTGTGTTGAAGGTCAACAAAAAGAAATCTCATATAAACTAAACTCAACACAAATCTTCAAATAAAAGACAGCCCATAAAAGCAGGGAAACCTCATAAGATTTTTTTTTTCCAAGCATTTATTATGTATAGTACATGTGTCATTTCCATAAGTCTAAAGTCAGATGAGTTTAATTGGGCGAATATATATAGATTTTAATTAGGGTGGAAACATAAAATTTCATAAATGGATTAATAGACAATCAAATCCAAATCATCGTGCTTTAATCTAATGGTTGAAACACATAAATCTTAGTCAAAGGTTTCATTAGACTATGATTCGTATATTTCGATAATTGGACATATTATGTTGTTGGATTATTAAAAAAAATCATGTGGAGAGCATACTATTCTAATATGTATGGAGCTTATTAGCATGGATCCCCTTGTACTATTCACCAAAAGAGATTGCATGCGAGTCCAATCATAGATTTCGTTATTTTTTAGGACACCAATAAAAGATTTTCCTTACGAAAATCAACGAAATCATAAATCATTTAAGTAGGGGCCGACTTTGACTTTTGAGTGGTCTATGGGCATAAATTAAAATGAGGTCATTTTTCCTTAATTATAGTTCAACAAGAAACAAAATTTATTTTGCACATGTATGTATTTTTTTTTTGGCTTAATTATGGTAATTCTATCAAAATAAATAACAAAGAACATGAATCATAAAACATAAAAAACCATTGACTTGGTTTTTTTATATATTTTTTTTATAGTACAAATGATAGTCTAAACTAAAGGAGATGAGATTTCTTACACACACACAAAACCAAGATTTGAACCTCATACCTCTAGTCTGCAAGTCAAAGTCTTTTTCCACAGGGCTAGACCCCATTGGCAACCATCAATTTATTGAGAACAAAAAAAGTCATCAAACTAGAAGAACTAAACATTTTCTTGAAGAGTAGACATAGGCTTAGCCAAGTTAGTTAGAGTGGATATGCCTCCCACTCTGCATCCTAGTTCGAATCCTTTTTTCGTAGTTTAGATTAATTTAAAGTAGAATATCGCTTGTATAAAATAAAATAAAAAACATTTTCTTGAAAGTGTTTGATTAATTGGATCTTTATTGTTACAAAACAAAAATAATAATTTTTTAATGTTTAATCGTAAATGTAGGTCCTTGTATTATTAAAATTTTAAAATGATTGTTATTTGGACCCTTGTATTTTAAAACTCTCAGGAAATAAATGGGCTTGAACAGTTATAATATATATAGATTAAAAAAAGGGTTAATTATTTTATTAGTCTTTGAACTTAGACTCGATTTGCATTTGAGTCCCTCAATTTCCAAAAAAATTTTGTGGTCCTTCAACTTTACTTTCGTTAGTTCAAATGGTCTTACTCTCTCTCTCTCTCTCTCTCTCTCTCTCTCTCTCTCTCTCTCTATTTCTACTCCCCCAAACTTGATTTTTTTTGTTGGTTTTTTATTTGATTTTCTTTTATTGTTATTCTAAAGATATTTTTTTGTTATAATATAAATATACAATTTTGCCCTTGCATTTAACAGAAAAAGTTAACAAAATTGACGACAATACCATTTGTCCTAACGAAAGTGAAGGTAAAGGACCACAGAAACGATTTTGGAAATTGAGGGGCTCAAATGCAAATCGGGTATAAGTTTAGGTACTAATAAAACGATTAACCCTAAAAAAAATTTGGGGCTCTCTTGATCTAAGGCTCTAAGCGTCGTCCTCGAGACCAGGTCTAGGATGGCCCTGCATTTAACCATTAGACTATAAACAACAAATAAACAAACACAAATATTCTCAATAAACAACAAAACATTTGTGATGATAATCAAATGGTCAAACAATTTTTGTTGATTTTGTTGCAGAAATAATTAGTAAATAGGAATATAAAAAAGTAGATGATTCGGTTCATTGAACCACAAAAGGAAATTCCTGCTATTAAGCTTCTTGTGGTACTGTATTTGTATATAAAACTATCATACTTTTCCCCTTACTTTGAATCAAGTGCATGCCAATAAGCTTTAAAACATTGAAAACGACTGACTTTAGGAAATGTAGTGTATCGTTTTGATTATTGTTAATGAAAAAAATAATGGACCACAAATGGAAGGCGTTGGGGACCGGGGGTTAAGGTTTAGAACAAAACAAAGAGTTCCAAAGGGATTTAGCAGCGGGCCCCACAAAAGATACGGTCGTGGGTTTTGAAGCGATCCGTGGGCCGGTCAATGCGGAGCAGAGTGAGCCCAACGTTTCTGATTGATGTATCAATTTTGTTATTTTCGACAAAGACCAAGACCACGTGCCTAGTTTCACACGCACCCTTGGCTCGGCACCCACAATCCTTCTGTTTGTCATTGTCCGTCTGCTCCATTGAGCGTGGCTTATGGAGGAGGATGTCGTAGGTACAAGAAGCAGGCACACCCCGCAATCCATGCGCTTTCTTTTTTTCATTTTTAAGGTTGATTTTTGTTTTTGTTATTTTAAATTTTTTGGGTTTTTCTCTTTACAAACATACTCAACAAACAAGTTCGATCAAAACTTCAGATGTAATGGTGAATGCTCTTAATTACGGATCACTGAAGTTACAAATCTTTTTATTGTTTTTGGATTTCTTAAGCTCTATAAAAATGAATTTTTGAGACCAAGGACGGATCCAGAATTTCAAAATAGAGTGTGCTAGATGTACCGTACGAGTGAGCTGTTAAATTTTGAGGTACGTTAAGCCTTAAAACTCTATAACAAATAAATAGAAAAATTCATTTGGGTTATAGCTGAGGTTATGTAACAACCCGGTCCTTAATTAATATTTAATTATTAATTTATTCCGATAAAAGACACTTATACCCCTAGAATATGTTATTAGGTTTAAAAGTTAACTTTTTGACCGAGAAGGAATTTTGGGATTTCAGTTATACCGTTGCGTAGAGCGCAGCGAGATGAGTCCGTAGACACGTAGTGGGCTCAAATCCGAGTTATAACGAAGAAATTACGGTCAAAATACGTTCATGGGCAAAATGGTAATTTGCCAGGACAGATTTTTAAAACCCTTCCCTCCCCCATTTTTCAGTGCAACCGTGGCTTCTTCAAGCCACCATCACCGCCACGTGCCACGGCCGGCCACGAGACTAGTCGGAATAGGAACGCCACCAACCCAGCCACATGTTCCGCCGCAGCCCAGACCCCAGCAGCATCTCCGGCCGCCGAAAACAGCCCAAGAATAGCCGGTTTTTGACAGAACTTTCGAGCTCTCGTTCTCCGTCATCCGGCTACCAAATCGGACGAGTGAGGTATCGTTTTCTAGCTATTTTTCATGTTTTAGCTGCTGGTTGGGAAGGATTTCAGAGATTTCAAGCGTAGATCGTTCGATTCCTTAAGTTAGGTTTCAGCAGATTTTCGGGTCACTGTTTCGGCCACTTCCGGCCAGTTTTTGGGGCAGGTCCAAGAACAAAAGTGGCTCCAAATGGGGTGTTATACCTAGGATAGGAGTCTTGAGCCTAGATGTTGAGTTTTACCGGCGAGGCGTTATCGCTTTAGGCACCACGCGCTGCCAGCGCGTGTGGCGGCGCGTGGGCAGCACGGTGGGGACCACAGTCAGTCCTAGAATAATCTCCTAGTTCTCACAGGCGCGTAGGATTTCGCGGAGCTTAATTCGGATATCGTTTGAACCCTGAACGGATCTCGCCTACTATGCGATTTCCGGGTTCAATACGTTTGAACCATTGGATCGTAGTTAATTCCAAGTATGTTAATCTAGACTTTCCCAAGATCGTATAGTATTTGACGGATCGTAAAACGGAGTCCCGGATACTCCAGAATGGTCAACCCTATAGCAGTTTTATTGTAAACAGTTCAGTTACATGTCAGGAACAGAGGAAAGAACTACGTGTTGCTTGATCCCTTAGAAAGAGTACGTAGACAGTCTACAGTTATCAGGTGCAGCCACGAATCAGAGTCCCTCAGTTGTGCTTTTGTTTTTAGGGCATTTTGATCATTTACGACCCACGTTTACCAGGTGTCAGTTTTAAACAGGATTCGGCCCGGATTTCAAAGTGAAATTTGGGTCGGGTCGTTTCAATTGGTATCAGAGCATTAGGTTAACTTCCTGTAGACATTGCATCACTTGTGCATCCTTATTTAAAAATTGATGGACTTGTCTTCTATTATTTTACTTTATTGGTGTGGTTGAGTAAACAGACATCCAGAATGGTTTGAAAAATTCGTTGAGGTTTTTATATGAAAAACATATTATTACATGTTTATATTTGTTCATTTGGTTAATGGTGTTGTAGGATTATAAATATGATTTTGGATTGATATGTTAATCAGGGACCGATATGGCTAACCAGCCAGCTAAGTATTTGATACATATATTCAGTGGTTGAAAAGGAATAAATATAACTTTTGGTTTTTATCAGATTTTGGTATATATATATATATATATATGGATATATTTTAAGTTCAATTGAGAATCAGTTTATTGAAAGTTTTTGTAAATAGTAGATTATGATTTTCAAACCCACCGCGAGGGTACCCCCCAGTTGCCTTGAGATAGTTTATGCCCCACGAGTATCTGGGACGCCTGAACCGTGTGGTGCGAGGATTGCGGCTCAGGCTGACTAATGGTCTCCTGAGACCTGCGAGGAATGTGGCTCGGATGGACTTGGTGTCTCCGGGATTTGCGAGGATTGCGGCTCAGATTGAAGTTTTATCTCTGAGACCTGCGAGGAACGCGGCTCGGTTAACTTTGTGTTTCAGAGACCTGCGAGGATGGAATTGACGGTATTAAAGGAATTGACGGTATTAAAGGAATTAACGATATTAAAGGAATTAACGGATATCAGGAATTGACGGATCAGATATGGGAGTACACCTAGGTGGAGAGGATTTAAGTTTTGAGATGCTTTAGTACTTGACGGATCGTAAAACGGAGTCCCGGATACTCCAGAATGGTCAGCCCTAGAGCAGTTTTACTGTAAACAGTTCAGTTACAGGTCAGGAACAGAGGAAAGAACTACGTGTGGCTTGATCCCTCAGAAAGGGTACGTAGGCAGCCTACAGTTATCAGGTGCAGCCACGAATCAGAGTCCCTCAGTTGTGCTTTTGTTTTCAGGGCATTTTGCTCATTTACGACCCACGTTTACCAGGTGTCAGTTTTAAACAGGATTCGGCCCGAATTTCAAAGTGGAATTTGGATCGGGTCGTTTCAGGTTAGACATTGCTCACATACTTAGTTGAAAGCTAAGTTGCGTGAGTGTGGAGAAAAACTTTCCTGGTATTTACGAATGCAATGTACGTTTCTATCTATCTCATTTCTCACTCAACTAATCAAATGAGCATGCTTATGTACATTTACACACTAAAGTTTTTCTGGTGAGTGTGGCCCATTCATTCAAAGGTTTACTTAGTATGTTGAATGTATTAGGTTAGAGGGAGAAGAAGCCAACCTAACCTTGTATATGAAAGAGAGCGTACACAGTGCTCTCACTGTTGTACTTTTTACTCCAGTTGTTGCCTCAAGATTGTCATGAATGCCAAGGTTGACTACTTGGGCTAAAAACAAAAGAAGCACATAGTATAGGGAGAAATATAAGGTTGCTAATCAAATGGAATCAAATCAAGTCAAGTCAAATCATGCCCAAAATTACTGTTGGGTTCAAGAACAAGAATTCCTCTTTCAAAGTACTACGTGAAGGGATTCAAAGCATTAAGCAGTTAATGTAGGAGCTACTGTAAAACTGATTAGAAGAGTTGAAGCTGAGTAGTGCATCAGCTATGGATAGAGAGAGAGAAGTAAGGTAGAATAAGAAGAAAGACTGATGGTCTAAATTGGAGAGAGATAGAGAGACAGAGATATATAGACTCATGAGCAACAGATAGGAGCAAATAAGTTGTGGGGATGATGGAGAGATAAATGATTATATGAACTCATGAGCAACATACAAGAGCAGAGAGAAGCTGTTGGGATGATGGCCCTTCATGAGGCCTTAGAAGCTTCTACTTAGGATATACGTAATTTCACTGTTTTGTCACTCAATATTGTCATATAACACAAACAACCTATGCACAGTTTTGTCACTTTATCTTAAATTACATCCAAACTCACCTTGTTTAGCTATGGAATATCAACTTACATGAGTTGTTCTTAATGAATGCTTGAAATTTTGAGTGTATATCTATATATTTTTTTTTATCAACAAAAGAAGAAATTTCCTTCAACAAATAAGCACAACTTGTTAGCTCTTGATCATATCAATCCTCTATTTTTTTTTTTTTAAAATATTAACAATAGAGAAAAAGACTGAAACTTGAAACTCCAAAGTACCAAAACACCAATGGTTTGTTTACTAATTAGGAATTAGAATTCTCATGAGGAATTGAATTCCACACAGGGAGGATTCTTGCATTTATTTCACATCAACGAATTAAAAAGTAAGCAGGACCTACACAAAATTAGGAATTGAATTTCTAATTTTGGAGGAATTCAATTATTGTAGTATTCTAATTCCTGGATAACTAACGCATTAAAAATTCATCTTCTTTACCCATTATGTCCTCACTCGATTTTAAAAATTACAAATTTGTCATCTATTTTAACCCAACAACGAGGATATTTTAGTAATTAGTACCACTCATATCCCAATTCCATATGGTTTAGTAAACAACTTCGATAGGAATTCGAAATCTAATTCACATCAATCCATATGATTTAGTAAACAACTTCAATAGGAATCCAAAAATCTAATTCTCCTCAATTCAACTCCTCTTTAATTCATTTTCATTACTTAATTCAATTACTCATAATCCGTATGGATTAGTAAATTGTTTTTTACCAAATTGTTTTTTAGTCTTATTTTTTTTTTTATTATTTTTGAATTTTTTTTTTTTTTTTTTTTTTTTTTTTTTTTTTTAAGGAATATTTGGGTAAGTAACCTAAAAACAAAAGTATCGCATCAACAAAAACTTTCCAAGTATATAAAAATGTGTGATATTTTGGGTATTATCAAACTTCGTGCGTGCATACCAGTCCTGCAATTCGTGCGTTTCGCTTTCTTTATGTGAAACGATGCACCGACTCATTGCCATGGCACGTGAGCACGTGAGCACGTGACACCTTAATCTCCATTATTCTTTCTCTCAACTTTCGGTAATTACTATTTTTCTATGTACAACTCTACAAAGCGCAAGCCGACCACCCTCTCAAAATTTCCATAGGACCACCGTTTTGTGTGAAAGACAATATTACCCATGCCACGCCCTCTTTTTGATTCTACAAATATTCTTAAAACTCTATTATTTGAGTTGGTTGCAACATTCATTTTGTCAAAAACTAGTTTGGATTTTCTAGTATTTAAATTGGATTACATTGTTGATCATAATAAAATTGGATTACATTTGAGTCTGAGCAAATTAAAAAAATAAAATTGTTGGAGTTACTGTTTGTGAATTGAAGGACGTCAATGGGTTCATAGCTCAATGATGAAAGTATTTAGTTGCAGATCTGTGGTCTTAAATTCGAACATCAATCACACTTCTTCTCCACCTTTCAAATTTTGAACAAATAAAAATAATTGAAGGGGCAAATTTGAAGTTTTGATCACCTTAGTCATGAAGTTAGGTGAGGCAAGTAGTGCGAGGGGAGTGCTCAAATGGTATAAGCCATTTGGATACTCATGATCGTACAATATTTAATTATGATTAGACTAGGTGTTTTGTCCTTGCAAACTGACATAACAACAATATCATATTGTCTTAAAATATTAATACAAATCTAACCATCAGTATCCCACCTTATCACCTTTGACTGGTAAAGATTCTGTGCCATCCCAATTGTTTTAGTTATCTTTCATCTTTGATATTCGAGAATTATTGAGCTCAAATGGGTAACTTTGGCAAGAAATAGGTTTCTTATAGTTGGATTGACGTGCATCCACCTAGTAGTCCTCTCATTTCTTTACAATTAAGTTTGAGAATGTAATAATTGTTTAACATAATATCTATATTTTCGTTTTAGAAGGTCCGAGTTGGAATTTCCAATTTATATTAACGTTACGTTTGTTTAGCTTTTAACATATATGAGATGAATAATGTTTTAAAGTACAAGCAATGGTTTAAAGGGAGTTCGAAACTGAGATCTTTTGTTTGAAAACAAGACTTTTTTTCATTCGGCTAGACCCGTTGACATGAGATGAATGATATTAGCAAGATATATAGTACGGTTATTTAAAACTTTTTTAAAGTCCAATGATTATTTAAGAATTAAGAAATACTTGCTATGTAGCACAATTCAACAAGCAAGCGATGAGGGGAGAAAAATATTGGTGGGTTGTCCTTTTTATGTCCAAATGCATTGCTAACTGTCAAACTCCAGCTTCAAAGCACAATTAGGAGCCGAATGTTGGTGAAAATGAAACTTTTCCCAAACACAAAGTTCAATTCTACTATTCAGCATTCAAATTTTCCCGATATTTGCTGCTTAATCAGTGGCTTAAAGTGGAATTGCATGGCAGCAAAACCATTTATGATGTCTCTTTACCACTCAAAAAAATTAACTTTTTGAAATATTTTTAGCAAAGGGTTTGTGCTAAATAATTTTTCTTGCTTTTATTTTTTGTTGTTGTTGTCTATTGTGCAATTAATTTCAACACCACTGTTAATGGTGCAATCATAGGCGTATAATTTTGACATAATGCAAGGAAAGCAAGATATGATGCTGAAATGTAGTTGGCTAAAACAGCATCATCTAACAGTAAAAAGATTATTAGGACCAAAGGCAAAGCAAAACCCCCCAAAAAATTATAAATTAAAGGAATAGAAAAATGGGTTGTTGGGGAGCTCAGCAGTTTGACTGGCTCATTCATCCAGAGGGTTAAACAGCATCAGCATGCATGGTAAATATTATGCCAAATTCAACGGAAAGACTTGTATGAAGGGGTTTTGTTATTTCCGGCCAATCACAGGCTGTCATGTGAAAAAATGATCACATATAACATACTGTGATTGGTCGGAAATACCAACATAGTACTATCCCATTTCATGTAAGTGCGTCTCCAAATTCAGACGGAAAATCGAACACTTTAACTGACAATGCCAAGAAAAGGGCAAAATGGTATTTCCAGTATAATCTCTTACTTTACTGTTCTGCTTTTGTAAGAGACAGAGAGCAGGGATAAAAGCTGACCCCACTATTTATATTTTCCAAGGCTTAAATACTTACAAGACCCAAAACCCCCCACTTTCTACTCTTCCACAGCTTTTTTTTTTTAACCTCATCTCTGTCAAGAAATACCAAGCCTGACTACTTGGGACAAACAAAACAAGAGAAGTAAAGAAAGACAAGGTGTCTAAACAAAAAATAAAAAATAGAAATCAAACAGAGAGAGAGAGAGAAAGAAGATGAATAAAGGGTGTGCTTTGTGGTGGTTAAGCAATGTGCAGGTGCCAAAGAAGATAGAAAATTTAAGCTGAGTTTGAATGAGAAGTAAGCAGGCTAGTTGGCAGTGTTCCCAGGCAGAGAGATAAATAGATAGAAAGAAAGAAAGAGAAAAAAGAAGAAGGGGAGGTGGTGGTCTTAAAATTGGACAAGTGAAAGAGGCAAAAAAAAGAAAAGAAAAGTCATAGAAAGAGAAAGAGATAGAGATTGAGATGGTGGGCTCAGGAGCAACAGATAGGAGCAAAGAAGCTGTTGGGATGATGGCCCTTCATGAGGCCCTCAGAAGCGTCTGTCTCAACACAGACTGGACTTACTCTGTCTTCTGGACCATCCGTCCACGCCCGTATGTCTCTTTCTCTCTCTCTCTTAAAGTTCTCTTCTTTCTCTGTCTCTCTACACTTGATCTGATGTTTAGCTTTGGATGCTTTGATTTCTAGCTGTTTTCTTTGTTAATTCATTAATTTGTTTTGTTGCAGGAGAGTCAGAGGAGGTAATGGCTGCAAGGTTGGGGATGACAATGGCAGCTTGTAAGTACATAATATATGGTTGCTTTATGTAAAATGGGAATTAAACTTTATTTGAACTACTAAGCTCAACTTGGTTAGCTATGCAATTCAATTTTTGCTCTGTTTTCTCTCTGCTTCTCTAAGAAACAGGGTGAAAGCCAGAGGAGTTGACTAGGAATCTTATTTTTTATATGAACATGAGTTTTTAGAAATGGGTTTTTGGTAATTTTGTGATTTTAGTGTTGTTTATGAAATTTGGTGAAGGATGTTGATGTGGGAAGATGGGTTTTGTCGAGGAAGAGTTTCATCAGATTGTCTTGAAGATATTGACGGAGAAGATCCTGTCAGGAAAGCCTTCAGCAAAATGTCCATTCAGCTGTATAATTATGGAGAAGGGTGGGTACTTGGTATGTGTTTTTTTCTTCTCCTCTCTCTCTCTCTCTCTCTCTCTCTCTCTCTCTCTCTCTCTCTCTCTACATGACAATCTTGCAGGACATAAAATATGGTGTTTTTTTTTGTTATGGGAAATAAGTTCTTCTTGTATTTGTGCTGTCATTGGTTGCACTGAATTCAACACAGGTTGATGGGGAAGGTTGCATCTGATAAGTGCCACAAATGGGTTTTCAAAGAACCTACAGAGTGTGAACCAAACATCTCCAACTACTGGCAAAGTTCTTTTGATGCTGTATGTAATAAAAGCCAGTCTTTTTTCTCCCTTTCACCATATTTGTCAAAGTAGGCAAGCTGGAATTAGCACAAGTTTGTGCTTAGCTAGCACATATTAATGACTGATAGTAACCTTCCTTTTTTATGCTATTTATTGCAGCTTCCTCCTGAATGGACTGATCAGTTTGAGTCAGGCATTCAGGTCAGAACAGAAACATTTACTGCTTCAATTATTGATCTCATCATTTTGGTGTAATTTTTTTTAACAGTTAATTTATTTTACCAGACAATTGCTGTAATTCAAGCTGGTCATGGTCTTCTACAGTTGGGCTCCTGCAAGATTGTGAGATATATATATATATATATATTTTCTTTTCCCATTAATAATTGCTTTAATGCTGCAAATTCACACTAACACAAGGACATGCACAATATGTATATCAGATACCGGAAGACCTTCACTTTGTGCTAAGAATGAGGCATACCTTTGAGTCTCTAGGCTACCAATCTGGTTTTTACCTCTCCCAACTATTTTCCTCTACCAGAAACAACTCTGCCTCATCAGTGCTTTCTTCAAAGCAGTCCCCAATTCCGATCCGGCCTCCTCCTCCTCTCTTCAATTGGGCTCAAAGGCCTCTTCCATCTGCAACAGCTATGCAGCTGCCTTCCCCCAACAGTTTCCAGAACTCTGCAGCCAGACTTGGATACAATCCACAAGCCAATAAAGACGAGACACACATGTTTTTGCTGCCTCATTCAGCCAAATGGGAGGAGACATGATGGGAGGAGGAGGAGGAGGAGGAGGAGGAGGAGGAGGAGGAGAGCATGAAAATGACATCAAATGGCCAAATGGATTGTCTTTCTTCAATGCCCTCACGGGACGTTCCGATGATGCAAAGCTTTTGTTCAATCCGGAGAACTTGGGAAACAAAGGTGGAGACGAAAATCACCACCACAACCCGAATCCAAACTCAGATCATGCTTCGAATCACAACGAGTTTTTGAGCTTGGATTGCCACCCGGATAGTAGTGCAAGGAAGAACATGGAGAACAAGTACAAGAGGAGCTTTACTTTGCCTGCAAGAATGGCTTCATCATCTTCAAACTCAGTTGATCACCATCAGCACCAATCTGTGGGGTATCGAAATGCCGAAGCTGGTATGTACTCTGATGTTATGGAGACCTTCTTGGAGTGAAATGGGAAGGGAGGATTGTATTAGAGGGACAATGGGTGAGGAGTTGTATGCAGGCAAAGCTTTTGGGCTCCTTTGCTGCTTATACTTCTGTGATCGATTTCATGTTCTAGCACTTTATATGTTTATGTGTTTTCATCCCAGTTAGTGAGACTTAATTAGAGATCATTTTGTACTTGTAGTTCATCCCAAGAAGAATTTCCCTCCACTCTTTTGTTCTTCTAACTCTCACTAAGTTCATGGAATGTAAAATAGAAAATAAACATAGAAGAAAATCAACACAATCATGCCAAGTTGGTTCAAGTAATCAAAGCTTATCCAATTCCAGCAGTAATGGGCTTGGAGAAATTCATTATGTCCAAAATGCTCAAGAAAATAAAACTATTTGAATACACAGTTACAAATAAACATTGTCACTGGGAGTCTCACATCCATTGTTTAGCTTTATTGCTGGGAGATAGTCTACATCACACTTTTTGGAAATCCAATTTTGCTACTGATTCTCTGGCTAGGGTTATCTATAATAAGGAGTTGGGCCTCTACATCCGTACTTGAGTGTAAGGCGGCGGGTTCACTGACCTAGTCAACTGGCCGAACATGTCTAGACCTAGAGTTGTTGAAGAGTTGTTGAAGTGTTTATGAAGGCTAAGATACTGGGGGAAAACTCTCTGTATTTGAAATTGGATTTCAATAGAGTCGTTGACAGAGTCTGTTCTTGATCCAATACTTTTGTTGGGTTGGTTATAACTTATAACTGAAAAAATAAAATAAAAAGACTCTTTGGTATCTACTTTTCCAAATTAACAAGCGATCACGACAAGCCTTGGCTTTTAGATAAAGATTTGGTTTGACCGATCACTATTCAGTCAACCAACTAGTTTATGTTTCCAAAGGATTCATGGAAGAAATCATTGCCATATCAACAGCTTCAACTTCAAGATTAAACGCTCGCTCTGAAGAATTTGAAACAATAACCGAACACATTGTGACAAAAGCTCTATTTTAACAAGCCAAATTGCTTTTGCTGGTTAACGTTCCCAGAATATATATATTTCCTTTTGCTTTTCTTCAAAGTCGAAAGTGATCAAAAGCCAAAGCCAAAGCTAAAATATAAAGCCAGTTATCTACTTTCAAAGCAAACTTCAAAATCCTAACCTCAAACCCATGAACAAATTACAAAACTTGATAAACAAGTTTAAAAAAAATCATTTTTCATTTCACATGTATCAATTCGCAGCTTTAATTAATTACATGATCACTACTTTTGTTGGACGGTTCCATTGCGTGACACTTTCTGCAGGTCCAAACAAGCCACCGGAAAAATCTCCGGCCAAAACTCCGGCGGACCACCACCGTCTTCACCCGGACTTTTCTCTTCCCTTTGATGGGTTTCTCCTTCCCTTCAAGCTGATCCACTTTCGCCTTCTTCCGAGAATTGTCACGGCTTAAAGAAGCCGGTACAGGCACAGCTGTTATGAATTGCCATCTCTGAGAAGAACCATAAACTTGTCCACCTCCGAGATTATTAGCTCTGTTTCCTTTGTATCTATCTGATGAAGCTCTAGAACCCAATTTGTTTTGGTGCACCAATTTCCTCTCAGAGTTGTCGCTTGAGCTTGTCCTTGCGCTGCTGCTGCAGCTGCTGCTCCTGCTGTTGGTGCTATTGCTTCTTGAGGACATGAGAGAGTCCTTGCTGCTAATGCTACTCGTCCGGCTTGTTCTCCGTGAATTACTATCGACACCAATAAAACCGTTGCTAATTGGTTGAAATGGGAAGGCATGTGGTAGGAGCCTGCCATTGAAGAACAAATGGTCTGCAGGGGAGTCTTTGCAGGGATCAGTGCTGGAGGCTGAGTCAGGGGTGAAGCATCCGAATTCGAAATCGGAGTCTTGCTCGTGGATCGGGGTGCTCGGAAAGGAGAATGTGTCGCCGGAGGTGCTCTTTTGCCGGCGGTTTTCCATGGATGGTTTTTTCAGGGAGAGAGAGGAGGTTGGTGTATTTGCATGGGACAGGTTGTATATTTATAAGAAGGTTTAATTAGGGGTAGAAAAAAGTGAGGGAAATTCGGGTTTCTTTTGATATGGGTGAGACACGTGGAGTGATCTTGACCCTATGTTGGGTGAGATGGGCAAGGGTTCTGGTGGTGTGAATCATGAAGTCCTATTTGCCAACTCAATGTTAAATTCAATACTTATGGTGGGGTTGCAATAACACTCAGTCTCAGTGTGTGGGAAGGAAGTGTGTTAAATCATAAATGATGTTGTGAGGTTCAACACTTTTTAGTCAAACATGGAAACCCATACAGTAGGATGGCCTACAATCCAGCATCGGTAGTCTAACTCAGATGGATTGCACCCCAAGCATAATTCATTTCATAAATAGGTATTATATCCTTGAATATGAGTATGCTAACCAAAATTACTACATTGACTACAGTACAAAATTATTTGTATAATATTGATTGACCGCAGGGTTGAATTGCATCGAATTCACTTATCTGTAATAAATGTGATCATTAAATATGATACATGTAACATCACTCTTAGGTTGAAATGTAATGATAAATCAAACTACGAGAAGTAATTAGTCTGTGATATTACAACAAAACTCATGTGAGGGGGGATTTACACAAAACTCATGTATTTGCTGTGAGATATGTGATAGCTAAAATGTGATATATGTAGCATTACTTCAAAGCCGAGAAGTTATTAATGCTTGGTATTACAACAATGTAGGACCAATAGAGTGGCTAATAGGTTTAATCAAGAGGTTAACAGTAGATCAGAATTCTTGATCTTGTGTCTTTGCCATAAGATATAAAATGTTTGAAAGCACATAAATATCTCAAACCCTTGTTTGTTTATTCCTAATTCAATGGATTCCCCTTTAATCCCTGTCCACTTGCTTTTGTTATTTTGTTCAAGGGTGCAGCCCCCCAAAAATACTTGGTTCCACATCTAAAGCAGAAAGGGGTCTCTGATCGGGGGAGAGAGAGTCGACATAATAACAACCATATTGGATTGTCTAGGCTTTTACAAAACCAAGCAATGATGGAATCAGCATACATGGCTTCCTTTGTGTTGTTGAAGCAAAGGCTCCTCCTCTCCTCTCCTCTTCCCCATAGGGGCTTTTATTAAATGAGAGGAAATTTTATACAATTTGATCAAACACTTTGATTTCTCCCAAACATGGAGACAAAGTGGCTCTTAGAAAATTCTTTGGTCTCCTATTTGGGTTTCTGCGGAGAACCCATGGGCCCTTTTGAGCTCATCATGCTCTGGGGACCACAGGTCAGCCAGATTTAGTCAGTCTTCTTCCTTCCACCCACCCCACACACATACGCAAAACAATGTTTGTTACTCTTCTTCCTTGGATGATACTCTAATTATGCAATGTGGTAGGTCCATGCTCTTCCTTGCTCAATACCCCTATTTTGTTTTTTTTTATTAGGTTAGGTAAACACTCATCTTGCTTTGGTGACTCTTTCTTGGTTGGATGTTTGATTTTGTAATTGTGTTAAGAGTATACAATCCACGAGTTAAACCCAACGACCACACATGACCCCTTCGGATGATTTTGGGATTGTCAGACTATCAACATAAATTATTGATTAAGTGGTGATAGAATTAAAAGCCGAAATAATCGATTGCACGGTGATATAAGTGGACGCTTTATTCAAAGATTTCTAAGATCCAAATAATTTGTTAGGTCCGTTTGAGTAGCACTGAACATTGGGCTACAAAAACTATCCCAGCCCAAGTAGGGGGCCATGAGGCCTGATAACTGTGTATGTATCTTTTAGGAAAGGGCATCACGAGAGAGAGATGAAGGCTCGCTTCACCTGCATGATTGAATCGGATTATTATAAAATTTGACTTTGGGTAGGGATAATCGGTAGTCAAATAATAATGCTACATGATTTTGGCAATATTGTAGGGATGACTTGGATCCGCCTAGACTCATACTCAGAATCTGATACCAAACCAAGACTTCGAACTCCGTGCCACAGCCCAATAGTCAAACCTTAGACTTTGGACTATAACACATGAAAAATGATAAATTTTGAATCGAACCCGAATGATTCAAACCCCCCTTTTATTTATTTATTTATTACCAAATGCTTTTGCTATCTTTTGTACTATTTTATGACATTCACATAATAATAACGTAGATACATTCAATATATATATATATATATATATCTCTCTTTCTCTCAAATTTCTATATCTTCAAAGGTAAGAATTTTTTTCCACTATTACGTAATTTTAAGATGAATTTCCTTTGATATATGTAAGAATATGTAGAATATTTGCTTAACTTCTTATGAAGGAAAAATACCGAACCAAATCAATCACTAAATGAACTAATTTGGTTCAGTAGTGCTACTCATTTGAGGCCTAAATCGAACCAACCCAAATAATGATATAACATTAGATCAATAAGTATTTTGAGGCCAAGAACTAACCGAACCACAACCACCCTAGAAAAATTTTAGTTCACGTATTGTGGATGGGCATGGTTCTGTTTAGTCCACCTTCGCCCCTCAACTAATGACGAAATATGAACAAATCTCAAGATGCATAGGCTTCGATACATGTGGTGAAATATGGTTTCTTTGTTGGAGTCTTCAACGATAAGGGACATGGTGTGGATAAATAGATATGAAGCCAGGGTGAGAGGCAAATGCTATACTTTGGAAAATGAAGTTTTGTATTGTGGTGGGAGAAATAAGGTTTGATGATTGGTGGCGTTTGTTATCAGGGTTCAAGGAATGAAGGAGACAAAGATAGGAAATGAGAAGAGATGAGTGGCTATAAATGGAAAGTGAGAATGTTTAACAAGTGGGTGAATTAGAATGCAACGAGATCTGTCTTTTATGGTGTGTTTACTAATCAGGAATTGGAATTCTCATCAAGAATTGAATTCCATATATGGAGGATTCTTATGTCTACTTTACATCAATGAATTGAAAAGTAAGTGAGGCCCACACAAAATTAGAAATTGAATTCCTGATTTTGGAGGAATTCAATTTTTGGCTGGGAGGTGGTATTATAATTCCTGGAGAACTAACCCATTAAGAATTCATCTTTTTTACCCATTATATCCTCACATAATTTTCAAAATTCTAAATTTGCCATATACTTTAACCAAACAACGAGAACATTTTAGTAATTAGTACAACTTCTACTCCAATTCCATATGGTTTAGTAAACAACTTCAATAGGAATTCAGAATCTAATTCTCATAAATTCAATTTATCCTAATCTACTTACAGATTAGTAAACATGCCAGTAGTCTTATTAAAATCAAAATTGCAGGCAAACTGATTCATGCAAAATATTTAGAAGAAAAAAAAGGAAAAGAGAACTGCCCAAATCGGCCGAATCAATTCGATCGGTCCAATTCGATCGATCCAATTCGGTCGGTTCGATTGGTTCACCCATTGTCCCCCACCCTTATCATGTAGAACAGTAAGATTGGCTATTTCCGTCAAGTACAACTACTATGATTGGCCAACCTCGGATGTCCAGTCCCACTCCTCCTATTCCCTTTAAACAAACGGGAAAGGGTGAGAATCGTATTTTTGGAAATACCGTTTGAAAAGTTATGCCTTTACCATATGCTTATTATTCTCGATATACGTTATTATTTTTTATTTCTTTAAATAAAAAGTCAATAGTCAACAGTGTATAATCAAATCCAATTATTGTTACTACTTAATTTATTAATAAAAATACAATATTGACCCTTTAAAATAATTTAATCCTAACGTGCGTGTCATCATTCACGCGACCCAGTGACGCGTCATTGCTGTTTCGCCTGCTCTTACCTTCGTAATTATTTATACTCCCACCGTTTCTCGTAATTTATTTACACTTGTATCGTTTCTCGTAATTATTTATTCGAAGCCAAAAGGAAAGAAAAAAGAAAAAAAATAATTAAAAAAAGACAAGTCGCGGCGCGAACGCGTCTTTGATTAATGCAGAGAACGCGGCATAGAATTGGAAGAGAAAGGCTGGAAACAGAGAGGTCGTGTCAACACAAGCATCATCCTCATCCTCAACTCTTCTTCACACTTCTCTCTCTCTATCTCTCTCCTCCTCCTCCGTGACCTGATTGTTGTTGGTTGTCCATCTCTCTTTCTCTTTTTCTTTCGTGGCCACTGTGAATTCCATTTCCATTTTCTGCTTCAATTTTAATTGAATAGTTTTATACGTATAAGGCTCCACAACAAGACAGCCATGACCGGCAGAGAAATTCTCAATAAGATGAAGGTATATTGTGTGCTACATGTGTACTTACACTGCTTCATGTTTGATGTATGTGCTTTAATGGGTTTTAATCCTTTTCTCAATTGGCTTACTGATTTGTTCATTATTTGGCTTGTTCTTGATATCTGCTTGATCTGCAATTTTATTTGCATCCACACCCATGTAGTCAAATTATTGCAGATCTTTGTGGTTTATATATTATATTATTGACAATAACCCATTTCTCTAAATTGTCTTGTGTTGCAATTTTAGATCTGAAACTCTGATGTTTCTCTGGCTGTTGCTACCTTGGGTTTATGGATGTTGCAAGAGGAAAAACCCTTTTTATGATCTCCAAAACCCCACTCTTCCTTTTGCTCTTGCTACTTTGGGTTTATGGGTGTTGCAAACATCATGTTTTATTTACTTCACTTAGGAGGATTAAAATGCAGTATGGAATCTTAGTGAAATTAATCAAGACTAAATAAAAGAGAGGAGAATAGGTACTTGGAGCCAAAGACAGAACATTTAAAAAGATGTATAAGTAAAATTCATCTACTTTTTTTTATTGCTCTGCTTTGATTATTTTTATTTCTGGAAGCGGCCAGCAGGGTTTTGTATAGCCTTTTCAGCAATTTGTAGTTCACATTGAAATGATTAAAACTACTTTAGAAGCTATAGGTTTCTGTCTTTAATTTTTTTTCCTCTTTTGGACTAGTTAACCTAATATCAACAATTGTAGTATGCTTTATGGGTACCTAGCAATTAGAGTAGAAAATAAAATTGATCAGTTTTTAACTAGCTTCTCAAAATATCTAGGCTTTTTGCTCGCTCGCTCTCTCTCTCTCTCTCTCTCTCTCTCTCTCTCTCTCTTGTGCTTTGTCTTGTTAAATGTGATTGCTTTTCAACGTTGTCTTGCTCGTTGCCTATAAAAAATACATACCCTGATATTTTGGTTTAAGTTTTCTGATTGAGAATCTAAATGTGAGTTTGTTTAATGTAGGAAAAAGTTTTAGGTCCATCAGACCCCGACTCTGGAAAAGGAAAGAGCAAAATGTCACACCATATAACACATGGCTTCCACTTGGTAAAGGGAAAATCCCATCATGCTATGGAAGACTATGTTGTTGCACAGTTTAAGCAAATCGATGACCATGAGCTAGGACTATTTGCAATTTTTGATGGCCATTTGAGCCATGAAATTCCTGAGTACTTGCAGTCCAATCTCTTTAACAATATCTTAACAGAGGTAATGTATGCGGTAGTATCATGATATATATTTTTACATTCTCTCATTTTGTAGTTTGATAGAAGCTGTTGTAGTTAAACGATGTTAGACATCAACATTAAACTCTCTTTATTGTCTTGGTCTTTGTTTCTCCTTTCCCCAGCCTGATTTCTGGACAGAAACGGAGAATGCAGTCAGGAGAGCATATTGTGTAACAGATACTAACATTCTGGAGAAGGCAGTTGATTTGGGAAAAGGGGGTTCAACTGCAGTTACGGCCATATTAATTGACTGCCAGAAGCTGGTGGTAGCCAATGTTGGGGATTCTCGAGCTATTATTTGCAACAATGGTGTAGCAAAACAGCTATCTGTTGATCATGAGCCTAGCACAGAAAGAGAAGAAATTGAGAACAGAGGTGGTTTCGTGTCAAACTTTCCAGGTGATAAGATTTCTGATAATCCAAATTAATCTGTTTGGAAACCAAATGAAAAAATCCTCTGTTTTTGAATACCATTTAAAATGGTTTAACGTATGACAGTTTGATTTTGATAGAGTGATTTGCGAGTCGCATGGATTTTAATAGGATTTGAGTTTTGTTGCTATCAATCTATTCTATGGCACTCTTAAGTTGGATTTGAGGCTCACCCAATTAATGTACTTGAGAGTTGAGACCTTAAGTTGCATATTTACCATTGCTGAGATTGATCATAAAGCCTAATCAATTTATTGTTCTTTAGTTCTCATTAATTTTCAACATTGAATTGTTTTCTTCCATCTATGGTAGTATTAACATTGTGATTCTGATGGATTCAGGGGATGTTCCACGGGTTGATGGGCAGTTGGCGGTAGCAAGAGCATTTGGTGACAAGAGCTTGAAGAAACATCTCAGTTCTGAACCTCATGTAATGGTGGCTTTAATAGACGAGAAGACAGAGTTCATTGTCTTGGCAAGTGATGGACTATGGAAGGTTGGTTTATTTGAAATTATGACAAAAATATCTACAATTGCAAACTGCAAATATAACCAATAGACCATAGCATGTTGAATCCGAAGAATCAGATTTCTGCATATCATGTTGTACTTTGAATGAACTTGAAATTTCTTTATATAATTTGATTTCAGGTGATGTCGAACCAAGAAGTTGCGGATTCTATCAAAGATATAAAGGATGCCCGGGCGGCAGCGAAGCACCTTACAGAAGAGGCTGTGAATAGGAAGAGCTCTGATGATATTTCTTGTGTAGTTGTAAGATTTCAGTGAATGCATAAGTTCTATTTGGTATGTATTTTGTCTAATTTTAACTTGGTTTTCAATGATGTATTAGATATGTTGTATTCATAAACAGCTATGGCGTTGAAGTGTGCTTGACGTGTATCTTGTGCCCCTTTCGTGTTATAACCCCTTCATCATTGTTTTGGAGATTCGTACATGCCACAACAAAAATAGCCAAAATTTAGCTAGCCCTACTAAATTATAGCTATGGATGGACAAAACAATCTTTTATTTGCAGAATTTACTTGTTCTGCAGTTTGAGAATTTGAGACCCCTTTAAGTACAGGGAGTTGGCTAGACTTGAAGGGGAGTTTTTGTCCATGCAACTCATATTTTGCTTGAAACTCCAGCTATTTAAATAATAATAATAATAATGACGGAGGAGATTATTGCAGGATTATATGATTAATGTCTTTCTTCCAAAAGAAATAAGTATGAAATTTTGGAAAATATCCCGGAGAAAGTGTTTGACATGGAGACAAAGAAAAAGTGGATAAGCCATCACAATAAAACAAAGCTTTTGCAGACAAAAAGGCAGCTAAGGAAGATGACGCTTGGCAACTAGCAAGGGAAAAATATATGGAACGAAAGCTAAGTTGTCGTTTGGTATGGAAAATATCTGCAATAAGACATCCCATAGGTGACCCGGTATGGCCAGCACGAAGCATACCTTAGTCTTAATGGTTGTGATATCCAAATGGAAGTCAATATATATTTATGAAGGAGTAGATTGCAGACACAACACAAGCCAACCAGTCATTTTCAGCCTCTTATTTATTGTCATAGCAGCTCTAAGTCTTCGCCATATTAATACTTTTTAGATTTTCATTCAACAATTTGGTAATTGTCTTAGGACTCGTTTGATAGTGCTTTTAGAATTACTAAAAACTTTATAACAGAAAATAGCAAAATAGTTAAAAGATTATAAAAGAACTCTCGGACTTTTAATAAAAAACGCTTATGAGCATAATTGCTTCACCATCCCAAACACGTATACAAACCAAGAGGCTAGACTAAACACTCTCACAATACATTAGCTTTAAAAGCTTACATAGTCCACATGTAATGGGCTACAAACAAAGCATACCGCATACCAACTTAAGGTTGTAGCTAGGTTGACAGATGCATAGTACTTCCCTCGAATGATATAATTATTGTTCTCAATGATAAGCATCGGAACAAACATACTTAGAGTTTGCAAAAAGCCACGGATGACAGAAGAGAGGGAGCATGCAGAGAGCAGACAAGATCAATATGCCCTTATCTGATCTGGAATTGCTTGGAAGCAACCCCTCTTCGGCTTGAGCCTTCTCCATAAGGTTCACCCGAGCTCTTGCGGCGCCGCTCATTGTGGCCGGCCAAACGCCGGCGACAGCTCCTCTTTGCTTCGTCGAACTCGGTTAGCTCATGGAACCTGTGCAGTGCAGCCACACAATGACAAGTTCTAAAAACATGGTAATGCACAAGTAACACTTGAGGGAGAGAATTAATTAAGGGTCTACAAGCAAAGGGAAAAAAAATGCATGACCGGCACACTCATTAACCCATGTTTAAGTGACATCATGATCTGCAAGGGAAAATATATAGTAATGGAAACTACTATATCAAGTTTCTCCATGATATATTAGTTAAAGCAACCCAATTTTAACAGAGATCACCATTTTATAAACCACTGCTAAACCATACAGAAGCAGCAAGCAAGGCAGGAAGAGAAAAAAAAAAGAAAAAAAATGGGATGCAAGACCTGCTGCATTGCTGACAGAAACGCTGTCGAAGGCCGGAAACCATGACAACGGGCGCCTTTGAATGAAACTCACAGACCTTATGGCGGCGGTAGTACCTCTTGGCCTCAACAAAATCAGCACCACACCTCTCTGCTTGACAACATGGTGGAGACGCTCCTCCTCCACCACCAGATCCTCTTCTTCCAGCTTTCTTCTGCTTCTCATTCTCTTCAAATCTCAGCATCAACCCACCACCAGCCTCCTCTTCCTCCGAGTCATCCTCCACTTCATCAACAACATCCTTGTTCACCTTCTCTTTCCAACTTTGCCTTCCTTCAAAGCTCTTAGCCTCCATTGGTGACTGATAATGAGGAAGATGCCACAAATTACAATGAGGGTTGTGGTGGAAATGCAGAATGGTTGATGAGAATTATTAAGAAGAGGAGGAGCTTGGAGTTATGAAGGTGAACAAAGTGTAAGGAATAGGTGAAAAAAGTGGAGCAGGACCACAAATACAAACTCCTTTTTCTTTTCTTTTTTTGTACCGGGCGTGTCAATATCATATAAGGTGGTGGAAATTGGAAATTTTGAATGGAATAGTGAAAAAGAAAGAGTTGAAAAGCTGAGTTTGGGGTTCCCATTTGTCTCAAACATGGATAAGTTTTGAGCTTAATTTGTCTCAGTGAGACCTAAGATCAGTTAGAGCTTCATGACCAGAAGCTTAGCTGAGCTATTGCAAATAATGCGGAAAGATGCTTGAAAATAGTATAGCAGGAGCCTGTGGCCTGTAGGGTCGTTCAGATTGCTTAATTGAGAGGGAAAATTCATTTCCAAGTGAACATTAAAGAAGCAAAACAGCAATGCATGATGCTTCATAATTAAATTTCACGTACTGGAGGCTGAGTAAATATTGATATGCAGTACAAAACTGAGCATACATCAGTGCATCTTTAGTCTGTGGTGAATGCTTTGTCTGCCACCAGTTTCTACTTTTTACTCTATGCCCCTGTTGGATGCGGAATTTACAGCATGTATCCACAGTAAAAAAGAAATCATTTGGTCATGCATTATGTCATAGATTATATATAATGTGGAGGCAATAGCTCATGGCATATGTTATGTTGGCGGTACAAGCTCACGGGTATGAAGGGGCACAGGTACATAAAGAGGCAGATTTTAGCAAGAAAAATCAAACGTGATATGACCCTTGCACCTTGTGTTCACATGGTGATAGTATGAGACGAAGTACTCGATTGTTGATGCAAGCGTTTAACAAGTCATACGGTTTTGTTTTATGTACCTTTGGTGGACCTAAGATTCAATCTAGTTTGATGTTCAAAACAAAATACAAAAGCGAAAGAGAAAGCAAGTGAATGGAATTTCTACTCCCAACTGGTATGCAATAATGTTTTTGGGATTCTTTTGCATTTTGTCCGTATATATATATGTCAGCATTATTGCTGTTGTCACTCGTTTATTTTGCACAATGTTTGTCGTATTTTTAAATACATTGTTGATTGCATCTCTCGTAAAACTTAATGAAATATAATTTGATTTCGTGTATCTCTGTGAGAGATGTGATCAACTATGTAATTAGTGATGCTCGTGTTACCATTAATTATGTCACTGTTAATACTTCAAATTGAAACTATGACCTAAATCACATATCCTTGTCTAAAGCTTAACATGGTTAAGGCTAAGATCAATAGGGTCCTTTTCGTACGTAGTCGCTTGCCATGATTAGGGCATCACCATTGTGGTCCTCAGCTTCATCAAACATTCAGCTCACTGGCTTCCGCGTCGCCTATCTATTTTTCTAGCTAGTCATAATGCGAATCCATGTGTCACAAGTTATTTTCGCCACAATATTGTGCCCATCTCTCTCAGCTTTGAGTTGGGTGTTGGTCCCGATGCTCTTTAGTTCCTGGATTCTTTTCTTTGTCATGGACTTCAAGCTAGTTACAAGGGGATAGCAGTACTGTTTTGTTATCATTGTCTAATAATGTTATGTTACGTGAAAGTGTTATTACGTGTGTTATAGCGTTATTAACTGGGAATATCAAAATAGTATTATCCTTATTTCATGAAAGTCTTTCTCCTTATCCTTATCATAAGCATATAAGGCCTTTATCATCCATCATTCTGGAGCAATTAAATAAACAAATAAGACTTAAAAATTGAACTAACCTGGACTAGACTAGATTGGATAGGTTGGTTAATTTAGATCAATTGGGTGTGGTAGATTTGAATTCATCTTTCAACATTAACATCAGGAAGAGAAATATATCATTAAACTAAGAGTTATTTAACTAAACAATGCTTTCGTGTGTTGCTAATAATAATACCACAAGCTTGGATTTGGATTGCACTGAATCCCTAAGCCATGCCACCTCTCATACTAAAAAACGAAGTAGACTTCGAGCTTGAACTCAGATTTCGAGCCTTGAAATCAAGACCTTGAACTTTTAGAACTTGGGGTTTTCATATGTTCAAAACCAATAAAATTTAGCCAATTCACAAATTCAATCTATTTTCTTTAATCCAATTTAATATGATCAAAGCTTAGGATCCGATTTGATCTGATCCGATTGATTTTGGATTGAATGGTTGATTTTAATGATCGAAAGAAAATAAATATTGAGAATGAATCAAACATGTAGGACTACACAAAATTAGTAGTCCAATCTCACTCCTAATTAATCTCTCGAGAAACTATAAAGAGCAAGAAGAGGAGGAAAGTAACTAGTGCAAGAACAAGAACAAAACATAAAAATTTGAATACACAACAGGTTTGAAAAGTTTTCAGGCTGGAAAGGAGGCCTTTTCTTTCCCCCTTTGTAAACGAAAGGAGGGTTGAGGAAAAAGAGGGTCAACCAATCTTGAATTATTTGGTCCCAACCCAATGTTTTTTGGCCCGACATGTAGACCACATCGTATTCATGCATGTGATTCTCCACACTACAAATTGAAGCATTTGGCTAGGTTTCCTTCTTCAAGTTGCTTTTCTTATCTCCTTCTCCTTTTTCATCATCTTTAATTCCTCGATCCTCAAACTTTTTAGATCCATTAATGGCCAAGGAAATAGACTGAGCATTCGATACCCACAACAACGTTACTCTGAATATATTACACGTGCAAATCCGACAACAAAAGCACCTTCTATACTGTTAGGCACTTCGTGTTTTATATCTCTCTTCAACTTGATTGATATTTTATAACTTAAACAACACACAGAACTTTGACCCACACCCTTCCTGTAGTTTTCATTAGTATTTTTACAACAATAACAAGTACGAAAATTGGTGCACCGATATTTATTCGAAAGAGAAACCTACTCTATGCAATTCGACCACATTGCTGACCACCTCTCTAATACAAGTGAGTTAGATCCCACATACACTGATAGAACCCATCTCTATTAAAGGATGGTCAGCAATATAGTTGTTGTGTAAATAGTATTATTGTTTAGACACACATTCATGTGAGCTTGTAATAGCATGCAAAGTTACAAGTCATGACCACCTCTATACTTCGAGGGGAAAAAAAATTTAAAAAGAAAAGATTCAATATACAACTTCCCCTTGATCTTGTGAGGAAGTTTCACATTGCCAACAAAGTTTGGAAGTATAAAACCACCAACAGAGAAATAAAAAAAACCTGGAAGTAAAGGCGAATATTACATTTCCAAGCTTAATGCAAGAGCCTCCATTTCCAGATGGAGCCTTAGCCACCACATATTACAACCCTTCAAATCTCTCTATGAATATGTTCATCATGATCTGCGAACTTAGTTTGTCCTCCATATTTCTGTACTCAGTTGTATCAATGATGTTCTCATCAGCCTCAGCAACCAATGTGTCCCCAACTTTTTGGGTCTTATTTTTGGTAGAGTCCCATGCAAAATCCGTCCTCTCCTTTGCCATCTCAACCAGGTCCTCTGCCACCTCTGCTGCTTTTGCCGTGCCTTGTCTTGCTGTGTCTCCTACAAATCCTGTTGCACCACTCATGTTATCAATCCTGGTGTCTCCTTCATCTCTTCCTCCGCCTTCATCCCTGCTTGCCTCTGTCGGTGGCCTATTTCTTGGGTCCTAATATTTCATACAATAAATAATAAGTCACGAGTATTTGTACCACATTTAGCAGTTGCATTATATTCGATGAGGATCATTTTTCTAATACGAAATTCACGTGAGAAAGACAGAAGTGACTGACAAATAATTTAATAAATAATGATGCAATTAACGTTGTTCATAAATAATATGTATACGTGTAAAGAATATGCTAAACATATAAATACAGGTAGCATATATCCAATAGTACTTGGTAGATTAAGATGCAAAAGAAGAGAAAAGGAGAGAGAAAGGACAAAGGACAAAGGACAAAGGTAAAGGAAAAGAGAAGAAATATATACTTGGGCACGTTCAAAAGAAGTGGAGAAGCAGGCATTGGATAAGCAGGATCGAAAACAGAAGTGATGCTCTTCCGGCAAAGATTTTGAGATGTTGAAAAGGGATCTCTTTGTCAAAGAAAATGTTGCTGCCATAATTGGACACTCTCAAATTCTCTCTGCTTCTTCTCCTAGCTAGCTACCCAATATCTGGTGAGATCATATATATATATATATATATATATATATATATATATATATATATATAGTGCCAGACAGATAACAAAGTGGCATATTCAGTGAGCAACACGTAGGCATATTTTGGACACGTGGTTTGGTTGTCTTGGGCATGTTTGGATCATGACTCATTGCGGCGTTGCAGGTATTCGACACTTGTTCAAATATCTTTAATATAATCTATCTACCGCTTCGGATTGTGGGCTGCAGATCATTCTATTAAGTGGCAGAAGCTTGCTGCCAGAAAAAAAAAGTAGAGTAAAAAGTTCTGTGCTACTCACATTAACTCTTACTCATCTGTTTTGTTAATTATGATATTGTTAGCTACATGCCACAATATTATAAAAGTTGTATACAAGTTGTCTGGCAAAATAATATACTAGATATGCAGTAAAATGACGTTATGAAGAAAGTTGAGGTTCCACTCTAAAATTAATTGGCAATGGGAGAAGTAGTCTAAGCCCTTACTAGGTTTCTCAACTTTCCAATATGGAACTTTTTACCTTCACATTCTCACACGCCCCCATACGTGTTGCGAATTTTCAAGCCTAACACGTGGACAATACATTTTGGGCTTTCACACGTGGGCAACCTGCTCTGATACTATGAAGGAAGTTGAGGAATTGTCTAATTGGGCTGCTCCCCTATTGCCAATTGGTTTTAGGGTGGAACTTCAACTTTCCTCATAGTATGAAAGGAAGGCTTCATGTGTTGGCCCCTATGGCCACACGTGCTCCCACACCACTCAATATGTGTTATCCACGTGTTAGACTTGAAAGTTTGCTAGACGTGTAGGGATGTGTTGAGAGTATTTGTCCCACATTGAAAAGTTAAGGGACTTAGCCTGCTTTTGACAAAAAAAAAGGGACTTGGCATGAGTTTATAAAGAGTTGGGCTATTCCCCCATTGCCAATTGGTTTTTGGGTGGAATCTCAACTTCCTTCACATTACTCGTAATAAGCTTGAACAAATCTTGTTCATAATCTGAATGATCATTTAGTTTAGTAACACTCGGTCTCTACTTTATTAGAATAGTAATTTGAAGTTCAAATTTCATGGACGATAGTTGTTAGAATGAAAGAATATGACTAAGGAGTATGGACTAAGGAGTATGGAGCCATATAGAGCTCAACACAATAAAAAAAGAGATATTTAGTAATATACCCATTCTTAGCACTAAAACTATAAATAAACCCTACATCATTTCATTTTTATAAACATACCCAAAAAAAACCCAAAAAATGACAAATGGTACTATTAAATTTAATTTTAATTATTAAATTACTTTGATATCCTATTGAGTGTTTTGGGTTTTTTTATGAAATTTTGGGTTGGGTTTGTTTTAAGAAATCAATGGCAATTTTGTAATTTAAAAGAAGTTAAAAGCCTTTTTGTTATGTTATAAATGGGTTTTGGGTGTGTTTATAAATTCCATTTCATATAGAGTTTTTTTATAATTTAGGCTCCTATATTGGGTATATTAGTGAATCTCCCTAAAAAAACACTATACCTCAGCGCGTTCATAGGCAGTGGAGAAGTAAACCTTGGAGAATCCGCTAGAGGGTTGAGTCAAAGCTTCAGAGGCAACTGCTCTTCTTGCTATGAACGTTGTTGCTGCTATGTTTTGCTTACTTTCCTTTTTCGACCTTGTTATTTTTCTTCGGTTCTTCCTCATCAAAACTATGCTAGCGGTTGATATAGTCACATAAACAAATAAATATCATGAGAAGGTGAGCGAAACGTGGAGGGGTTTGGTTTGGACAGGTTTTGGAAACACAAGGACCTCCCATTTTGGTGATCATACACATCACATTTGGGCTCAGAGAAATGTAGGCTCCAAATAAGACCCAATTGAACAGATTGATTCTGGTTTGAGCCCAAATAAATCAGCCCACTTCTCTTTTCCTTTATGTGGACAGAGCAGAAAGTTGGTGGTGGAGGTGTAACAGCAGAAGTTCTATAATGAGGGTGTTGAGGTTCTATCTCTTAACTGTTGTATTAAATTGGTTAATTGTTGTATAAAATTGGTTAGTTTGATCCGATGATTAAGAGATAAGACCTCGTCTCACTATAGAATGATTCAGTGTAACATAGCATATAACTTTAGGCACTTGAATAAAGCCAAGCGAGTCAAAAGGGGAGGATTTCTTTAGACATCTTAGAGCTTAAGATATAAACCCTGGTGGTCCACTGCAAAAGATGCAGCCATGCCATCAACTTTCATAAGTTCCCATTAAAGAGAAGTCCAATCATTGTTTTGGCAGGGGAGGAAACAAAGACTTGATTACATCATCAAAAAGCTTCAGCACACAAAGAAGATTGGAAGCTCAAAGCCTAAAAACATGTTTTATTCTCCTTGTCCCAAGTAATCCACAAAGATAGTGTTTAAAATTATAGATGATGCTTAAAATAAACCTACATAAATACATAAAGATTGTTCTCTTATCAAACACGTCGGTCCAATATGAGATTTATATTGCTAGGTTGTGAATTTAGATCACACATTCAAACAAGAATGTTCTCAATTTTTACTTATTCAGTCAAGAATGTTCTCGTTTGCAATTTGAATGTGGACATTTTAAAGCAACAAATGCATGCATGTCTACAGTCCATTTCAGATGTAAAGCCAGGGGAGTAGATAATTTGCTTTTGGAATCACTATCCTTTTGAATAAGCATGTCCAATAAGAACACATCTCTGTTTAATTATTTTCTGAAGATTTTACAAAGGTGGAATGTCCATTGTGATTGTTATCAGCTTTTCTCTTGGGGGATGGTGACTCCCCCAACTTGGACAAGAGAATCAGAGACCCTTCTCTGGCTAAAAGCCAGAAAGCCCGTTTATCAGTAATGAGGGTTCTGCTCATAAGAGAAGAATTTAAAAAGCCTTACAGGTCTTGAATTATAATGAACAAAAAAGATATGGATGAAATATTAGAAACTCACTGTCACTGTACATGTTATAAGTAACAAATCATATGCATTATAATATTATATACATATAAATAATTTCAGGTATTCAAGTCATGTGTCTACAATGAAGCAAACTAGATACAAATGCTAGGAAAAGAAAAAGCATTTCAACTGCTATGTGCCTTTCATCACCAGAGAACACAAAACTGCCTATAATAATAATAATAATAATAATAATATATAAGGAAAAGAGGACAGAAGTTCTACAAATTTTGAAATGCTTATTTCGGGTAGAAGTGGCCAACATAGCCTTTGTATACATATTACATCTTTGAGCATAAAGTACCAAAGGAGTGTTTTCTATAAGAAACCAAAGAGACTGCACCAACCATAGACTTGCAATAGTGTTGCTTTACAGGTATACCTTTCCATTTTGGGATCCTAAGGGAACCTCAGTTCAGTTCCATAGGATGAAATGAAATGCAGCAAGGATATTCATTGTGTCCCACTCTCAAATCCAATACCATCGAGCCACGAGACAACTTCTTCAATAGACGGTCTCTGCCTTGGATTGGGATCTAGGCATTTGCAGGTCACACCAAGCACTTCTAAAAGCTGCTTCTCATGATCCTTATTCCAAATTGATGAGTCTATGATCTCCTCCTCTCTCTTCTCAGATTTCATTTGAAACATCCATGATACCAAATCTCTGCAGTTTTTCCCTCTGCAAACTTCTACAGGCCTCCTACCAGTAAGAAGTTCAAGAAGAACAACACCAAAGCTGTAAACATCGCCCCTACAGGTTGCAGTCAATGTCTGACTATATTCAGGAGGAATATAACCCAAAGTCCCCACCAAATCTGTCGTAACATGAGTGTCATAAGGACGAAGTAGCCTTGAAAGACCAAAATCAGCCAGGTGAGCTTCAAATTTTTCATCCAGAAGAATGTTGCTCGTTTTTATATCCCGATGCACTATATTTGGCTGACAGCCCTTATGCAAGTAGGCTAATCCACGAGCTGCACCTTGAGCTATCTTAAGCCTTGCATCCCATTTCAGAAGTGAAACACCATCAACACTTTCATGCAGCCAATAATCCAAACTTCCATTCTCCATGTAGGAGTAAATTAACAACCTGTCATTACCATGCCGACAATAACCTTGAAGAGAAACAAGGTTCTTGTGCTGAGCTCTTGAGAGGGCTTCCACTTCAGCTTGAAACTCACGTTCCATCTGTCCACATTCCCCGGAAAGTCTTTTGATTGCAGCTTTTGTGCCATTGGGTAGGTTGGCTTTGTAAACCAGACCATAACCACCACAACCAATTATGTTTGCTTGGTTGAAATTGTTTGTAGACTTTAACAAGTCTGTTACTGTAAGCTCCTTACAGTCTGAATTCTGAAAAAGCACCAATTTTGAAGATGCTAGTGCTCCGGATAACCTGTGCGGCCTGCTGAGGTCGTCATCAAAATCATCATTTTGATCCTTTACTCCCCTCCTAGACATTTTAAGTAGACCAACTGCAAGAAGCAAAGCAATCCCAACTACTATGCTGATTGTGACACAAAGGATGCTGTTCCGACGAAATCTGTTGTTTGAACTGGATGGCATTACAGGCTTGAGACTTGTATTACCGACATCACCACATGGGATATATATTTCCCCACAAAGTCCAGCATTACCCTCAAAGCTTGAGCTCGGAAAGCTTAAGAACTGTCCTTCGTTGGGAATTACCCCATGCAAGTGATTATTTGCCACACTAAACTTAGACAAGAATGTGAGCTTGCTAAGCGACGGAGGGATGGAACCATTCAGATCATTGAATGATAAATCCAATGTTTCCAAGTTCTCCATCTCTGAGATAGAGCTGGGGATGGTCCCAGTAATGTTGTTCCTGCTCCAATCCAAAACATGGAGCTGCTTCAGTCGTCTGATTTCAGGCCAAATTGTTCCGTTTATTCTGTTATTGCTCAAGTATATTGAAGGAGGAAAATTTGAGGCCTGGTTGTATTGCAGGCCACTAGCACTCTTATTTCGTTTAACAAACAGCGGGATGCCAGCAGATGCAATAAGATTTGAATGACTGCAATTCGTAGATACGAAGCTTTTCAGCTCTGTCAGACTTTTCGGGATTTCTCCAGTGAGAGAGTTATTTGAAAAGTCCAAATAAAACAAGTTCTCCATCTGACCAATCCATGGAGGGATGCTGCCATCCAATTGATTCCATGACAAATCAAGTACTTGTAACTTCCTGCAACTCAATAACCAAACTGGAATTTGGCCTTTAAGAGCACAATTCCCAATTGCTAAAACCATTAAGCTTTCAAACCCACTTGCATTTTTTGGAATCTCCTCACCAAGGAAATTTTTTGTAAGAATAAGAGTCGTGAGATTTTTGCACTGCTGTAGCACAGAGAGTGCCCCAGATAAGTTCACAAAACTGTTATTTGACAATGAGAGAAAGAAAAGGGATGTGAGTTTTGAAAAATCTTCAGGGATTGAGCCCCTGAATTTATTCCTAGCAAGGCTTAAAGTTTTTAACTCACGACAATAAGACAGTGAATTTGGAAGGAAGCCAGAAAAACGATTAGTAGCAAGATCCAGTGTGCAGAGATTAGGAAGACCAGTGAAATTCAGATCAATAGAACCTGATAGAGAATTGTTTCGAAGATCAAGAACTCGAAGATTTGAGCAGAGTGCCAAGGTTGAAGGCAATGGCCCAGATAACATATTTGAATGTGCAACTAACAGTTCTAGTCGTCTAAGGTTCCCAAACACATTTGGAAGTTCACCAAAGAATTGGTTTCCAAAAATGACTAAGGACTTGAGGCCAGAGAGCTTACTCAGTTCCTTGCTTATCGGGCCGGAAAGAGAGTTCCCAGAGACTGAAAGCTGCTCCAAAGCTGAAAATGAATACAAAGACTCAGGTAGATGGCCTGCAAATGAATTGTAGTCCAAGTGCAACTGTTGGAGAGACCTGCTGCAATTTTCTAAGCCTTCAAGACTGCCCGTGAGACGGTTCCAAGATATATCAAGAATTTGAGCTTCCCTGGAAGAGCTACAAATTTGAGGATTGAACTGACCAGTGAATGAATTGTTGCTTATGTTAAACACCACAAGATGTGGGAATCCTCCTAGCTCAGACAAATTTCCTTGGATTGAATTGCTTGAAATATTCAGTACTTTAATAGACTTCAAACCAGAAAGCGCACCTGAAACTGGTCCTGACAGCATGTTATTGCTCAAGTCAAGAACTTCCAGGTGATTCAAGATTGAGAGCTCTGCAGGCAATCCACCTTCAAGATGATTCAGAGAAAGATTAAGCAACTTCAGCTGATCCAATTGTCCCAACGAGCGCGAAATCGACCCTTTGAGACTCCTGCTGGGAAGAATCAACTGGGTGACTCTACTAGCAACTGTCCCATTGTTCACATTCTCACAGACAACACCATCCCATTGGCAGCAAATTGAAGTCTTGTCCCATGCTGTGATAATGGACCCATTTGTAAGGTTTCCTGCAAACTCTCTCAGTGCATGGAGATCATTTCGATCACAGGATTGGATTGGGGAATTAAGACCCAAAGAAGAAGCAAGATAGCAAGCCAAGAATAGACATTTGAGGAATGTCATTGGAATAAACCCCAGTGTCACCATTTCTGAAACCAAAGCAGAGCCCCAACTCAAGGCAAGGCTAACAATCCTATAAAACTCAGCTGAACAAGATGTTATTGGGCATGCACTGCTTTTCAGAAAAAGAAAAAAAGAAGAAGGAAGATATCCAAATGAAGAAACTTCTACACCCAAATCCCCAAAGCCCTTCACTTTAAAACCCAGCTTGCAACTTCAAATGAAGCAAAATTTACAAGTGAGTAAAACAAATGCAGTCACCAATGCCCGCTTGGAGGATTGAGATCCCAAGACCACAAATATGGAAGCGCAGAAACTTACTTCAATCTGAAGATGTTGAGCAAACAGTGCCCCGTTATAGGAAGAGAGAACACTCACAAAAGAAGGAGCTTAAGTACTCACATCCCAAAGCACCTCATAAAAACAACAACTTGCAAGTGAAGCAATGAACACTGACCGCTTAAAAAAAGTGAAGCAGTATTTCAAAACCAGTTGAAAGATCCTCCAAGTCCCCACATGAGCTCAAGAGTCAAGACCCTTGACTAAAAATCAGCAACCCCAACCAAACCCCCTATTTTGCTGAACAAGCATCCTCCCTCTACACCAAAAGAGAAACACCCAAATGCACAAATTTCAAACCCACATCCCAAAATCATCACAAAACACCAAATGAAAAAGCAAGCAAGAGAAGCATAAGAAAAGGAGGAAGCTTTTGAGGCCTACCACTAGAACCATGAACCCTCAGAGCCCCACAGTGAAATGGAAAAAGGTTTCAGGGTTTCACAAGCATTGCCATCACTTGGCAGTAAAGTAACCAAACACAGCAGAGTCCCCCGCTTTTTTGTACCTAACATCAAACAGTGAGTGAGTGAGTGAACAGTGACCACCTTTTCCACATTTGGGTATTCTCCAATTTCAAAACCAGACGTCTCTCTCTCCCTGAATTTTCAGAGCCAAAAAACAAATGAGATAGAATATAAAAAAGAAGAAGAAAAAAGCAGTCAGATATTTCAAATCAAAGACACAGTAGTGTAGTGCAGTACAGAAAAGGAAACTTCTCTCTCTTTCTTGAGAATCTTTATTTTATTGGGCAAACACACTGCTGAGAGGCGAGAGGTTGGGGGTTATTTTAGTGGGTTGATTTTGATTTTTGATTTTGATTTGAACTCGGCACTCAAGGAGCTGACTTTTTGCTCAAATTTTCCCTTGGATTTTATTTCAGTATGCAAAAGTCACACTCTTTGTCAATACCCAATACCTACTATTGTCTCCTTTCTCTTCTCTCTCTGCAGAAAATCAAAATTGTAAAAACAAGTCAAATTATTGAAATTATTTTTGTGTTTATGGTAGGCCCCGGTTTGATGAGGTTAGGACGAGGTTTAGTGCGGTCTAACGAGGATAGTATACTCGTAGCTTCACGCTTTCGTGTCGCGCGTGGAAGTAGTTACTAGTTTATACTCTTCATATGTGAAAGAAGCGGAGAAGGATGTTTGGGCGTGGCCTACACGCGTTGTGCCAGCCCGGCTGGTGAATGAAAATAGTTGAGTGGAGAGTCAAAGTGAGCAACAGTAGATGCTTTGCGGTGGATCGAGCGGCGGTAGGCGGACGTCACGGGTATAGGTTATAGGCAGCCGTTGGATCCAAAATAGGGGAAGTTCTTTTCTTCAGCCACTGGATTTTCGGGTCAACTACTCAACCTACCCTCACGTGAATTCACCCAACCCCCATACACTTTTTCTACTTTTTCCTTTTACCAAAAATAAATTTTTTTTTTATAACTAAAATTAACCCCAAAATAACCTCTTCCCTTTTCATTTCTTTCTTCTTATTATTTAAATCTTGATTTTTGTTTTTGCTTGGTGTTTAATCTTAGTCGTGTATTATAAATCCAAGGATGTGTGAGTAACAATAAGCGATTTGTAATTGAAGCGGTTAAGATCAGTCTCCTGCATTTGAGGTCTTATAATTCCTCCTCTCTCAATATCGTTTATATAAAATTAGACTAGTCCTTTGGCACATGCTCACGCATGTGTCAATTGGTTTCCTTTATTTTATTTTATTTTATTTTTAGAATTAAGAAAAAATAACATGGGTAGTTATGTTCCATAAAAGTATGACATATTATCTTATTTTGTTTTTAATTTTAATTTTTTTTAATATGAAAAAAGTGAATTTACCATATTATCCTTATTTAATTAATAATTTCAATTCTTAATATTTGAATTAACTAAGGGCATTTTCTGATATTTTGAATGTGTCACCATTCTCTGCATTTTACTTTATATATATAGATAGATAAATAAATGTGTGAGCAACAAAATAAAAAAATTCATAACATGTACTTGTTAGTTAGGCAATAGCAAACAATATCAAAACAAGTTTGCTTAAAATTACAAGATGAAATTTGATGAAACATTATAAACAACCCACAAAAAAACAAAAAAAAAAAAAAAAAAAAAACAAAAGCAATAAGGTAAAAGTTAAATTGCTTATTAAAAGTTAACATGGGTTAAAAACTCATTATGTTATCTTGGCTGGTTACAATTTCTTTTTGCCTTCAGTGCTAGGAACTTTTGGTAAACTTTCATGATTAAACCTCACAGCTGACAAGTGAAAAGCTTTACACAAATCAAGGGATTCATCCTTAAATTGATGACATTTCCCACGATAAAAAAACATCACTGATAGCTTATTGATGGGCTTTGCCTTTAGGTCGCTGACAACGCTCAAGGCAATGGTTTAACAAAAGATACCACACATTAAATGTTAATTGGATTTTCTTTATCAACCGCGAAGTGCTAGGACTAGATCACGAACTAGCTCTGGCAAAAACCAAAGCAAACGGATTATCAAATGCCCAAGAAGGAAAGAAAAGGAGAGGTTGCCGGCAAAAAATTGTTATAGGATGTGGAAAGAAATTTGGAGTTGTTCTGTTAAGAGAGTAGTTTTCCGGTGGGATTATGTATTTATTGATGCTATATATCTTATGGCTTGTATATTTATTAGGAATGGACTTGAGGATTTGGAATCAGACTAGTTGATCAGATTCCTAGTTTTAAGGGTAAATAATTATGGATTAAGATTTTAACATAGGACTCACATGATTTTTGATACTTATGCGTTAGTAAATGCATGGGATTAGCTCAGCTTTTACTCAGTTGGGAGCCTCCTGGTTTAGATATGTTGAAATTAAATGTAGATGGTTCTAGGAGAGCAGCTTCAGGCTGTATTGGTACTGACGGAGTGATCGGTGGGGCTAATGGCGATTGGATTTGTGGTTTTGCTGTGAATTTAGGCAAGGGGTAGATCCTTGAGGCTGAGCTTTGGGGCTTGTATTTTGGGCTTTATTTGGCCTGGGATAAAGGTTTTTCTAATCTTCTTATTGAGATGGATGTTGCAGTTGTTGTTTCCCTTGTTCAGCAAGTTGGAACCTTGAGTTGTCATCCTCTTGTTGCGTTGATTCAGAGCTGTTGTGTTCTTATGAGGCGTATTAGCAACTGTCACATTGCTTATGTTTACAGAGAAATGAATGTTGTAGCTGATCGTATGACTAACTGGAGCTTTAACTTGGATTTGGGGGTTTGTTATTTGGATGAGGCCCCTGCTTGGGTTAGCTTTTTCTTGGAGGATGATTTTTTAGGTGTTGTTAGGCCTCGCTTGATTTCTACTAGTTAGTTGTCATTTCTTTTAGGGGTTTGTCCCCCCTTATCTCATAAAAAAAAGAGCATGGGATTAGAATAATTCTAATATCCATGTGTTAGTAAACTCAGGGAAAGAATGAATTCGAGTAATTCAAATACCTATTTTTATAAGCAAACATGTCATGAAAGTAAAACTTTCTATTTTCCAATGTTATAACACATGGTCAATGGGGTCTAGCACAGTGTAAAATGACATTGACTTGCAGACCAATGGTGTTAGGTTCGAACCGCCACAAGACCTTAACAGTGTGTGTGAAAAAACACTCTCTCCCTCTTCTTAACTTTGGCAAAAAATAAAATTAACTTATAACACGTGAATTAATAACACATTCACAAGTAAACACTTTTAACCGCTTGAGTTACAATTCCTTATTCATTATATTTTCTTGAGATTTATACATAGTTGCAAAAAACTGAAAAGTAAGATGAAGCAAGAAAGTTGCAAACATGTCTTTAACTCGGTGGTAAGTAGTCTCAGGTTCGAACTCCAATTAAATCTCCCCTCCCCTCCCCTTCCAAACCTTGAGAAGAAAAAAGATTAGGTAAAAAAGCCCAGGCCCAAATGTGCCCCGAAACCCAACCAATTACCACTTGGGTTAAGATTCTGAGTTAGGAGCCTCCCTAAACGGTTAAACTTGACCCGAATTATGTAAAGAATCCGAATCCGATTAGCTTGATCTGACCCGATCATAAGCGCCACCCCCGAAGGCCTATCCGCTTGTCCCTGGTGAACCCATTTGGTCTGCAATGACATTGCTGCTCTCATCGGTGAATTAATGGTGGAGATGAAGAGTTTCAAGACAATTGGGGTCGTGGGTAGCGGCCAAATGGGCTCTGGAATAGCCCAACTCGCCGCAACGCATGGCTTTGACGTTTGGGTCCTAGACACCGACCAAGACGCTCTCTCCAGAGCCACCAAGTCCATCTCTAGCTCCATCCAGCGTCTGGTTTCCAAAGGACAACTCAGTCAGGTTGGAAACTCTCTCTTTACTTTGAAGTTACAAAGAAAGTGGAAGAATAAGAAATGAAAAGGAGAGATAATTTTGCCACATGATGTTGATGTTGAATTTGTTGACAAATTGGAAAATCAGTTAAGTTTGAGCTAGAGGGTTGTAGCGGCCCTGGTGGGTAAGGTTTAGTTTTTTATTTGCTAGTGAATTTAGTGATTTTCAAAACTAGTTGTTGGTGGTGCGAGTTTTATTCTTTATATGCTTCCTTACATGATGGGCTGAGCTTCCATTTGTCATTGATTTTGTGAACTGCTGTGAAAAACTTCGACCACCAGGGGTTGTTAGGCGGAGTAGGATATGCCCTGATGAGTCGATGTCATGAGTACCCTATACTTGCTTAGGTGGAGGCTCGATGTACACTTTTTTTTCTATAATTTTATGCCTTACATAACTGTGACTCGGTGTTCTTTGGCTATGAGTAATGTGTGGTGAGAATTGTAAATGTCTTTAAGTTATGAGAATACGGCAGGGGTCCACGTACCCATAAGCGGTAAGGGGCAAACATGTGTTGCAGGCATATCCACTTTACAGAGTTCTAACCGGAGCTCTACTTGATTAGATTGTTTGAGTTTGATGGGCATTGTCTTCATCTGAGCTTCCGGTAGTTTGAGCTATTTCCAGCTACGAATTAACCTTGTTGATCATCACCGTTTCAATGTCTCGCATTTTACCCTTTTCGATGAAAGTAAAGTTTGTAATATGCTCCTTTAGTTGAGTTTTCCTTATCATCTCATTTCCCGATTGAAGATGGTGTCTTCTTCAAGTAAATCAGCATTTTTTTTATGTAAATTTGGAGAATACTAAATTAGCTTATTAGCAGTGGAATTCAAGCTGTTCCAAAGCTTTTGTTTTATGACAGCCTTATTTAGTTATTGTTGAAGAACTATATAGTTACAATCAGTGCTACTTTGATCATATGTATAGAATGAAAGGAAACCATACACATGTTCACACTCCCGCACACCCACAAAATTAGGGCTTGCATGCACAGATCACACAGGAGAGAGAGCTTTGGGGTTCAGTTCTTAAGAACTTGTCGGTGCTACTTTTGTCCTGATGACTCTTCACTAATTGTTCTCATGAGCTACTCTCAAGCATCAGTTGATTAATGCTGTTATATTCTTGAATTATAAAGGGTACCAACTGGATAGTGTAAGACACCTAAAATGTTGGCTTCAGTCAACTCATCTGGTTCTATCTTTGTGTTTGTGTTCAATGACAGTATCGGGAATTGGAACCATGGTGAGTACTTGTTGAAAAAATATGTGTGTGTCTGTGTGTATATCTAGATTTAAATAAAGAACAATTTCAAGCTGAATGGAATCCTGAGGAGGAATTGCATTTGAAGGCTTTGCTGTGAAAATGGTTTTTCCTAGGAAATAGACCGTATTCAATTTTAACACTTCACTAAATCCTGCTTAAAAGGGATATCTTAGCATTTATCTTTGAGACAGGGATGACACTAACTGAATAGTTTTGCAGCTAAGCTACAATGGTGAGCTCTTGGCATACCTGAATTCAGAGTAAAAAACCACTAACGAAAAAGAAATGTTTCCTCTGTGATTTGAGATCTGTCATATGTGCATTATATAAACGAGAGCTTGTTTCACTGTAAGGGTGGGAAGTTTAACAAATCATTCCATTTCTTTTTAACAGGCTGTAGGTAAAGATGCTTTGGAACGTCTATGGTTTACCTCAAACTTGGAAAAGCTTTCTTCGGCAGATATAATTATCGAAGCTATTGTGGAATCTGAAGATGTGAAGAAAAAGTTATTTCTTGAGCTAGATAAGATCACAAAAAGTTCGGCCATACTGGCATCTAATACAAGTTCCATCTCCATTACTCGCCTTGCGTCAGCAACTAGCAGACCACACCAGGTTATGCTTGGAATATGCTTCTTCTTTTTATCCTGAGATTATGCTTATGATGATACTGTTAGAATTAGAACTGAGAACAATTTATAATTTTTTTTTAAAAATATTTGAAAATAAACAAATCTTGTGCTGATTAACTATCTATGAAAATATGTGACGTTAGAAATCTGATTGTGATCTCCAGGTGATCGGCATGCATTTTATGAATCCTCCTCCTATAATGAAACTTGTTGAGATTGTGCGAGGAGCAGACACATCAGATGAGACATTTGATGCTACAAAAGCCTTGGCAGAAAGGTTTTTGACTTGGATACCTTGAATTCCATGAAAAAGGAAAATTTTCCTTTTGTTCCCCATGGCAATTTACCATGCACATTTCTGATTAAGTTACATTTCCTACTCATATAGCCAAATAAATTCCCTGCCATCTTTTTAACTGTGGACTGTTGAATTGGCAGGTTTGGCAAGACAGTAATATGCTCGAGGGATTATGCGGGCTTTGTTGTAAACAGGATCTTAATGCCGATGATTAATGAGGCATTTTTTGCACTTTACACAGGTGTGGCAACAAAGGAAGACATTGATGCAGGAATGAAACTGGGAACAAATCATCCAATGGGTCCTCTAGAACTTGCAGATTTTATTGGATTGGATGTCTGTGTGTCCATTCTGAAAGTTCTTCACGCTGGCCTTGGGGACAATAAATATGCTCCCTGCCCCATCCTTGTACAGTATGTTGATGCAGGTCGTCTTGGAAGAAAACGAGGTATTGGGGTATACGACTACCGTCAAATGCTTGGATCAGTTAATCCCTCATCCAAACTTTGAACTATGGGCGTTTCCAGAATATCTAATAGCCATTGTCTATATGGTACATTGTGGTTCACTTGAAATAATCGTGCAACACATTTCTATTTCAATCTGGACCTGCCAAATATAAAGCTTGAAGGTTCTGAGTTGTAAAGGGGAGCCACTTAAGAGGAATCTTACAAAAACCAATGGTAAAGGGGATCCTCATAGGCATGTACACTGGTTGTGGATTGTATTACTTTTTTCTTTTAATAACATAATTCCCCCAGATTATTGCATTTTCCCCTTGTTCATTTTAATTATTTTCATGGTGGAGGCGATGCCAGGTTAAATATGCACTCAATTTAACTACACATTTCACTGTAAAATATAGTAAATCCGACTATACATTGTTGCTGTAAGTTTCTGTAACCACACCTTTGATTTGAGATAGAAGCATTTTTCTCCATCCATGGTATTTAAAGCTACAAAGGAATCGGTGACTTTTTCGGCTCTGGAAACCACAGCGTGGTTGTAGACAGAGGGCGGTGATAGTTACAACTCAATTGGGAGAATACAGTGATTCCACAAGTTGTTGACTGGCACTCACATGGCATGGCTCCCTCAACTCAACTTTACCCGGAAGAGGTGGAGCAAAAAGAGAGCTATTGTCAAACACAAAAATAGTTAATTTGTTTATCAAACATCATCATTCCTCTTAATGGTGATTAGAGTAACAATTACGCTTTCTGTTTATCTTGTTTTTCATCCCAGCAATGAAATTTATACCCACTCTTTACGTAAAGTGTCTTCATCATTCCATCATTGAAATGTGTTGTCTATTTGATGCAGCAGTATATGTCCTAATTTTTTAAGGTTCATTTAGCAGCCGAAGTCATGATTTCACAAAATTTGTTTTTTTCCTTCTTTTGAAATTAAGGAAAGGAGGAGGCTAATAATTTCTTAGTACAAGCGATTGGGGGAGGAGGAGGTTTTCTTTTCACAAATATTCATTAGGTGTCTTGCGGTTTCGAACTTCTGCTCACATAGATGAAAGTGAAAGAGCTCAACCAATTGAGCTATACCCCACGGGAAAGAAGGCTAATAATTGGTAATCTAAAACATGTTTGCTTTTATTGCTTGCCAGCTCACTGAGGACTGAGCTCACAAATCTTTAGTATGTGAGAAGAAATCAAGAACAGTCACTCTTGTTCATTATGTATGCTTAAACATGACCCACAAAGGAGAGCCTATTAAAGAGATTTAGCTTCATTGTTGATCATGTCCAGCCCCACAGGCAGACCCTAGCAAGTTCCATTATAAACCTGGCATTATTAGGCAGGCATCTGCTTTATTGAAAGTGATTGAAGTGGAATCCAATGGGCTCTCTCTTTTCTTTTTTTCTTTTTGTTTAAGTAAAAAACCCCCAACAACATTAATAATTAGATAAGAAAGAAGATAGAAAGGGAAGGCAAAGCTGAACTTTTGCTATACATAAGATTTGGAGGACAATCAGAGAGCAGAGAGTTGAGGTGAAAAAGCTATGAAGTTCTTATTCCAGTGCCCCTGCTGCTCTTGTTTCTGCTTCATGAAGCCCAAGAAAGGCAAGGCAAGGGTGAAGGCAGCAGCAACTGTAGCATCCAAGGATGAGAAGAAGGTTGAAACCAAGGAAGAGAAGAAGGTTGAATCCAAGGAAGAGAAGAAAGAATGACAACAATGCAGCTACCTACATCTGATAGTGCATGCATAAATGAAAGCATATGTGCTTTGTTTATGCTTTTCTCTCTTTCTTCTTGTTGATTAATATTGGTGGGTGCTATAATTAGTATGTACAACAAATTGTACTTACAGTTTGATCCAGCAGCTTGGTATGTTAATAAACTACTGGCTTGTGTTGTGTGTCCTACTTTTCAAAATCTTACACATAAATAATCAAGTGTCATCTGATCTTTAACCTAAGTTTCACATAATGTAAGTGAATTTTCCCATTCTCATATAGATCTAATTGTTTTTTTTTTCTGAGAAGATTGCTCTCTCTCTCTCTCTCTCTCCAACATGCAAATTTTTCAGGTTCTGATTTTAATGTGAGGATGCAGCATGTTGTTGTAACTTGTAACAGTGAGAGCTGGGATTTGAAATTAGCTCTACCAGTCTGTAGTGCTTTCAATGATACATGTTGCCTGAAAAATCTTGCATATGTTTGCAGATTTTCTTCATTTTTTACAGATCTGATAAATTTCCCCGCCTTACCTGTTGCAAGCAAACATGTACGGGTGAGGTGTCCACACAGTCCATGCCTCTGCCTTTGTTGCCAGTACAGGAACAAAAAGTTCAATTATTTGCTTTGAAGCGTAATGCAGATTCCACATTTATGTAAATTTATACAATAATTGAATTCAAAGTTCAAACAGTAACTTCTTTACAACCTTCTGCACTTTTTATTATCTGGGTTTGAGATTGAGTAGTAGCCTAGACAGAATGAACAACTGAATATTTACTTCTTTGGGAAAATGAAAATTTATATGGTTTCAAAGGAACCCAGTGATGGGTAAAATATATATGGGCAAAAATAACAGTACTGGAAGTAAATTAAAATTGATATCAACCATTATAAGAGTAAAAAAAACTCTGGTCAGATTTGTAATTTTAATGGTAGAATATGAAGTTCTGTATCAAATCTTTTTACATGACAGTGAGTTCTTACTCTGTCGAATTTTGTATTAAAAACAAATCTTTTGGAGCAAAGAAAGGGACAGATTTAGGTAAAATGCATGTCAATAATTGAGTACGTTCATGTGGCCCCAATCATTGACCTAGCTAACAAAATTATGTCTGCCTCACGAACAGTCACTGGTGATTCTTAGAATCCGTCCAATTCTGTGCAAGTGAACAGAGAGATAGATCCAAGCAAAGTGTTTTTATCATACCCACGCACATGTGAATTATATATTGATTGGTGTAACATCTATGCAGTAGGAGCCAATGAAACTTTAAAGAAGTGAATGGAGAGCCATTAATACGAGAGGGAGGTTCCCTCATGTAGACAAATAAATGGGCCAAATAGGCTTGGGTTTGGGCTCTGCAAATGATTGAGCCTAGTTGAGGTTAAGGGTTATGTTGAGGCAAGAGATAGGGCCTTATGTAAGAGTCATATATAAGGCCCTCACTATAGATGACTATGTTGAGGAATGTGTTGGAGGGTAAGCGATAGTCTAAACTACAGAGGAGGAGGATTTATCACACACACACAACTATAATACTGTGACGATTCGAAGCTGAGACCTCAAGTCTACAAGTCAAGATCCTTTATCACTGGGCTAGACTCCATTGGCGATTAATGTTGCTTTTGACACTTTGTATATGATAGAAGGAATGTTGAAAATTTATTATTAAAAAATGAAGTCGTCATATTAGTGAAAAATAAGAGTGATAATAGGAGCAAAATTGATCTCAACCATCACAAGAGTCAAAACTCTAGCTAGATTTGTATTTTTAAATTTTAATGGGAGAATATAAAGTTTGGTAACGATATTTTATAGGACACTGCTTCCCTCCTTCCCTGTAAAGAGGCATTCATATTTCCTGCAAATCACAGTTAGACACAAGCAAAAACAATGTATCAAAAACATAAAAAGAAAAATCTCTACACACATACATATCAAATTATGATTGGCAAGAAAGTAGAAACTCCTATTTTTAGAGAATAAAGCAAGTATTTTCCCTATTTTAAAAGCTACGGGTGAAAAAGGATTGTTACTCTTACTTTGTTGAATTTTGGATTACAAGCAAACCTTTTGGGCCAAAAGATAAAAAAGGGACGTGATCAGGAGTTCGTCAACCTTTTGGGACAATGCTAGCTAGCTATACAGAATTTATAATTATATCTATTGAATGTATGATGTAATCATCTACGTTTAGACGTGATTAGCACTTCTTTGTTAAAATGTTGACATTTTCTTCTTGTCCTTGTGGATTGTCTTGTTTGTTCTAAGCATATAAAACATAGGACGAAGAGAAAAGGGAACTTTCTTCTTCTTTTTTTATTTGGACCAAAAGGAACTTTCTTCTTGTTTGTTCTTCTAAGTTTTTATATATTATTTGGGTTCTGAGTAAAACTAAGTTAAAATTGTGCCTATACCCAATATAATTAACTCTTTTTTAACTCGGGTTGGGTATATGGGTGAGATAATATTTGACAAATTAACCATGGCCATGGTCTCCAATTGTTCTTGAAATCTCCTATAAAGTAGGGGCGGCCATGCATATCTCATAATAAGAAGCTGATATTGTTGACTTTGAAAATAGACACCTCATGCTCCCAATGACTTCTTTATACATTAGTATATATCCATTCTTGTATATAATTCCAAACACCAACACACTCATGCACACAAATGTTAGAAGATGTATCAAATTTGATTTCTTCATTTTCTACTTATAAAAATAAATCACTCATAATTTCAGTCTTTGTGGGTCCTAATGTTTTGGAGGCCTTAGGTGAATCACCAAAATGTGGCCTTCTACCTTCTATGTATATTTATGTGCATTTTTTTTTTCAATAAGTTAAAAAAAATTATATGAACTCAAAGTCACAATTATAATCTAAAAAGAAACAAACAATATGTAATTCACAAAACAAATTTATAAAATGCATCAAAACATCACTTAAATATCACTCGTCTTATAATTTTCAAAGCAAAAGTATCAATTGACTTTACAAAATCAATTTTTTTATATCATGTAATGGATAACATAGCTAAGAGTTGACCGAATGTAAGACTTGATCAACTTCAACTTTGAAAAGATTTTTTTTTTCCCCATTCAACTAGGTTAATTTACTTAAAGCTGTAAGTTTAAAATAAATATTAGCCCTTTATTTGAGTTTCCTCTTTTTAGTTTTAGAGTGAATAATTGGCCTTTTATTTATTTATTATTTTATAATTATTTATTTTTAAATAACGATACTTGGGCCTAACATAAAATTAATCTAGTACTTTAAAAAAAAAAGTAACATACGTATGTATATATAGAGGTTTATACATCCAACGGAGTCTAGCCCAATGAAAAAAGGATCTTGACTTGCAGACTAGTAGTCTCAGGTTCGAACTCCACCTTGGTAGTGTGTGTAAGAAACCACTTCCCCTTTGTAGTTAGACTATTGCTTGTATTATAAAATAGAAGTTTATACAAATTGGGGGTCCTATTTGGAGGCCCTAGGCGGGCGCCTTACCTATGCCAAGGGCCTCCCATGTGTCTCACTTAGTGGGGGTTTCAGGATTCAAATGTCGATTAGGCAAAACTTACATACTAAACTCGACGGTATGAGTAAATATCATTAATAAATATAAAAAGATACACCTTATTAGGGGACGTAATGAGCTTTACCTTCAAATGCATCTCTATTTATAAATAAAAGTTAAACAAATACAAAAACTAAAACTAGACGACGTAATCCTAAATCACATTAAATTAATAAACTAATTATCATAATATCATCAATGTGTTTAATCAAATATCTCAACAATAAAAAAAAACAAATCAAACATCTTAACCGAATTTCTAAAATTAAAGCCCTAATTTAATTTCAACAAAATTTTCAAATTATAATTCATTTCTAATTAAACCTAGAATACTCAATTTCAAATTAAAGATGCATATGATGACCAAAAAGGAGAGAATTAAAAGAATAATTGTTGCAAAGAAGAGAGAAAAACAAGAAAATAGGAAGAAGAAAATAACTGTGGAGGAAAAGAAGAAAATAAAAATAAGAGAGAAAAGAGATGAGGAGGAAAGAAAGGGAAGAGACACAAGAATAATATATCCCATATATATATGATAAAAAATAGTGTGAGTATAGGCCATGGCCCGTACTTGTCCTATGCTGGGAGGGAGAAGTTGATGTCACAAGGAAGAAAACAGAAAGAAGTTGCCGTAGACGTAGACAAGAGGAGAGAACTGCTAAACCAATCTTGTTTTGGGAATGCTAGCAACCTTCTTTCTAACATTTTCTTTTGGACATTCTCTATTTTTTGCTTGACATGTGTCATTCTTTGACAAAAAAAAAAAGACATGTGTCATTCTCCTTATACTTAAAACAATGTCATTAATATATTATATAGGCTAATTTTTACTTTCCAAATTTACCTTTATTAAATATATTCAATTTATCCCAAAAAATTTCACAACTTTCTCACCATCTTATTAATTTTTTTTAACATTAATTTTTTAAAATTTAAGAAAATGTCTGCTTTAAAAAAAAAGAGGAAATGTCCCTTTTTTTTAACGTCAAGTTTAGACTTTTTTTTTAAACTAAAAAAAGGACATTTTTTTCTTTTTTTTTTTTTTTTTTATTTTTTATTTTATTTTTTTTTCTTTTAAAAAAATAATTGACGTTAATTTTTTTTTAATAAGATGGTAAGAAAGTTGTGAATTTTTTTTGAATAAATTGAATAATAAGGGTAAACTTGGAAAGCAAAAGTTAGCTTGTATAATATATTAATGACATTGTTTTAAGTGTAAGGAGAATGACATATGTCAAGCAAAAAATAGAGAAAGTTCAAAGAAAAAAGTTAAAAAGAAGGTTTCTAGCATTCCTCTATTGTTTTTGGGGAAACGCCCTTGTCTCGCTGTTGTTAATTGTGAATGTGCACGTCAAGTTTCAAATCAAGTGGCCCATGAAACAAGTGGGATCTTGTATGCTAGTGGTTCATA